TAAAGGTGGTCCGGTTATCGGTCATGCAAGAAGTACATGGCTTTTGTGATACAATAAGGAGTGGGAAGTGGGTTGAGCTTGAGAAGAGAAAATGTGAACAGATCCCTCCATTGAGTTTCAGGATGAGTGACCCATTCAATATGTGTATACGTATCTTTTTACATATACAAATTGGTTTATGCAGCTCGACTTTCTTCTACATGCAAATGTGATGCATACCTTGACACACCTTCATTATTGGATGCTGTTTACTTACGTATCTTCACAAAAGACAATCATCATCGTCATCCATTTGTGTAGCAACCTGTCAAGGACGTGTCTGTGTAACCACCACGTGCGGTTTCACTCAGCTCTTCATCTTTCCGTTAATGCAGCCGACACCATCCACTGGGAAAAAGCAACTCCATCACGCTTACAGCATAGTGAAAACATAAAGACAGCCATATCTCAAGATTTCACAATGAAACGTGGGGTTTTGAATAGAGCAATGGGCTCGGCTTGGCCAACAGCACCTTGTGTGAAATTTTCGCGTCCAATGTCGCAAACAGCCCAAAAAATATTTTTTTGGTCGTCGTCGTCGAAGAGGTCGACCCCCAGATCCAGTTTGGCTGGTGGCGACATTGCGAAATCTGGGATTGGCAAGCTTTATCGTGAAACTTGCACACAAGGTGCTGTTGGCCAAGCCGAGCACCTTGTTCTATCAAAGACCCCACGTTTCATTGTAAAGTTTGGAGATACAGCCACCTTTATCTTTGTAAGCGTGATGCTATATGAGAAGTGGTCTTTGTTTAATGTAAAGTAGTATGGCTATAATAGAGCAAAAGATGCAGAAGGACCTCTTTGGGTAACTCAGCTAAAAAGTCAGGACTTCAGGGACAATGCATGAAATGTACGCAACCCTCACTTTTATGTCATACATTGGCAGCTAATAGCCACTTTTGTGCATTCCCAACTTTTGTTCATTCTATTGTAGGTGGACGATGCTCCTGCTCTAGACATTCATTTCCATGATTAAAGTAGGTTGACCCGAGCTGATTTGGTTGAGTTACGCTCACACAAGATTACATCGGTTGAGCTACATCGAGCGTGCTTTATGTCCAGAGTGATGTAATCTCTCTTTGACCACAGCTCAGTCAAATCAGCTCGGATCAACCTACTTTAATCATGGAAGTGAATGTCTAGAGCAGGGGCATCGTTCCCATGCAGTGGATCTTGCAACAATGATGATTGGATAAAAGTGACCGTTAGCTAGCAATACATGCCTGTTCCTAGATGATCCATAAAGTAATTATACATTGACCCTTTCATTCATGCAAACGTAGCTGTGTTACACAACACGACCCTCTGCATCTTTTGCTCTGCCAGGGTCCACCTACTTTACATTAAACAAAGGCCACTCTTCATATAGCATCACGCTTACAAACATAAAGGTGCCTGTATCTCCAAACTTTACAATGAAACGTGGGGTTTTTATTGGAGCAATGGGCTCGGCTTGGCCAACAGCACCTTGTGTGAAAGTTTCACGTTCAATGTCGCAAACAGCCCAAAAAATATTTTTTGGTCGTCGTCGTCGAAGAGGTCGACCCCCAGATCCAGTTTGGCTGGTGGCGACATTGCGAAATCTGGGAATGGCCACGATGAACTTCATACTTTGACACAAGATCGCTTTGACCCCGCCGAGCAACATTGTCCTCAAAGAGACCCCACATTTGATTGTAAAGTTTAGAGATACAGACACCTTTATGTTTGTAAGCGTGACGGTATATGAGAAGTGGTCTTTGTTTAATGTAAAGTAGTATGACTATAATAGAGCAAAAGATGCAGAGGGCGTGTTTGTGTCACTGGGTTAAACCCAGGACTTCAGGGACAATTCTTGACAGGTATGCAAGCTTCATTTGCAGTGCATACATTGGCAGCTAACAGCCATTTTTATCCAATCAGTATTGTTGCCCAATCCACTGCATACGGACGATTCTCCTGCTCCAGCCCATCATTTCCATCTTTTCATCTTGGTGATCCGAGCTGATTTGACTGAGCTACGCCAAAACAGCAAACATGAAAATTAATGAATCGCAGACCCTGCGAATGTCTCCGTCTCTCAAACTTTTGGACGCTCCCATTCCAAATTTTCAAATGAAGCGTGAGGTCTTTATCACAAAATGTTGATCAGCACGCTCGAGAGCATCCTTCTGACCAATTTGCAAGTTGGAAGTGGGCAACTTCGGGGCGGTGGGCCGTCCGCTCTTTTGTTCCCTTCATACACCATTTGGATCGCCCCGCATTTTAATTCTTCACAATGAACTATACGGATTTTAATGAATGAAGTTCATCAGCATATCCCAGCAAATCTGCTGACAAAGTTTCAGGTTCGAAATGGGGAATCCCAAGGTAATACACACTATTTCGATAAAGCATGAATCTGGTGCTGACCTCCATTTCCGACCTCCATAGTAAACCCCACATTGACCCCTCCCATTCAATATTTTGTAATGAATTGTTGGTTCATTTTTAATACAAAGTTGATCAGCATGTCCAAGAGCATCTTGTGTGAAGGTTTCAGGATCAAGAGGGGTAATCTCACTATCAAGGTTTGATATACAGTGTTCATGCATTTATACAAGAGGTGTCCGACCCATTTAATTTCCACTTCTTCCACTCGCCAACATCTTGTCTCTTCCTCCCATTCTCAACTGTTGCCCCATTCAAGTATACAACCATCACCATGCGAACGATTGTTCTGCTTCAATCCACCATGTCAAGCATACGATTGTCTTGATCCGATTGTCTTTGGCTGAATGGCAAGTCCATGGCGTGTACACAGCCTTGTCACTCTACTACAACACAGGAGGCTCTTGGCATTTCATCTTCTCTTGTACAATCTTCGACCACAATCAAACGTAACAGCGTTCGTTGCAGCAGCTGCCATCAGTGATGCTTTACTCCATTGCTCAAGCAGCATTTGCCACCTTGTCGCTCTACTACAACACACGCTCTTGCCACGACCAAACGTAGCAGCGTTGCTATTAGCAAGTTACTCGCAACTTTTTTTTACGTGAACAGCACATAGCCATTGTATAGAATAGCAGCAGCGATTACATGACTCGTTTCAGCCAAATGTTGGATTTGCAATGGTTATGGATGGATGGATGGATGGATGCAATCAAGTGCATGAATGAGAAATCCTGGAATGCTTTGGTTACTTGATACGTCGTCGCCAGCAAAGGTATGGATAAGGCTTAGGATGTGGTGGTGGATTGGATGGCATTGAGGAGAAGGCTTGTATCTTTGACGATTATTGGTGTTCTACAGCCGTCAAGACACGCAGCAATTGTATGGCCATTGTGAACGTTGGATCTCCATTGACTTTATTACAGCACACACCCCTCTTTCGATAGCATTCCTATTACCACATGTCGTGTCTCTACTTTGATTATGCTGTTATCTTTGTTAACATGTTTACATTTGAACATTGCTTTATTGGATGAGTTGGTGGTGCACATGATGTAGCAGACTGCTGGCATTGGTTTCAAGTTACAAATAGTGGGATGATGATGAAAGCAAGGATGTGAAGCTTGGTGAATGCATTCAAAAGAATTATGAGCCAAAGTGATATGAACTACTGAAAGGATGTGTTATCCAGACAATATCCATGAATGAGATGTTAGTTGTTTATACATACAATATTGAAGAGGCGATAAAGAAGAGGATGATAGCATCTAAAATGAGAGACTAAGGAGATTCATACATGGCATGCTAATAGAATGTTTGGCTCAAAAAGAGAAGACGAGGTCGCCTTCATACGTTGCCCAGGGGTAATCATGCAAGACTGAGTACGTCGGAGATACATTTATGCCTTCCCTATAATTTGAATGCAGCAATGAAATACTTTCGAATTGAAATTGCATACGTCCACCTTCCCAAACAATTACATCAATCTTACCATCGTAATCGCATGATTTTCCGCTTTAATTTGATACTACAAAAGCCATATGAGTCGTGCCATTTTTGCAAATCCAATTAGGAAATTCTTTGGTTTATCTGTGCACTCAAAAGTAATAAAAAAGAGCGGAAGCCTGGAGAGATGGCCGAGTTGGTCTAAGGCGTCAGGTTAAGGCCCTGATCTCTTCGGAGGCGTGGGTTCGAATCCCACTCTCTTCACTTCTTTTTTGTTTTTCTTCTGATTTGGAGTCACGTGATCTGAATATTTGATGCGTGGATGTATTTTTGTTCTACGTATGGGTAACTTGATCATCAATGTAGAGGATGTGATCTATAGGTGTGTAAAAAGCTACTTATACTATATCATATTGGATAACCAGAAATGGGCAATGTTGTCATTTTCAAGGCATATGTGAAGATGAATCAGTCGTCTATAGTATCAACATTTGCTACACAGCTCGAACATACAGAGATACTTGAGATAAATAAGTGATGGATCTTCTGAATCTTACTACATGAAGCGGCAGGTATATGGAAGAGTCAACCAAGATGGCCGTATCGGCTAGGAGACTATGATGATAGAAGGACAAATCAAGTTGCGATGATCCATAGGCTACGGCCGTCCATAGAATATCATTCTATTTTCCATGGTTAATCCTGATTATGAAATCCTGCGTAGATCATCCTTGATGTAGGAGCTTAGGTAACGTGTGAATGGGGGGGGTTATCATGGCAATCATCATGTTGTTGTATAGCAACGGCATGTGTTTTTATTCAAGAAATAGGTCTACCAAAAATGACGCTCTCAAGCCTAAACGAGTACACGTAACTGGGTATATCATGGAACCAGTTTGCGATCATGCAAAGCGAACATAGCAACAAGAAGACTGAGTTAGGCTGCATGATTTTGGAATCCACGCACCACGCAACTCCTTCACGTACTTTTGTCACCTCGATACCCCTCCACAGCAATGGTAAAGAATGAAAGACAGGTCCAGCTAAAAAGTACTCAACTCTTTAATGCACGTTAGATTAACTGGTTACTGCTTGTCAGTCGTCAAGGCAAGGTGCGATTGACCAAATGGTTCGTTACCATCCCTGCCAAAGAAAAGGCCAAGATTGTCAAAGACGCCACTCAACTTGTGCTTGCGAGAAGAGTCAAAATGTGCAACTTTTTGGAATACAAAGGTAAAAAGGTGGACCACAGTGATAATCGATATTGAGCTAACCATACCTGTTTATGGGTGTCAGATCAAAAGATCGTGTATCGCCGGTAAGTGTGAGAGAACTGGATTGGGTAAAGCATGCTGCTAACGACTTCAAAAGATATGCCAGTCTCTTTTTCATTGCTGGTATCAGTCAAGACGAGAATGAGCTCATTGTATTGGAAATCATCCATCGTTATGTTGAGATTCTGGATCGCTACTTTGGCAATGTAAGCTGCATATGATAAAGGCATTATCTTTTATATCTCACTTGGACCCCTTATGGCAACATTTAGGTCTGCGAACTTGATCTCATTTTCAATTTTCAAAAGGTAAAAGTGATCAACGAATGGAAAACGGCAAGTCATCCTCATTTTGCTTTGAATCTCATCAACAGGCATACTTTATTCTTGACGAGCTACTTATCGCTGGTGAGCTACAGGAATCGAGCAAAAAATCCGTGCTTCGGGTGGTTACTCAGCAAGATCAATATGAGCAGCAAGAATCGAACGAACAAAAGTCGACATAAACCTTGGAGTTCAACACGTACAATGATGTCATGTTGTGCAGCACAAGAGATTAGTATTGATAAGGATGAATAAAATGGTATGGGAGGCTCCACATGATTGTTGTTACCACTGCAGGTTGCATCACAAATCGCGTTGTATATACCAGATGGGGTGTAGTACTTGGTGATAAAAGATAATGCAAGTAGAAAGGTTGATCGCCATGGATGGAAACCCCGATTGCATAGAATGACCCATATTACAGGTCGTGTGGATGATACATATGAAATAAAAGGGAAATGGTGCTACTGTACAATGTATGATGGTATCAATGACGTGCAGAAAAATGATTCTTCTGTTTTCTGTAAAAGGTGTTGTGTAAATGAATAATGGCCATGTGATGTGTCGTTAACCCGAAGCGAATGGTTTCTAGTAGTAAGCAACCGAATGATAAACGACTTTGGACTTTTCATGCATCAATTCGATTCAAATGCTAATACTGTGCCAGGTCTCTATTATGATGATGAATTTGTAAAAGGAAATCGTTGCCTAGCGACCATTTTCATGTCGTCTCGGATGGCCCTTTGTTGCCCAACCTCCGAAAACAACAACCATTACCCACTTTGTTTAACCAATGATCATACCCAAAGGGCTGGTACGTATACATCATCCTATTAGACACGGAGAAAACCTCCGTATGCTGTTGATGCGTAAGGTTTTAGCACCAACTCTTTTCCTCTAAACTATATCAAGCAGCACAACGTGCCTCCGCTGCCGGGATCAAGGGGCATCAAAATGTGAATGCAGTGGTTGTTGTATATGGACATGACGACATTAGAGTCGAGACACCTCCTTGTTGAAAACGTATATAAAGATCGATTCCAGGCACATACTTTGGATAGTATCCACATTCATTTTATTGTTTTATTCAGCTACTACAATGACCGTCGAATACATCACTCTTCAACCCTCTGGTGACAAGATGCCATTTATCGGTTTCGGTACATGGAAGGTGAATTGCGATGTTGCCCCAGAGGCTATCTACAATGCCATTCGCTGTGGTTATCGGTTGATCGATAGTGCCAGCAATTACAAGAACGAGCAAGCCGTCGGCAAAGGAATCAAGATGGCCATTGATGAAGGTATCGTCAAGCGTCAAGATCTTTTTATTACATCCAAGTTGTGGAGCACCTATCATCGCAAGGAAAATGTCGAAAAGGCATGTAAAAAACAATTGCAAGATTTAGGTCTTGATTACCTAGACATGTTCCTGGTTCATTGTAAGTGATGATTGTTATAGGTTTCATTGTTGCATGGTAACTAAAGATGTTGCTATGCGTTGTAGTTCCCCTTCCACTCAAGTATGTCCCAATTGAAGAAAAGTATCCACCGGGATGGTATCAACCAGGCCAAGACGAGATCACGTTGGATCGTGCACCAATGCATGAATGCTGGGGCGCTATGGAAAAGTTGGTTGAAGCTGGTCTCGTGCGTAACATTGGTGTATCCAATTTCAACGTCCAGCTGTTGATGGATATGCTTACTTATGCCAACATCAAGCCTTCCTTACTTCAAGTTGAATTGCATCCATACCTACAACAAGAACATCTTGTACGATGGGCTCAAGCACAAGGGATTGCTGTCACTGCCTATTCATCATTTGGACCTACATCCTTTGTTTCTACCGGCTCTAGGCGTGCTAAATCAGTGGAGCCATTGTTTGAAAATCCAGTCATCAAAGACATTTCCGAAAAGTACAACGTTACTCCTTCACAAGTAGCTCTTCGTTGGTCTCTAGAACGAAATGTGGCTGTGGTGCCGAAATCGCTCAATGTTGATCGCATGAAAATGAATCTCGAAGCGCTCAACTGGAAAATGGATGAGGAAGACGTACAAGCTATTAACCAACTGGATATGGGTTTGCGATTCAATGATCCCATGGTTAACGCCCAAAAGCTGCCCATCTTTTATTGAGTAGCTTGTAGTAGCGAACTTTTCTTTTAATAAAGCTATGCAACATGATGATTACAATTTGACTGTAAAATGGCGATCCATGCATAATCGTAAAGCTAGCATGATGAAAAAGGCTACAATAAAAGCAAGACCGGCAAAGAGCTTACAAGCGAGAAAAGGCTCTGCATGATCAATGTAATCTAGCAAGCCTGCAATATTCGGCCCGAATGCAGCGATACACGTGGAAAGTGTCACGATTGACAACCCTGTGGAAAATTGCTCTGGATTCAAAAGTTCATCCGTAATCGAGGGGACTATGCATATCACACAATTGAGTATTACGCCATCCCGATTTATCATTAGCTAGAAGACGTACCTAGCGAAAAATAGGATCCTCCGGTTGCTCCAAACAATATCGCAAAGACAATCAGGATCGGGTACGTGCTTGCAAACATCCATACCAGCAGGTTGGATAACGCTGCTATAAGCAAAAAGGTAACGTTGGTGGTCAACGATCCCAAAACATCAGCGATGAATCTGCCAAAAGATTAGAAACACAAATTTGATAATAAAAGGATGATACACATACCCACAAGCAATACGGCCAAGGAAATTCATTGCAGAGCTTATTGTAATCAGAGAGGATCCTTGTGCATCCGACAATCCAATATGGCGTGCATATGCTTTCACTCTTGAGATTAGCAATTCTGAGCACAATCGGAGGCCCGTTTCTCACCTGGAAGATAATAAAGGGGTACAAAGTACCCAAGCAATTGTACCACAGCTGCAATGGTCCATGTTGTGAATAATGGGTTTCTCAACAAATCCGACACGTGGGTCCGCTTAAATGATCGATGGGCGACCGTTTCATGGCTGGGCTCTTTGTCTTTGAGAATGAGGCATAACAAAGCATTGCATTGTAAACAAAGACATGCCAACACCCGATACGTCCTTTGCACATAATCAGCATGTTTCATTGTTGATGCAACTCTCCCCCGCTCATGTAGTACCATTGTGGGCCGAGGCTGCTATTAATTACTGTTACAAGTTGAGATATCAAGAGGCCACCAGCACCAGTTGCACCGGCAAGAATACCCATTGCAAGTCCTCGTTGATGTTCAAAGTAGGGCAAGGTACAATTGATGACTGTCTAAGTGCACGTGTCATGTTATGAAATCTTTAAGGGACCGGTTTGGATGCCTTACTATATACATGATCGAAACACCAGAACCAAAGCATACGCCTTGAGACAAGTAGAGTTGATAGATCTGGATACGGCACGTTGTATGGGTGTTATGGATTATCTTTTCTTCTCGCATCACATACCTTTGTTGATAAGCTTGCCAAAAGCATTCCCAATGTGGTAAGAGCACCTGCAATGACAGCAACGATTTTAGTGCCAAAAGCTCCCAAAAGAAATTGAGCAGCTGGACCCATGCAATTAGAGAAAAGGATGGAAAGTGTGCCGACAAAGGTGAGCTGTAAGAGAAGATCATTCTTTGTCTCCTGTGATTCATCATCAGTGATAAGAGAGTGGTGTTCCTGGTAATAGTTTTGCATGATGCCTTTGGTGGTATTGCATGTTGTGAGCAGTAGCTGGTGGATGAATGGTCATGACTAAACCTACCCCTTCTTTATAATGAATATTGGTGTCCTTGTATCATCAAAGTCCACGTTACCATGAATGAATCACTCCATAATTGATTACTAGAACGAGGAAGGAGGCTGCAACAATGATCCAACCATAGTTTATGCCAGCAGCCCATTGGTGGCATGCATGTTTCGGCTTCTTCTCCTCTCGTGTCATTGTTGTATCTATGCTAGCAGCATCTTGGATGACGACCGTTTCCATGGATGATGACTTTGGCAAAGAAGGGAAAGAATAAAATAGCAACAAGAGACCCACGATACCTTGTAGGATGCATAGCTCGTCTATCACCATTTGACGTGTTTATTAGAATTCAGCATTAGCCTATTCTCAATATTGGCTCTTTCAACTTTTATCATACACTATGGCACTCTGCTTGAATCAACTACTCGACAACAAACGATCATGCCCATTCATACTCGTCAACGATTCGGTTCAGTTCTCGGCGTTGCCTCTCCTTGCTGAATTCGCGTACTCGGCGCTACGAGACGATCAGCCTGTTGTCGCCATTCTCACCGAGACTTCTCCCAAGGACTGGATCGATCGTGTTGCTTTTACAGCCAAAGGACAATTGAAGAACATGCACGTTATCGACGCCTATACGGATCCCTTTGGTTGGGATAAGGATACGACTGAATCAGCACATGCAGGCATTGGATCGATGCACACTGTACGCAATCTACGCCAGTTGGGCGACGCACTTCTTGCACCTATCATTCAAAAGACTCAGCATTCAGCAGGCTGTTGTATCATGATCGATTCGCTACATCCACTACTATTGATCTCTCGACGTCAAACGTATCAACTTGTTAAGGCCCTTGAATCACTCACAACAGGTAAAAAAGATCTTCATCTCATGATGTAATCCTAGCTGACAACCGATGATCATTATAGACACAATCAAACTCATTGCAGGATACCATGGAGATATACGGTTGCCAAGCGAAGCACCCCCTGTGATTCCTACATTCGACGCATTGAATAGGCTTGCCTCAGTTATTATCTCGCTCGAAGCTCTTCCTGAACGCAAGAATGATACACAAGAAGCATTAACCGGCTTTGCACCCAAACCAACATTTTCATACATGAACACCATGTCAAATCGAGTGGATCGTGGTGGATTGGCACGTATTGAATGGCGTAAAAAGAGCGGCAAAGTACAGTATGCCACTGAAGGATTCTATTTGGGCAGTAAGGGATTGATCATTGTTGCTGCACCTCAACTCACTGGTGAAGAGCCTGAACCTGAGGTCGATATGGATGACAGCATGGCACAACCTGATCCAACAGCAAATCTCTCCTTTAATTTATCATTGACGGACAACCAACGACGTGCCAAGGATAACGTGGAACTCCCATTTATGAAAGTGCAACAAGAGACAACGAGTACTAGTGGAGGACACATTTATTATCAGCCTGATGCCGGTGATGATTTTGATGACGAAGACCCAGATGATGATTTGGACATTTAGAATTGTAGATACAAGAATATTGCTCATGTGTGTGATTGGAATAAAAGGGAGGGATAAAACACAAGATGGGTATGCTACTACCAATTGGTACTTTTCCTCCTTCCTTGCAATCCATATTTCTTCTTTTTAGTGGTGGATGTGCTTGCTTGATCAACAGCTGGGAGAGGAGATGTCCGATCAAGGGTACGGTTTGTTAGAAACTCGCCGATAGCTGTAAAATAGCCTGGCTGCATGCATGTGTCATTGTGCATCCCATTAGGGAATTGCTTCCAGTCCTTGCCGCACCGACTGCCACATTGATCATGCAATTTTCGCATATGCGTCGGGGGTACAAGCTCATCACATGCACCTGACAAGAATAACACGGGCGTCTTGGTTATACGTCGTACACTGTTTTCAGATGTCCAATGTTGATGACAAAGAAAAGTAAAATGGCGGAGCACAGGCAAGACATGAGGGATCAATTTGGGCTAAGAAAAGATGTCAATGTGCTGCTCAAAGGGGTTGAAAGCATCATAGGAGAGAAATGGATACTTACCACACTCAAGAATGTATTCTCTACAATGAGACCAGCAAATGCATCCTCATTACGTGCCACTAAATCAATAGCTACAGCACCACCAATCGATTGACCATACGCAATAAGCCGGGTATATTTGAGCAATGGGTGTGTGCGGACATATTCAAGCAATGTCTGTTTTTTAGCGTAATAGGGGAAATGAAACACATTTACATGTCAATAATTGATCCTTTGAACGGAGACATCATGCTCTCCTCCGATGTTTTCTCCTTTGAGCTATTCTTTACCTGTGAATCGATTCGTAAACCTTTCTCGTTTGGTTTGCCTTCGCTGTGCCCATAGCTATGGGATACAATCAATAAAAGCATACTTCATTACATCCTCTAAAAGAAGCTTACCCACGATAAGAAAGCATGACTACATTGCAGCGATGCCGTTCATGAAATATTTTGGCAATAGGAAGTCTATGACCCTAAGTGAGGTAATAAAAGTGGATGAGTTTGGATAAAGGGAGAGTTTTGCTTTTATGCACTTACCATATTACCTGCATTAGCCTATACATGGTGTATGATGTATGATGATGATATATAGATGTCTACGTCAGTTTTTATCGGTTGCATACGGGCGAGCAAAGAAGGGAAGAATGATCACTTGCATGGAAATAAAGAATTGTTGGCGCTGCTTTGATTTGCTCTGGATCTTTGCTGACAGTCATTACGTAGGTGTGCAGCCGGATATGATCTCGTGTTTTTAGACGTTCTTCTGTGAAATGGTCAATGCCATAATCGGAGGGTTTGGCCACCTAGATGGATTCAAATCGCGTCAGCCAGCTGGTTTTTTTTTGTCTTTTGTGCCAAAAAGATACGTTACATGTAATCTTGAGCCTTCAGGAAAAGAGCTTGGGTAAATCAGTTCACATTGATACAGGTACAATAATGCCGCTCCCGTCAATCCAGCAATGCCTCCTCCCAAGGATGATAGATTTGGTATAATGACAAATGACGAGGGTGGTGGAGACGATTGCTTTGTTGGTGATGATAAAGTGCTAACCGGAGAAGACTTTGATGATGGCTCGAGCGGATCATCCGACATGATAAATATGCATACGCCTTGGGTGCTGCTGGGAGTTTACTAGTAACAATAGGTGTATGCGTGTTTTTGAAAGGCTTTCACTGAACCGAAATCGTGAACAAGATGGAAGAAGCAAAAAAAAAGTGTATCAATGAGAAAAAGGGAAAGAGGAAAAGAGATAGGCTTTATGTATCTACCACGCAAATATGTGCAGAAAAAGGCAATCCACCCAGCTGGGTAAGTCAGGATCGTCGACGATCACCTCCTGATTCAGTAACATTGATCCGTTGTATAAATGATATGCATGTGCTGGGATCTATCAACCAATAGCATCATTGTCAAAGCCCAAGATCCAAAAAATATGTAGTTTGAGCATGCCTGATATAAGCCAATATGCATCATCTTACATGAAACGGCGGCTATTATTACATGCACCATGTGTAACAGGATCGACGTTGATTAATGGCGCTTGGCCTTTTAATGATCGATTTGCTCTTAAGCGCTATGCACGTGGTAGCTTGATTTGTCATTCATGTAACAAAGACGACCATAGTAGCTCTTTGTTCGTTTCTTATTGTGTTGCTGGGAATGACGAAGTCTATGGCACGTGATCTATTTTAATTCGTCGTCGCTTTGACGTTGACGATCACCGATCATCATCATCATCATCATACTACATAGGCGTTTTAAGCTTGCATCATTTGGCTGTCACAACGCAAGCTGCATGAGCAACGCTAATATGCCTCGCTTGCATGTCTAGTCATGCTGTGGATTAAAAGCTATCAGAATTCAAGCTAAATAGGTTTATCATCATAAAGCCTTAAGATCATTCTCATACCCCATAGTCATTGTTGTAGCACCTATCACGTTGTAGTCCTAATATTGGAAGGTTTACATGAATGGATCAAGCAATGGCGTCCACCATAAACATTCTCCATATTAAGATTGCTATCCTTACTTAAGCGCTATGGATGATCAATGAAGCAACATGATTCTCCACACGCTAACGGTATCTCCGCTGCTGCCAATAACCCAAAGTAAAACCCTTAGGCTGGCGGTGAATGTTTGTAGGTGGATCATCCCATACGTTAGCATATAAGGTTTATAGGTTGAATATGCCCTGCGGAGCATTATCTACGTTTTTCCGCGAGATCCCTTGAAGTGGAATGTGTGGAACGTGGGAAATTGAGCCACAGCAATGACCGATAAAGGTTAGATGGTGTCATTTGTTTCACAAGCTGACTTTGCCCCGCCCTGTAAGGATCAAGTTAGACGTTTGGATTAGGTGGTACCGATCGACAAGTAAGTCAATCCAATTGAAATGTGACAGATGCTACCTTCCCGCATTGCAACTTACTTCCAGATAATGGGAATAGGTCATGTTGATTTGCAGCATTTATTTCTTTTGCTTGGTGGACTCGCATCACACCACGCAAGAATACCCGTGCAGGGGGATTCAAACCCAGTAGTGAGAAAAGAACTTTTTCCAGTAACAGCAACAACAGCGAGCAGCCAAAGGTAAGGATAGCTTGTTGTAGTTTAAACGACAACATCATAAAAGGAGGACAAGGATGATGAACGTATTACAACAGATGATGATGGTGCTAATGATATGGATGGGTGTGGTGGGTTACTATAGCTCAAAAAGAGTACACACACAGGGATGTGAAACCTCACTTGTGACCAATTACTGTCACAGTGCCGTTCACCTTGTTAATTTGACGGAGACCCAATAGGAAATCAAAGTGCCCGGGCAAGCAACCAGTCTTGCGTCTCTTGCCTTTACCCTCTTCCTTTATTCACTCTTACTTTCACCCACCACACACAACACCTTATAGCGGCAGGTCCGTTTCCGCTTATTACGACGACACGGTACGCTCGCTATCTCTCTCTTTCGCTCTCAATTCATTCGCGTACAATTTCTAATCGGGCTGCTCCTTTGATACCCATTTCACTCTTCTTGTGCTCTGCCCCTCTTAGGCCAATCCTCCCTTACTTCCCTTAATTCCGTTCCACCCGTGCATGCGACATCTCCTCGTCTCTTTTACTCTTCCGGTGCTCGAGAATTGAACATGAGCGCAGATACAAAGCTTATCTTGAGCTTGGTCAATCGGATAGCTGTGAGGGTAAGACTCCCATCGGCAAGCAAACGACCTGTCATATGTGTTGACATTACATAATAGCTTCCGAGTAACAATGGACGACAAATCGACAATTTGGAAACCGATCCACTCATTCAACAAACGTGAGTATCATGATACACGACATGTTTTCACTTTGTTAACGCTTTTATGTATACGTGTGCGTGTGTGCGTCTATCTCATATCGATGCGTTATAGTGGTAAGTGTGCCTTGGAGGATATTCCCGCCATTATTCTTTCTCCTTTTCCCCTTTCTCATCCGTTTTCATTATTGTAGTTGCTGCTTTGATCGAACTTTCCAAGTATAGACTACCAACAATCGCAAGTACACTTGTCACTGTATTGGAAAATATATCAAAGGTAGGGTTCAAAAGGTACTGATAGGGGAATGCAGTAATCGGCTCATCATCCATTTATGTAAATGTAGGCAGCACCTGTTGTTATATCAGACGATTTTATTCCCCATGATTTGCTGCGATCACAGCTATTTTTATTACGTATGCTATCAGCATGTATGCAACATCATTGGCAGTTTTATCGACAATCACGACGATCGGCTACCAACAGCAGCTCAGATTCCATTCAACCACAATCACCTGTATCATCAATGAGTCGTGAAGGATCGATGCATAGTACAAGTGCTGATAGTAGTGCTGATCGACATTGGCAGCCTGATTCGACACTCCCTGCTGAACTTGAGGATCCTCCACCATTGGAAGACAACTTGGCAAAGTACATCATCGCCATCATGTCTCGATTCATGCATCAAATGGCTGCTGCTGAGGAAAGAGAACATGGCACTGGTGGTGCAGTAAATATCATGACACGTACCGAATACAATGCAATTATGAATGGTGGATCAGCATCCGATATCATGGTTGATATATACAAGGCTGCAAGTCGTGTGGTCTTTTATGTCAGCGCAAGCAATTGGCCCATCATGTATAGCAAGATCAAGGCTCGCATTCTTCACCTTTCCACCACCGTTGATGAAAATCCAGAGACTGCCGATATGCGTTTGTTGGAATGTTCAGCTTTGAATGCACGTCGTCTCAGCATGATCTTGACAGGTAAGACCAATTCGCTAAATGGGGATAAGCTCAACACGTCAAGAAGGTTCTTTTTTACTCACGCGTTTTTCTTATAGAACTATGCTCCGCATTCATGAATCTGAAAAAGTCGGCCCAATTATTCGTTGCCGTTATTCTTCGTCGTGCCATCTGGAATTGGATCGAGACTTATCCTTCCGAATTCATGCGCCTATGTCACAGCCAAAAGCGATTGGAGGGTGGTCCAGAGATTCTCTTTGATATTTGCAATTCCTTGGCGGATACGACTCGAAAAAAGGCTGTGTTGTGGCCATTGCAGACCATGCTGCTTATTTTGTCACCTGATGTTCTCTTGTCTTCGGCATTGTCGGAAAGTAGAGGTGTCCAAAACAAAAAGGTACAACTATATTGCAAAGGAGTGTATACATCACGTGGCTTACCTTGTTCCTTTTTATAGACCATCTTTTTGAGCGCTCTTAAGAAATCCCTCAAAGGAACTCGCATGGCTGAATTAGCTGCCATTTGTTACGTGGATATCTGTAAAGCAGCAACCTACGTCTCCAAATCGGACGTGTCAGCGCTACGTCATATTGTGCCTGATATTGAGAATGAGCTCAAGGACAAACTATTCGACATCCAACGCCCTCTTATTGCCGACAGCTTGATGAGCAACCTTGGTATTGTTATCGACCATCGTTGTTTACTTGCCGATTGTCTCGTTGCCATGTTCCGCTTGAATCCAAGAGGTGTGATGCATAGCCTCTTCCCCGTTTGCTTGGATGATCGGGCACCTACACTCTTCAAGCTTAGTTTGGTGAAGGCTTGTTTGGCATTGGCCTCTGAAGAAAATCGCCTACCATGGAATCCACCTGTTTCAGCATTATACGAGTCACTGTGTAGCCCTCTTCGAAAGCTCTTCCTTGATTTTATCAGCCGTGATCCCGCCAAATCTGAAACGAGCAGCCAAGGAAGTGCACCCACGACAAGAAAGACCATCATCAACCCGTCAGTCGACAAGCGTGCCAAACGTGATATGCGTAATCAGATATGCACCGATCGATGTGAATTGGTTCTTGATATGCTCCATTTATATCAGGCTGATCCCAAATTGGCAATTCTGGTACGTTGAGTGGTATATTGAGATCTCATGTTGTGCCGATGAATCTTACATTTTGTCATGTTTTAGGGTGAAAATGAGGATCGCTTTGAAGAAAATGCCTCCGTCATGGTGGGTATCACCAATTGTTTACGTGACACCAGACCCGTTGTACGTGATGCAGCAGCCGAATGCTTGATCAAGTTACACACAGCCGATTATATCATGGCATGGGGTCCTTCAAGCCGTTTCATCGAGTCATTTTGGAGAGTTTCATCCCAAGTCGTTTTCACATTGGCAAAGCAGCTGCTCGATACGCGTGAACGTGATGATGGACTTCGAAAATTGCTTGATCTTCTCGCCAAGCTATTGACGTTGAGAAACGAATTCCTTCAACTGCATCAGGTATGATGATGATGATGATGATCCATCATTTTGATCTTGTGTATACTAACATAGGGTTTATTAGGATATTGCTATTCATGGATCGGATGTTCGTGAACGATTACAAGCATCGATTGGATTAGAAGTGGCATTGCTTGTCCTCTTGTGTTCTGCCGACCCTGACATTTGCTCTGGTGCCATTGCATGTTTTGGACATATTTGTCAAGAAGCCCATATCACTGACAGCACTGAAGATCCACAACAACAAGCCCTTACTATCGTTGACAACCTTCCTGTGTATATTGAGCTTACTTCAAACACGGGCATCATTGCTGGTCGAAAGTCACAGCAAAAGCGGATTCGAAGACTCTTGCGTATGATGACACATTATGCACCTGGTAACCTGGCAGCATGGGAGGAGGCATGGAAACGATGGAAATACATGACACCATCCATGGTTCGTGCATATGAGGAGCCAAAAGAGGAACCACCAGAAGCGATCAAAAAGAGTGGTGCTTGGCATGATAAGCTACGCAACAATCCCATGCGACAGAACAGTGGTACAGGTGGCACCAGCAGCTCATCATCTCCAAGTGTTACCAGCACTACTCGTATGGATGGCATTGATGATGATCGATCATCCGAATGGCAGAATTACGCAGGCTTTTTGGCATCTTTGGGCGGTGTGTGCTTGATGGCTGATACTACGGCTCCACCTTCATCTCCCACATCTCCTACACCTACCAAAACACGCATGGATCAATTACAGCAGCCCTATCGTCGTATCTCTGCTACCACCGAATCAGCTACCATGGTTGACAAGTTTGTGATGGAAATGGTGGAGTTGATGATTTGCGACAATGTCATTGTACGTGAATGGGTGCGTGAAATTCTTGGTACCGACTTGTCACCAGCATTGTATCCTATCATGTTCCGTCATTTGGAATATACTCTTGCCAAATGCTTTGCTGCCGATCATGATCCCATTTGCAGTCCTCGCTTCACCTTATTCGTTGAACAAGCTATCTCAGTCCTCAAACTCGTGTTGGATCGCATGGATGATACGGTCGACAACCTCTTTACTGTTGATTTCAGTGGATTGATCAGCCAATACGCCCAATACCTCAACAAGCTCGGCAATAACCCACAATCAATGAAGATCAAGATCAAAATGTGTCAGCTATGCGAGGTCTTGATGCAACGAAAGGATCGAATCACTTTGCGTCAAGAGTTCCGTTTGCGCAACAAGCTTCTTGAAATCATTGTGGAATGGACCAGCGATTTTGCTCTCAAGCATGAGACATCCCAATATGGCTCAACCGAATTGAATCAAGTGGAAAAGTTGCAACGTGATCTGGATTTGGCATGTTTGAAGACGATTGAAGTTCTGTTGCATCAATTGCCATTGCAATCTTCGGAGCCCGTCCATGAAGTTGATTCTACGCAAGTCAAGAGCAGGATTTTCTACAAGTACTTTACCTTCTTCCTAAAGTTGTTGAATCGATGCCGTATCTCCGAGATCGAATCCAATCCACACAATATGCCAAATCAAGAAGTCATCCTTGTCAACAAGAACAAAGAAAGTGTCACTGCATTGGCTCCTCTCAAGCATTATACCATTCTTGCCATGTCCAATCTTTTGAGCGCTAATGTGGACGCTGGTCTCAAGTATTCTCTTTCCATGGGTTATCACGAAGATACTCGCACAAGGACGGCTTTCATGCAGGTGTTGACCAACATTCTTAATCAAGGCACCGAGTTCGAGACATTGGCTGAGACTGTAAAGACCGATCGTTACGAAAAGTTGGTGGATGTGAGTCTTCTCGTTCATTTTTCGAGGGTGGTGGAAGAGAACCATGATTTTATTAACATGTATATTGCTTTTAGTTCTTGGTCGAGTTCGATCTCAACATTGCTCTTTCACTTTGCGACGTATGTCCATCTGCCGATATTGATGAAGTCGCCAATGTATTGCTCGCTTGTTTTGCATCTCGTAACAAGACCTTGGTATTGCTTGAAGCTGTGATTGAAAAGGAGGTTAACAATACAAGTAAGTTGACAAGATGGTTGATTGTAGTCCATAGTGGGATGCTTATTTTTTGGTTCATTGTAGCGAGCGAGAGTGATCTTTTCCGTAAAACGAGCATTGCAACAAGATTATTGTCGGTCTTTGCAAAGAATTATGGTGGCGATTATGTTCGATCCGTGCTCCATCCAGTCTTCCAACAGCTTGCAGAGAAACCAGCTGAAGAGCGTACCTTTGAGCTTGATCCATCCAAGGTTGGCCCTGGTGAAGATGTGACCAAGAATAAGCAAAACGTGGTGAATGCCACAGAGTTGTTCCTTAATGCTATCTGTGCATCGGCAAATGAAGCCCCAAGGTAAAGCGAAAGGTTTATTCATGCAATGTATATAATACTCATCATCTTCTTCATCCCTAGAATCTTCCGTGAGGTGTGTCAATCGATTCTCAACTCTGTTTTGAAACGTTTCCCCGAAGCAATGCATACAGCTCTTGGTGCCTTTGTCTTTTTACGTTTCTTTTGCCCTGCCATTGTTGCCCCAGAAGCTGAAGGTCTCGTCAAGAACTCTGCTGTTTCACGTGAAATGCGTCGTGGCCACTTGATTGCTACCAAAGTTATCCAAAACCTTGCCAACAATGTGCTTTTCGGTGCCAAGGAGACCTACATGATTGTACTCAACGACTTTTTGACAAGCAATATTTACAAGGTTACGAGCTTCTTGCGTGAGATATCCAAGGTGCCACCTGCAACAGCTTCTAGCGGCGAGGATCATGGTGAAATGCGTCATATGGATGATAAGGACTATGCACTATTGCATCGCGTCTTGGCGGACAATATGGAGCGTATTTCTCGTGATTTGGCTACTCGACGTTTACGTCAATTCCATGATCAAGAGTCGATGGGCTCTTGGAAACGATCCTTTGACAAGTTTGCAAACCTGCTTGCTCAATTGGGTCGCCCACCTGAAATGCCCAAACAAGAAATCAGTGGTTTACGCAGCTACAAGTTTGCAGCCATCAACCAGGTCTATGCCGAGTTTATGCGTCGCAACAGCCATCGCAGCGTTGAAAGCATCATCGCCAAGAACATTTTTTATGAAGGTGGTACATCCAGAGCAGGTCGCCCGGTGTTTTACCTTATCTTGCGGAACATTGTTGCCGACAGCATTGATTTTGAATTGCTCATTTATTACGCACTTCAGGTATGTTTATCATGTGTAACCATGCTGTTACAAAAGTATTGACTTTGACATGTGTTTAGGTCATGGAACGAGTAGCCAACAAGGCATGTGAAGTTGTCTTGGACATGACCCAATTTGGTCCATCAAATGAAATCCCCAATCAATGGATCAGCCAGTTGTTGCAACTTTTGCCATTTGACTTGTACGACAATGTGGCCGCCATCCACATTTACAATCCCAACTCATTCTTGCGAAAGTACATCAAGAAATTGCCTCGCCCATTGACACACAAGATCAGCAAACGCTTATCTTTTGCCGTGACCCTTGTGGAGCTGCAAGAACATATCCATGCTTCTGAAATCCGCTTACCAAAGTCAACGAGTACGTATTACCATCCCTTTATTTTTGTTCATGTATACTAAATCATATCATTTATAGCTGCTTTGGAAACTGAGCCCAGTGCTGTATTCTTCCCTGTCAACCGCATTTCACAATTCAAGGCCCAGATCCCCGTCACTGTCAAGGTCGGCTCCGAGTATATCCAAGTCATGACTGTGCGTAAGCAGGAGCTCTTTTACAATATCAGCGCGGTGACAAACGACGTTTTCCTTATATCCGATATCGAGGATATCACTATCGGGTCACATGGACGTGACACTGAACATGCTACCGAGCTAAGCTTCAAGTTCAACCGTGGCAAATCTCAGGTCACGTTTTCAACTCCCAAACGAGATACCATGATCAGCGTAAGTCATCATCATTCATCTTTGTTGTAGTTTCTTTATTCATGAATCATGTGTCTATTTGTAGGCTATTCGCCATAGCAAACGTAGATATGAAATGTCCAAGCCATCCAACTTGACTGAAAGAGCGATTCGACCCAATGATGTCCCTGGACGTTTACTCAACATGGCATTGCTCAATATCGGCAGTGATGATCCCAATCTTCGTCTTGCAGCTTACAATCTCCTTTATGCTCTCAGTATGACGTTCAATTTCGATGTCGGCAAGCAATTACTTGATGCCAAAGGTAAAGAAAGGATGATTTTCATGGCTTGCACATGCTCACTTTTTGTATTTTCAATCATAGATCTCTGCTTGCCTGCCAACAGCACATCATTTATCGTCAACATCAGTGAGAAGATCGCTGCCACTGAGCCTGGATTTACATTGGAGTTTTTGAGTGAATGCTTTGTTGGCTTCAACAAGTCAAGTGAACCATTACGCTATTTGTGCTTGGATTATATGACACCATGGCTTCCGAACCTTGCAATGTTTTGCCGTGGAACACCAGAGGATGTGAACAAGACCAAAGAAGTGCTTCGACTATTGATTGATCTCACCGTGGCACGCACAGATGTAAGTATTCCTTCATACGCAAGGATTTGGCATATGTATTTACCCTCCTATTAGATGTACAAGTTGGTGCAAGCCAAGATCTGGAAGACGATTGGCAAGGTCGATGATATTATCAACATTGTTCTCGATGCCTTCATCCTCTATTCAAATCAACATGGTGTTGGATCAACACAAGCTGAAGCTATGGCCGATACATTTGTCACTCTATCGAATGTTGCTGTGCGAGGCAAGGTGATATCCAGGTTACGCAAGGTGCTTCAAAAGACATCATTCAAGCCAACACGGGTGTTGACGGATCATCCTACTTGGACTGAGATTGCTGTATTGCTTCGATTCATTCTCATGCTATCCTTCAATAATCGTGGTCCTGTGAAGAGTTACGTGCCTGAAATCTTCCACATCGTATCGCTCGTTGTTGGTGTTGGTCCCACTATGGTGCGTGCATCCGTTCATGGGCTAGTTATCAACATGATCCAGTCGCTTTGCACGTCGATGCCACTCAATGAAAGCAACGTCAAGAAACTCCAGCTACTCCTTACAGAGTTATCGGATTCCAAATCACGATTGTTGTTTGGTCTTTTAAAGTCGCATACGAATGCTTTCACTATCACCACGGAGACATTGACGGATACTGCTGAGCCCATCCAACTAGGATCCTTGGAGACCATTGTCAACCATTTACTTGAGGTTTTGCATAATGGTGCACCTTCTACAGGTAAGCTATCTTTACCCTATACATAGGATGAGGACACTCACAAAAGTATGATAGATGTTGCCAATGCATGGAGAGCCCGATGGATGGGTCTTGTTGCTAGCACAGCCTTCCAATTTAATCCAGCAATCCAACCACGAGCCTTTGTTGTATTGGGATGTCTTGGTCGTGAAGAGATCGATGATGATTTATTATACCAAATCTTGGTTGCTTTACGTGGCGCTTTGGCTATTTTCAACGAGTCGGATCCCAACCTGGTGCTTAGTATCATGATGTGTCTCAAGAACATTGTGGAGAGTCTCCCTGGTGATTCACGATACCTGCTTCAATTGTTTTGGGTGGCGATGGCATTGGTGCAAGTCAATCATAGTCCCGTCTTTGGCATGGCTGTCGAACTTTTGCAAGCTGTTTTGCGTGCACTTGATGCGGATGAATTGTTTGTTGGCGAGGGCGTAGCAGATGTACTTTTGGCAGCACGTGAGCCGATTGCTGATGTGGCAAGACAACTCGATCAATTATGCGGTGTTAACTTTGAGACCCACTTTTCGTTTGCTGTGGCGGGCACATTTATGAAAGGATTACGACACAGCAATGCCAAGGATATGATATACCAGGGTCTGACCACATTCTTGGATATTGAATGCAAGCAACGAGGATTCAGCGACATGATTGAATCACGTACATTGGGCTATGTGGCAGGCTTGTTACCTATTGCAGCCAAGAACGAGGCACTCAAGGAGTTGTTGCGTCTTGCAGGCTTGGATGATTTGGATATTGACAGCACACAAGCAAGCGTCACCTATTATGGCATGTTTGATCGTCTCGATATACCTGACAACACGACGGCTTTGTTATTGATCTCCTTGTTGGCCACCCAGCTCAATTCAGCTGACAATGAGTCCGAGCGCCTGTTTATTTATGGATTACTTTCAGAAGCAGCCGTTGCTATGCCCGAAGTCTTTGCTCTTGTTTATGATACACTTCTTCCCAAGATGAACCAAATTGTGATCAGCAGCCAAACACAACCTATCCTCGAATCAGTCAAATCGATTCTCATTACAGCTTGTTCGGATCCTGTCTTTGGAGAAGCCAAACACAAACGCAGCCAGAAAATGTTACTTGAAGAACTTGGATTTGCAGCTTTGGGTGACCCTACTTTTGGTGCTGCCTCGACCAATGTCCTGCATAATGCAAAATTAGCCAGTGAGATCGTTGAGAAGATCATTGCATAGTTTTTATCCTTGCTCCTCCTATTTATAACGCACATTACATACACACGCACACACACACACACGAACGACTCCTTCCACCATACGCACATGACTTTTTCTCTTCCACTTTTCACACAATTGTAATAATCCCATACACTCACACACACACACACACACACACATCATTCCCCCATCTTTTGTACGTAATTTCCGAACAAGAAAAAAAGCCTTTTTTATTAGAATTTCTTAATTGACAGTGATCCTCTTGGAGGTTGAAGATTTGGTCTTGGGCATAGAAAGATCGAGAACACCATCCTTAAAGTTAGCCTCGATATGATCCTTGTCAACATTGTCGGGTACTGGGATGGTACGTGAGAAGGAACCATAACGACGCTCCGAATATCGAACATTATCGGTGCTGGTTTGAGTAGAGTGCTTGCTTTCGCCTGAAAATGTCAATGAATTGTCATTTACATTGACATGGATATCTTCTTTGTGGACGCCTGGGAGCTCAGCGTGGACGTTGAAAGCCTTGTCGTTTTCAGTGATTTCAACAGCTGGATTGATACCACCAGTATCAAAGGCGCATTCTGAGAGACGACCATGGCGTGCCGAGTCCCAAAAGTTTTCCATCATATTGGTCATACGACGTTCAATGTTGTCAAGAGTGTTGTTGTTTCCCCAGTTGATCAATGACATGATGATAAAAGATGTATTGTTGATTGTATGATCGTGGTAGTGGAAGCAGCCTCCTTTTTATAATTGTAGTCAAGGGTATCGGTTTCGTCATGCAAACATCGTTAGTGGCTAGGAAGTGGGATACTTTATATGTAAAGTTTATATCAAGTTGACGTATTAATCATGCGGTGGCACTAGTCATTCGCGTGGTGTGATTGGACGAATAAAATATCCTTCCATGCATTGATGAATGTTATAGAAGGTTATGCAAGTGTGTGAAAGAGAAACAACATGTTTGCATTTGTGAACTTCTTTCTATGATATTCGATGCTTAGCACTACAAAGAATGAATGTATTCGTTATCAAGTGTTGGGTGGTTCATTCATTGAACAACCAATAAAGTGATAAGGGAGTGTGAATCATGCCACACTGGGCAGGCAGGCGGTGGTGGGCAGGCGGTAAAATTTCCTGAATTCGCCTACACCAGAGATCCTTCTCTTTTGAAATACATCCATCATGGGTAATGTACCATCCATCCATCCAACCCATCTATCCATCCATCCAACTTCTTCATATGCATCATCATCAACGATCTATCGACCTTATTCAACATTCATACGGCTTTTATTGAATCGACTTTTTTTTGCATATTACGAGAAGAAACGGATGCTATCACTGCCACAATGCAAGAGTTACTAATGCGACATTACGTTATGTTCTATAGGTAAAGGACAACCTAGAGGTTTGAATGCCGCCCGTAAACTTCGTGTTCACCGTCGTGAGCAACGCTGGGCTGACAAGCAGTACAAGAAGCGTGCCATTGGTACCGCTTTCAAGTCTTCTCCTTTCGCTGGCTCCTCCCACGCTAAGGGTATCGTCCTTGAAAAGATGTAAGGCAACTCGATCGGTTTCTCTCTCTATTGGATGAGGACAATGTTGACAATGATATTTATACAATAGTGGTGTCGAAGCTAAGCAGCCCAACTCTGCCATTCGTAAGTGTGTCCGTGTCCAACTTATCAAGAACGGCAAGAAGATCACTGCTTTCGTTCCCAACGACGGTTGTTTGAACTACGTTGATGAAAACGACGAAGTCTTGATTGCCGGTTTCGGTCGTAAGGGTCGTGCCGTTGGTGATATTCCTGGTGTCCGTTTCAAGGTTGTCAAGGTTGCCGGTGTCTCTCTTCTCGCCTTGTACAAGGAAAAGAAGGAGAAGCCCAGATCATAAATCATATGTCTTGTTCGTTTTACAAATCTGTACATCATCATCAGCAATCATGCGTCATGAATAAAATGTTGCTGCGTGTGGATATTATGTATAAAAAGAGAATGGATGAAGGATGTTGTCACGTGTTGCTAAGGGCCGTACTTTTGTTGCTATGCGATGGTGGCAAATTCAATTGGATGATGACGACAATGCTGTCTCCGATCCACAGCGTGTGAGCTTTACACCAAAAGTGGGGTTTGATCCTGCACTGTTCTGTTCCTTCTTTCCAGGTTTGTCATTCCGTAATGTCAATGACCCCTTTGCGATCGCAAGTTATTGCACTTTACAAGCAGGTATTGAAATAGCAGAGCTTTGAGATGTTTTATCTTTATGACTTATGCAGACACGTATAACTATAGTTGGCCTATCTTGGACGAGAATACCCGCTAGGATATGAGAACTTCTTCAGGCCACGACTGAAATCCGCCTTCATGAAGAAACGCGATTTGACGGATGAAGAAGAGATTAAAAAGGCTATAGCCATGGGTGAATACGTTTGTAAAGGTAAATAAATCACATGATATGGGTGGTGATAATGAATCAATCATTACTAAAATATGGAGCGTTAGAACTTGAAGCTCTGTACTACCTTCGTAAATATCGTGCCATGCGTAGACGCTATGTGCAGTGAAATGGCCATGTGTGTGTAAACCAAAGTGGATTTGGAGCAGGGCCGAATAAATGGGAGATGTTACACGAAGCAATTTGGTTGGATCTATCCATGGTTCTCATCCTTTTTTCTTTCCTTCTTGTTGTCTCTTTCCTTTCTTTTATTACTCATGTTGCCTAATTCTCGTATTGTACCGCCTCCTTCACACTCAATGTCCACTCATTCTTCTCAACCACACCAAGACGCGTATCGAAAACGCTCATTGTCAGCTGCTGCTCCTCCAAGTCACTATCACCACCACAACCAACAACAACGATCCGACATGTCATCTTCAAAGCAGCATTCCAAAAGTTTTCTTTCCAGATTTCGTGCATACCCACAGTCGAATGGCAGTATCAATTCAAAGCCTCCAACACCTTATTCTTATCATGAACAACAACATCGTCCTCACACTATGTCTACATCATCCAGTATGGACTCGATCTCAGATTCAAAGTACGCGTCCAGACAACGACATGCATCCATGATTAGTACGAGTAGATCAACAACGGATGCTGCAGCCACTCCTAATGATGCTGTATATAAGAAGGTAAGCCAGGAGAGAAAGATGAGAGAGAGAGAGAGAAAAAGAGGAAAAAACAAGACCAGATCATACATGAACAACATGGAAAAAGGAGAACAAGCATTGATGATAAGACTTTTATGAAACGCATGTAGCCGAATCAAAAAGGAGCTATCAAAGGCGGCCTGGGCAGGATCTTTCGCAAATTAAGCAGGGTAAATCATTACGGGGATTGGTTGATGCTTTATGTACAATGCTCATCAATGGTTTTAGGCGAATGATGAAGATGATGATATGCTGGATGATGCACCTCGAGTACGACCTATCTCTGGAGATTCAGGGCATCGTATTGCAAGTCGTACACCTCATCGACACAACATACCACTTGCACCCGCACCACCGACACCGCCACAATCAACACCTTCTTCCCGTTCTCCTCCTCCACCACCCCCAACAAAAAGCACCATCGTGCCTGATACTACCATTGCCGATATTCCATCCGATTACCTTGTTCGACCGCCTGTGCATAGAAGTGTTAGCAGCAGTGCTGCAACAACAACAACAACGTATCATAGTAACAAGCAAATACAGCAACCACAGCAACATCCACAATTACCACCCACACCACCACCATCTTCTTCATCGACACCTTCACCCACCTCTCAATCTCGTGGATATTATCAACCAAGGAAAACTCAACCCCCTGCTACTTATTCTATTTACAGCACATTTGGTCCTGATCCAACAAATGAAAATGCATCCAACACAGTTGACGATCTCACTCGTATTGTCAATACCAATGTGCAACGTCGTACACAAACCATTACATCTCCATCATCTATTCTTCTGGAGCACAATGACGATGACGATGACACCGATGATGATGAACACAGCAGCAATCGGCATTTAACTTTTGACGTGACCCCTATTGCTACGATTCAAGAAGAGAGTCGATCCATTTCCGAGAGTGACAAAGAGGATGATGATGATGATGATGACGATGATGAAGAAAGTGAAAGCGAAGAGGAGGAAGAAGTTGAGGAAGAAGACGATGTTTTTGTCGATGCCACAGGTTCTTCGCAAGATGATATTGAACGAGAAAAACGACTTTCCAAACGACTTAGCGGTGGCCATTTTGGTAGCGCTGGAGGATTGATGATTGCAACGACTCAACAACAAAAGCAACAAAGGAGACGTAGTCGACCCCCACCCGAGGATATTGCACAAGCGATGCTGAATTGGAAACGTCATAGTGGTGGTGCAGGCAAACGTTTCAGTGGTGCAGCATGGGCTGCTGCAGCTGCTGATCTTGCTGAAAAGAAGCCACCCACGCAAAAGCAACAACAGGATGAACAACAGGATATGGATAAGGAACAAGTACGACAAAAGGCTGCTGAAGCTTTGACTGGAAAGCGTTCTGAAGAAATCAAAAAGGAAGACAAACCGCCTCAGCCAACTACAACAAAGATTGCAGCAGACACAAGCAAGTTTTTGACAGACAACTCGTCATTTTGGAAAGATACCGACACCGACTTGTTCCAAGTACACGATCCTCGCCTTGATTCATCATCAACCTCCACATCTGATCAAAGTCAAGATGCAAAAGAAGCTGCTCAACATTTATGGGATGAGGACAATGTTATTACTTCTCGTGAACGGATCGCTGAATGGCTAGGTCAAGGGTAGGTGTTGGCTTTTACTATTGTTATTCAGCCTACGTATCGATCACTAACCTATTTTCCCATGTCAGCAAGCCTCATAATGCTGAAGTATTGGTTCATTACATGGACAAGTTTGAGTTCTCCCATATGCGATTGGATAATGCATTTAGGTAAGGACCATGGGATGGTGTACCTTGTTTACATTTCTAATATTATGCAGAAAGCTGTGCAGCAAACTCTATTTCAAGGCCGAAGCACAACAAATAGACCGCATCTTGGAGGTGTTTGCTAATCGTTATTGGACATGCAACCCTGATACCATATTGAGAACTGCCGGTAAGTTGTTTTTTTCTCTTCCAAAAATCATTCACGTGCATATCTCAGGAGACCTAATGTATGTTGCTTTTAGATGTTGTTTATGCAGTGGTATACTCGGTATTGCTACTCAACACTGATTTGCATGTTGCACAAGGCAATTATACCCGAATGACACGTCAAGAATTTATTCGCAATACGATGGCTGCCGTGCATGATCAACGCTCCGTATCAGATGAGATTGAAAGTGGAAGCTCCAAATTCTCCAAAGAATGGGAAGCAGATGTGGAGGCTTATTTACGAGTAAGCGTGTATAACAATGAACCCTGTATTCATGGTGCTAAATGCTTTCTACTTTAGGAATTGTATACTTCAGTCAAACAATACCAAATCCTTCAACCATTGTCTCGGCGTTCCACCATTGCACATGATCCTTTTGACAAACGTGGCAGCATCCTTAATGGTCGTCGTGTGGTTGGCTTGAAACGCAGCGTGGGATCTATTATTAGACGTTCTACCTTGGTAACCGATGAAGTGCAGGTAAAAAATGAAACATGATTTTCTTTGTTTGATCCTTTATTCATTGTGTGATTTTTTTCTTTTGCAGCCACGTGTAAGTTCTAGCTCCAATGCTCGTCCCTCCTCACCAAGTTCGAGGCGTGAATCTTTCTCATCGATTGGATCATCAACATCTTTTGGTTCAAGAGCACGTGCTTCAAGTCTACAGCATTCTTTCCAACCCATGATCAACTTTATGGAGGCTCATAGTTCAATCCTTTTCGAGAATCGGCCACCCTATATTAAGGAAGGCGTGGTGATGCGTAAACATTTATTGGAGAACGCCAACCAAAAAGCCAAGCATCGAGAATGGAGAGAGTGCCTATTACAAGTGACTGAAGGCGAGCTCAAGATGTATGCTTTACAATCAGGCGCTGACGTGGATCGCCGAAGTGTGTTGCGTGCTAGCAGTGCTAGTTTTGCCAATTTATCCGACAAGGGCTCTTTACAATCATCTGCTGCATCTTTTGGAGGCGTACCAAGTAGCAAGTGGGCTGTAAGTTATTATTCATTCATTGTTGTTGTATCACCTCGATATCAATGTTGTATTTCTACATATAGGCAAGTTCTCAACCACTCGCAAGCCTTGTCTTGAATCACACCTTATCGAACATCCTTCCTCCACCAGGCTATAATCGACAACGACCTCACGTATTTGCCATCCAGCAACCTGATGGTGGAGTCTACTTATTCCAGACAGCATCACAGGAGCAGTGCAATGAATGGGTAGCTACATGCAACTATTGGGCTGCAAGAGAAAGCAAAGAACCCTTACCAGGTGGTGTCAGCAATATGGAATATGGTTGGGGTGGATGTTTGCATGATGTTGTCATACACAAGGAAACGGATGAAGTACACGTCCAAGGTAATGATGATCCTGACGCAGTCAACATTTTCGATTGGAAGCCACCAACCCCACCATTGGTATCAAGCACGCTCGAGGAAGAACAACAACTTGAAGTTTTGAAGAAGCATTTGAACGCATTGGAACAAGAGATTGATGATCATAGAGAACTCAAACGCAAGATCCTTGCAAAGGTATGTGATATGACCCAAATAGGCGTGGACGAAATCCTCACATGTTTTTTTTTGTAGTTCCCAAGCAAGAGTCAAAATCATTACAAAGCCATCACCAACTGGGAGGCCAAATCTAAATACCTGCTACATGACATTATCAAATACCAAAACTACTGCGATGCATTAGAGAAGAGCATTCAGGAACAACAAAAGGCGGCGGAAAAATCACCTGTCTCCCCAGCCGAAGCAACCGATATCCATCTCGATTATACAGAAACCAGCGTTGATCTTGTCAAAGAGATCGGAGAGGAGCTGCGAGCAGCTCGTATTTTAATTACTTGATTTCCCTGTTAACCTAAAACTACATCTATACTCTGTATTACTGCTACACAAATACATTTGTAAAACATTGTTTGATTTTCTTTATTGTCACTTTGGCGTATATGGAATGCATTCGGCTGTTGTATGTAACAATGTAGTAGCACGCTTTGAACGATTACAATAGGAGCAACCAACGCTTTCATGGTCAATGAAAAGTATGACATGGTATAATGCAACAAGAGAGTGATGTTTATAGTAGTCGTGTGATTATATAGTACAATAACGTTGAAGCATGATAAAAGATTCTCAAGATTGGTATATATTTGTATCATGATAGCGATGTTGGGTGATGATTAGCAGAAATGGCAGCCATTTGTCTCCATACACCATCCGACCCTGCTTTCCAAAGACGAAGTTTGCCATCATCACCTGAAGAGGATAGGATCGTGCCTGTGATATTCCATTCCACACGCCAAACCTGAAAATAAGTAGCATGGTTGGTTGTTGACAATCATGGTGCCATCCTCCCAACCCTAATCTTACCTCCGCATGATGATCATTGAATGCAGCAACCAATTCAATTTGCATATGACGTTGACTATTCCTTTGCTTAGCGGTGGCTGCAGGCGAGAATTGACCATAACGGGGTGTCGATGAGGCATTATTTTGAGGCTCTGTCAATTTGAAGATGCGCACATAATGATCCTTGCTTGCCGTTGCAATCAATTGATATGATCTGTAGAGGGTCAAGATCAGCGCCAAAGGACTGTGAACATTCCAAGATCTTACCTTGCCATGCTAGGGGCCCAGCTCACATCATGTACTTCTTGCTCATGTCCTGGTAGAAATTCGCCTGGATACCATCGGCTATGACCATCATGTCTAAAAATCTATCCACAATCATTGTCAGCTAATGCTTAGACGTTGATAGATAGCATCTCCTTACCCTTGCACCGATTTCTTTGCCAAGGCCTACAACCATCATTGCTGTTGTGGTACGATTAGGACACCAATCGATACAATAGCCGCTATCAGCATCACCAGGACCATGTAACACGTTGGCTGAAGGGGGTACTGTTGTGGTAGGAATAGTGCCTTGTGATGAAGGTGAAATATTCTGCACGGCAGGGTTGACGGGGTTGGCGGTGGGTGTCATTACAGGAAAGGGACCCGTAGCTCCTTCTGTATTGGATAAACCATGGCTAGCGATTGAAGAGCTGCTAGAGCTTGTGCTGTTTGTGTTTTGTGGTGCTGATGTGGGTGGTTCTGGTAAAGGTGGATGGGGTGGTAATGGTTGATCATTATCCCGCAAGGCAATCTCAAATTCCTCCATTTGCGACCATTGTGTAAGATTGGTAGGCTCCAATGCTTCATAGATACGTACGATACCATCTGCTGAACATGTTGCCTAAATGTCACATGTGATGATGAGTTTACCTTGACTGGATATCCCTTGTTGATCTTTTTCTTACCAAACGTAATGCTCCAGCAATAGGTGAAAATGCGATATCCAATACAGCACCACGAGATTCCACCAAACGAAAGCGTTCAGCCCAACGTTTTTGACTCATTTTTGGTTCTAAATAGGTCATCCACTCACACTATTAGATTGATGATGCTGCATTGGGTTCATATACCCCGCACTTTGGATTACCAATAGGCTGCTCCTCCCATATCTTAACGAGCCGATCGAGTGAACAGCTTGCAATAACCTGCCCATATTCGGGATGTGCCCAAATAGCCTTAAGGATAGACGAGTCGTGTGCTTTCCAAGAGTCGTTCAATTCCCAAACAGCGGCATCGTCTCGTTCCACAAAGTCCCATACTTTCAATCGTTGATCGGACGAACATGTCACAAGTCGTTTGCCGTAAAAGTCGTAGGCAATGTCGTGGATAATGTCCTCGTGTGAAGTGTCAAACTTGGTGATACTGCTCATCGAGAGTGAAAACGCGTCGAGAGGGAGGTGTGTCCAGGGCAACGGGTTGAGTGGTGGTGGTGGTGGTTGGCAGTGAAGAAAGAAAAAAAAAGACAAAGATGGATACACGCCGACCGCTGTTCTTCGGAACAATTGTGTTGTTTTCCCTCTCTCTTCTCTTATGCTGCTGTCTCGCTGTTATTGCATCACTTTATTGCAAAGGAGAGCATTATCCTCTATTGCTGCAAGAGCAACAACATCATCCCATGTCGTAAAGTCAAGCACTGGCAGGGGCAACAATCTTCGTCCAAGCGAATACGAGCTAAGAGTCGGGTTTGGTATGTGTATAAAAGGGGTGTAGCCCAAAGGCAGTACCAACACCGAGAAACAATGCATAATGTTGACTCTGATCCTTCTTCTTGAACAGCGATCCGGGTCTTGCAGGATGAGCTCCCTCAATTCTTTCAACACGGGCTAAAGGAACACAGCATTTACTCACAACACATTGTACTATCCGATCCTCATTATACTCGACTCTCGGTGCCAGGGCGTACAGCATATTTGGGAATTGCAGAAACGCTTCGCTGGAGCCTAAGGCTCTATTTTGATGATATCCTGTTCGAGATCACGCGCCTTCGCGTTCAACCAGACCAGTTAGAAATACGATGGCGCTTAGAAGGACATCGTCACCCATCCTTGTTTCTAGGACGCATGCTGGGACTTCATACAACGGGGCCTATGAGACATTATGAAGGTGTATTCTTATACAAATTTGATTCCAAAGGATACATCAATGAGCATTGCATTCAACACATTGTGCCACCACCCAGTCGACGCATTTTATTCATACACTCTCTTGGAGGTCGATTGCGTGCATATTGGGAGGAGATGAAAAAACGTCGTGTTCCTGAATTAAGTCCAGTATAGTGGAATCATCAATAAAAGAGAATACCAAAAACAATACATTTACGCATTGTTCCCGAGATCTCATTGTTTGATATCTTGTTTTGCTCTTATAGACCGACAACCCCTTTGTCTATATAAATCAGCGTTGATGCACTCTGTCAGTAGCGTTTACATTTACAACAACGAGCTTTATTATCATCATGAGTCTTCAGTGCAGAGTGTGTGGCAAGGAGTTCCCCGAGTTTGATCAACGAGGATTTCGAAACGCAGGGTTTACCGCTCATCAAAATCGGTGCATTGGCCGAACAGCAGCAGCAGCAGCAAATAATCAAAATGTGCCTGTATCCAAACCATCGCCTCCAAGACGTCGTCTCCTTCCAGCTACTACTACTGCTGCTGTTACCATGGCATCCATCATTCCTCCTACTTCGCCAACATCCTCAATGCAAATGGATTATTGGCAACAACAACAACAACAGCAGCAGCAGCCTCAAAGCTATGCTTCCTTTTATTCGTCACCACCCCAAGCCATCATGATGGTATCGTCTCCTCCAACACAGCCTCCTTGTCCTCCTCCATCTCAGCAGCAACAGCAACAACAGGAACATTATCTTCCCCCAACAACCGGTGGTTACGTTATGCAGCAGGAACAACAATATCAACCCATGACAACCGTTGCCATCGCTACCGCTGCACAATCCCCTTCAACAACAACGCCTGTTTCTTGTTCAATGGATTTTCCCCCTGTTTATCAATGTGATTTTTGCGTTCCTCAGCATGGATACCACAATCCTTCTTGTCCACTGCTTCAAGTCTTCATTGATATGATGAATCAACAACAAGGTCCTTCCTACCCATCCTCTTCCTCTCAGCCTTTCTAGATGCACTCCTTCCCTTTTTTCTTTTACAAGCCGATTCCATTCCATTCTATCCCTTTTTTTCCCTTTTCTTAGTTTTCCATATATAGCCATTGTCTTTGTTCTATGCCCACCACACAACCCATGTTGCTACCATGTGCACATGCTTTTTATGCACGCTATAGTATTCTTTCTTCTTTCCGTATCCTCATTGCTGTAACCCATCATCATCACCATCATCATCATCATATGCATTCATTTATCATCAAGTATCGATACTTCATATGCCAATTACACTCCCCGACAATGACTCTCTGTGAATCACAATGACAAAAAAAGAATAATATCTCCAAAAGCAATTACAATGCGTATGTTTATGTATGTTTGTGAGTGTACGACAACATGTGTCATTTTATTGTGTGTACGAGAATCACATGGCAATGTCAAACTTTGCATCTCTTCTGTTGAGTTTCCCGTTCACGCCAAACTTTGGGGGGTTGATTGTTCTCCTCTTTGTCTATAAACCTCCACCACCACCACCTCCTCTCCTTCCCAGTTTGACGGAACCCGACAACCTTCTCCTCCGACAACTTTTATGAATTCAATGGGCGTTGTGCATCGGAAGCCAAGCAGCATGACCACCGCCGAAGAAATTGAGCTACGCGAGTCCATGGACGACGATCGTGCCAATCTTCTTGGTGACAAGAAACAAGCTACCAGCAAAGGCAAGCGACTCTTGAGCTGGCGGGAACTACCCGAATGGATGAAAGACAATGTCTATATCACTGGTGGATACCGTAAGCCTTCCGGTAGTTACATTCGATCCATGTACAGTCTTTTCTATATCCATAATGAGAGTGGTAAGTGATGATGATACCACAATGCATTGATGATAGTGGTCAATTGACAAGTGGATGATGATGATGATGGTAGTCAATATATGGAGCCATCTACTCGGCTTTTTGTTATTCGTTGGATTGGCCCTTCATTTCTTGTGGACACAGCCATTTGCAGATAGCTTGACAACATACGACTACATCTACTTTTTCAGCTTTATTGCCGGTGCAATGACATGTCTTGGTTTCAGCAGCAGTTTCCACTGTTTTTCAAACCACTCGGAACCAGTCGCAGCAAAATGGAATCGATGCGACTACGCTGGCATAGTAACATTGACGGTGTAAGTGGGATCGAAGAATCATTACTTTTGCACTACATTGCCGCTCATCGACCTCTATCACATGTTGTTGTAGTGGATCATTCTACCCATTATTGTATTACGGATTCCATTGCCATCCTACTTTACAAGGTATGTGAGCAAGAAGAGTGTTATGCATCGTTCTATTATTGACTGGGTTGTGCGAACAGTGATTTACTTGATTATGATTACCATCCTCGGCGTCATGACGACTGCTGTTGCCTTGCTTAAGCATTTCCGAACACCTGCTTACCGCTGGATGCGCACTACGCTCTTTTTGGCTCTTGGATTGTTTGGCATTGTTCCCACAGTGCATGGCATTCTACTTTATGGGGTATGTTGTTGTTGTTGTTGTCTTTGTGTACATTAGCTCGTGCAATGACTCACAAAGAATATTAGTTGAGTACATCGTTGGATACCATATCCTTGGGTTACTTGGTTTTGATGGCCATTTCATACGTGGGCGGTGCCCTGATTTATGCATGCAGGTAACTATTACTGCTCTTGTTGATGGAAGACTATAAAAAGCATACCGACTGAATGAAAATCTTTGTCTTGTCAGGATCCCTGAAAAGTGGTACCCGGGCAAGTTTAATATCTGGGTAAGTTGACCATATTGTATAAAGAGAACAATGATGATGGTTGACCTTTATAACTTTTATAGGGTGCGTCGCATCAAATCTTCCATATATGTGTACTCATTGCTGTCGTCGCTCATTATATCGGTGTTATGCGAGCCATGGCTTTCTGGCATACAAAGCAAGAGAACCCTCTTTGTCTCAATTACATGTAAAAAAAGCACACACACACAATGACTATCATCACCATGATAGACCCCCATTTTAGATCCCATAAAGCATCACATATTTAGGCTGGTCCAAAACAAGTAGTATTATTATTCGCACGAATCATCGTTTGATAAGCATTTGGAGGTCGAGGAGGAGGGATGTAGTAGTAGGGTGGGAAAAAACGTCATAACATTGAGATGGTAATGCATTTATAAACACGTGGCATTGGCATTAGGTCTGTGTGTGGAAGCAGTGCAAATATAAGCTGTAACTTTACATGTCATCCTATCGTCATCGTGCAAGGTCATGCAAAAAGAAGACAAAAGAAGCTATATGCCGAACCCCCAATCAATCGTACAGTGATGTCCATCCGAGTTATAGGGTCGATGTCGTAACATTAGTTATGATCATTTGTGATTACTGCTGGTACCAATTGTCTTTGAATGTAACGTTTCTCTATGTTGAGCATTGCTAAAAGTGCTATTGTTGTGGAAAAAAGAGATATGCTAAGCACAGACGCATCGTTACACAAGCACATGGGCTTGGTGTTGGCCAAATCCATAGATATAGTAGTACATGGAAGGAATCGATATGCATCTGCAGCAGAAGGTATCCACCTAGAGAGAGAGAGAGAGACAGTAAGCTCCCTTTGTGTGTGTGTCGTCGTAGTGGTATGTTGCTCGGCATGAAATGCATAGAGATGAATGAATGAATCAAGTTATTATTTGTACCCTTGATGCAGCAGCAGCTGCTGCTGCACAACAATGATCTATAATCATCATCCAAGGAGATAAAAATCATGGCTTTTGAAAAAGGATGTACATGACATATTGTCCTGCATCATCATTATCAGCAGCAGGGTTAACTAATCCCCCCTAATTAACAGAGATGAGCCGCAACTCGATATATAGGTGTGCGCCACACATGCCTCGTGCTTTAAGTGGTGTATATCGGAGCCATCCCATACACGTTTAATCGACCTAATGAGGACAAGGAGAAAGCGATAATAGAGATACAAAGAGCACAGTGGAAGAAGGAGATAAGAGTGATAGTAAGAGTGTCAAATTAAAAGAGTGATTCAAGATCAATGATTATAGTGACGCAAATAAGGGTAAAATAGGCAGCATATCACTTGTCTTTTGTGTGTGTGCGTGTGTGTGTGTATGTGAATGAATACTCTGTGTGTGTGTGTGTTGCGTGCTTTTTCTCTCTTCCTTTTTCTTACATTTGCATCTTTGCTCCTCTCTTTCTTTTACTTTTTCGCTCTCACCACCACACTCCCCACCCCCCCTTTTGTACTTGTTCTTCTCTCTCGTTATATAATATGCTCTCTGCAGCACTCTCGGCTTCCACACCGCCGTCAAACGATACCCGCCGTCCACCTTCAGTCAATAATAGCGATGATTCTGGAGAACAGCAGCAACAACCAAGGACAGCTCACATCCGCATTGTACCACACTTGGATTCATCTCGGTCGCTAGTCTTCAGCATCATTGAGCGTGATCTAACAGAGGATACAGTGCTCAAGATTGGCCGTTTCACCGATCGGTTTTTGACTTCCAATCGTATTACCTTTAGAAGTAAAGTGGTTAGTCGAGGACACGCAGAGATATGGAGCTCAGGTGGCAAGGTATGTGTGTATCCATTACTACAGCAGCAGCTGCTGCTATTACTACTACTATTGGCATGGCATTCGCGACTCACCACACATTAATTTGATCCTTCCTTCCTTCTTCTTCCTTCTTCCTCCCTAATCTCCTTTCTAGGTCTATATCCGTGATACAAAATCATCCTCGGGGACGTTCCTGAATCATGTACGATTAAGTGCACCAAACCAAGAATCAAAATCGTTTGAATTACAAGATGGCGATATCATTCAATTGGGTGTTGACTATCAAGGAGGAACAGAAGGTAAAGCACTACTTTTGTCATGGAAGATGAAGGATTACCCTCATGTTGTTTACTTACACATACACATTTTATTATTCGATAGAAATCTATCGTGCCGTCAAGATGCGTATCGAGGTGAATCGAACTTATCAGCAAACCAATACTTTTAGGTAGTGTGCATAATTTGGGGGTGTTGTGATACGGAGCTTATATATGCATGCTGATTTTTAACACATCCATTAGTCTCAGCACATTTCAATCCCTACGAAACCTAACCACACCACCCAACAATATCAGTGTGCTCGATGCTGCCATGGGATCCAATACAGCTCCTACCTCAACATCCACATCACAAGCAGCAGCAGCGGCAGCAGCAGCGGCAGCAGCAAATCGTTCTTCAACAGGTGAAGATCCACGAGTAGAGGAGTGTTGTATTTGCCTTTATGCATTGGCCCCATTGCAAGCACTCTTCGTGGCTCCTTGTTCCCATACTTTTCATTTCAAATGTTGCCGACCATTGCTGCAGCATTATCCAGGATTCCAGTGCCCATTATGCAGGAGTTACTCTGATTTGGATGCTAGCGTGGCTATTGAAACGGATGAGGTACGTTTTTGCAACCCCCTCCCACACACACACACACACCATATCTAAACCTTCTCCCTTAGGTGTTGCAAATGCTGAAAACCAAAGAGGAACCCATCAAAGAAGAAGGTAAGCATATAATTATCCATACACACGACCTATATACTAATGACATAATAGACGCCCAGGATCAAGAGCCGACATCATCATCGTCACCCCCACCATCATGATCATGACCCATTTGATTCTTGCAGCTATTATCATACACCATTGTTGAGTTTGTTTTCTATTATTCTTGATAAAAAAAGACAATGCAAGCTGGGCATAGTATACATTGTGGGATCGACATCTTGATGCATGCACAATTGTCGTGGTTTTCTGCATTCATATCATTTGTGGACTGATGCCTCTAGAAATTTTGGACACAACCACCCAAAAGTTGGCGCTTTTGCATATCAACATCTCAAGGCCTTTCAAGAATCCTTTCGAATACGCAATGGTCTCCTCTATAGCCGAATCCAACCCGTAAAAGTGTACACCATTGGCATCATGTCTCGTCACACACACATCAAGCAAGGTGGATCAACACGTGTTGTTGTCAATGTATGCAGCATGACGATGACTACTGGTAGCTGGAGCGTTGAAATTGCTATGCATCCATACACAGCTCCATGTTGATGCGTACGTGAAAGTGTATAGGTATAGCAGCTGCTGCATGAAAGGACCAATGTTTTGCTTTGCGTGGGCATTAGAAATAAAGTCGAGTCTCTGATGGATGATGGATCAACCGATACGGGTGCTACAAGCTTCACACATAGAAATGAAATGAGATTGGGCGAAAATGTAACCAGCGTGTAAAGGTTAGCACAAGAATAAAGGTGATTGTTTGATGGAAATGTTCACAAGGCCGTGGTAAAATGATGGGCGGGGCGGATTGGAAGGATTGGAGCGCCGCACCGAGATGTTAATACCATCCCAGCTATACCCTACCATATATCAGCACGTGCAGATCACAGGTCATCCGCCTGCCAGTTTGAAGATTATTCTATTTTCCATTGTCATGTCATGATGGTCTCCTTCCATTTGATGTATTTGCTAAAGACATCATCTTCGTATATGATGTTGATGAGTGGCAAGGTACAGTGATAATGATAGGACCCATTTAATGATGAATGGCAGAGCATGTGGTACAAGTACCTGGCTAAATTTGGTACGAGACAAAAAGCGAAGAGAAAAAAATGGCGTTATCCACGTCCGGATATCCGCCTTCCTTTGATATACATCTTTTGGCTTATCAGATCATCACCCCTGTGTCCCTTCTCTTTCCCCGCTTTTATTCATTTCGGTCATTCGCTTTGTTTCGGTCTTGATTCGATATTTATTTTTTTCCCCTCTTTCTTTCAGCTCATCACCTTATCCTCTTTGCCCCCACACACATGTCAGCCGCAACAGCAGCAGCAACAATAGCCATACGAATACCAAAACGACATACATGGCTTACCATTGCATCCACCAGCACAGCAAGACAACCATGTTATCGACAGCGATCCGCATACTACACAGCCACTGCCGCTATTACATTATTACGACGCACGCACAAAACGCATAGTGGTACCAGCCATGATCATCACCATGTCGATTTGCTCACTACAATGCAACAATCGGGTATATTAAAGACGACAGCATCAAGCCAGCATTTTTGCTAAAATGATACAATCTCGATATACAGGGCAAAAGGGTATGCAAATCACGATCATTGGTCTTGCTTCGAATGTTGGGTTGACTGTCACCAAGGGTGTAACCGGATGGTAATACATGGCAACCATCAACGAGATATACAGCTAATGGTGATTACAACAGGGCCATGAATTCAGCAGCATTGTTGGCCGATGCAGCACATTCCCTTAGTGGTATGCTTAATATACATGATGATGATGATGATGATGATGATGATGATGATGATGATGATGGCATAATATAGCAGGTATATATATACTAAGACGTTTTTGTTGTAGATTTGCTCGGTGATTTTGTTACCTTGTACACATACAAAATGTCGAAGCGGCCACCTGACGCATTATATCCTTATGGTTATGGTATTTGAGAACATCAGCGTATATACTTTGGAGATGGTGTTATCCTCATTTCAGCATGTAAAAAAAGGCAAATACGAGACCATTGGGTCACTAGCACTCTCATCTCTCTTGATTGCGGGGGCTGTCGGCATCGGAGTCCATTCATTAGATCTACTGCAAAGCACACTGACCACATTATATCCGGCAACACAAACCTCGGCAGCCGTTGCAGCAGCAGCAACTACTACTACCACCACCACTACCGCAGCAACAGCAACAGGTGTTATGGGTGCTGCTACTAATGCCACACCAGCTGCATTTGCTGCCATCCCATCCATGGCTGGTGAAACAGCACTGAATCCCAATGCTGCATGGTTTGCTGCTGCAAGTGTGGTGATAAAGGAATGGCTATATAGAAAGAGTAAGTCATAGATCGGATGGATGAGCATTGATAGGATGAAGCTCAATCATGTCAATAGCTCTCAAAGTGGCACGTGAAGAACGAAGCGAAGTATTGGTGGCAAATGCATGGTAAAGACAACGACGTTTGCATTCCAAAAACTCGATTCATTATTGTAACATGTATACATTTATTTTAGGCATCATCGAACAGATGCATTATCAAGTGCAGTGGTTATGTTTGCTATTGTAGGCAGCTATGCAGGTCTTCCTGTGCTTGATCCTCTTGGCGGGCTGGTGGTTGCTGGCATGATCTTTAAGAGCTCAATAGAAATGACAACATCCTCCCTAAAAGAATTGGCCGATAGGAGTATAGATGCCGATGATCTTGACAAGGTGAAGAGAACAATGATGCAAATGAAGGTTGGTGTTGACAAGCCAATGTGCCCAAAGCAAGAGATAATAACAAGGAGGATGTAGAGAATGGAGCCACACATCATCGATTTTCATTCGTTGCGAGGTCGGAAACTCGGCCCGTATTATCAACTTGATATGGCACTCAAGGTTCCACCCCATCTCAGTGTACTGGACGCGCAATGCATCGAGCAACGGGTGCGTTCAGCTGTGCATCGTGATTGTGAACATGTCCAACAGGTGCTGGTGCGCTTGGAAACATAGAATGATGATGAACACTGTCTTAGATGTTAGATGTTACACACACTTTGTCATTTACCCTCCTGCTTATAAAACCCCACCTTTTTGTTTTACCCTGTTTCAATCCTCCAAATACTCGTCATGGTGCGCAACATTCCCGTCATTGACTTTGCCGACTTTGAGAGCGACCCAAAGAAAGTGGCCGGACAAGTGCTTGATGCTTGCAAATCCATTGGCTTCTTCTACATTGTCAACCATGGACTCCCCAAGGACCAAATCGAGAAATCCTTCCAATTGGTATGCGATAATGGGATATAGCCATTGGTTGAATGATACGGTGTTGTTGACAGGATGATGGATAGGCAAAAGAGTTCTTTGACTTGCCAAGAGATGAAAAGCGTCGATATCTGATTCAAGAGGACAATCATGGATACTCGGAACTGTATAGTGAAACGTGGGTATAAACATGATTGTAGTTGCGTCTATGATATTCATATGCAGCATGATTAGTTTGGATCCTGAGAATCAACGTCAAGGAGATCACAAAGAGTGGGTACCAAAGGGAGGAGGAGCGGCATTCTTATGTATGTATGTTGGTGGAAGATGACTCATACGTGATGGATTGGTTGTAGAGGATTCAACTTTCGAAACTTTGTGGATGGTAAAGCATTCCGAGAACTACCCGAGATCTTTGCAAAGGATCAGCAATTCGTTGAAGGTTTCTCTCGAGTGAGTCACGTGATTGGGATCTTGGTTACAGGTGCAGTGATGCCCTAATTCCTATTTTTCAGGCTTGCCATGCTATAGCTATGCGTGTATTGGAAGCATTTGCGATTGCTTTGGAGATCCCTGAAGAACATGGTGGTGCTAGTTGGTTCAAGGATCGTCATCCTTACGACAAAAAATCGGGTCAAATCTTGCGTTTCTTGAAGTATCCACGTGGTGGCGAAGAATCCTATAAGGAGCCTGTACGTGCTGGTGCACACAGTGATTATGGTAGCATTACCTTGCTCTTTCAACATGACGTACCTGGTCTCGAGGTGCAGGCGAGTCGTACTGAATGGATCTCAGCACCATTAATCAAGGATGCTATCTTGGTCAACGTTGGCGATCAAATTGAGTTTTGGACAAACGGCTTGTTCAAGTCCACCATGCATCGTGTTGTTTTCTTGCCTGAGCACGCACATGTGGATCGTTATTCTATTCCTTTCTTTGTTCATCCAAGTGATGAGACTTTGTTGACACCTATTCCAAGCACTATCGTACCACCTGCCACCAGCAACAAAGGAGACGAGATCATTACTGCCGAAGAACATTTACGGCGACGTTTGGATGCCACTTACACATATGAAAAACCAACCCATGATTAGAGTTAAATGAAAAGTGGATTCCTTGTAACTAGTACTTGTATACGTGTAGTCCTACCAAGTAAAGCTAATGTTGAAACAGTAATGTGCTTAAGCAATAATAGTTTTTATTGTAACAGCATTCTGGAGGGAGGGTGAATCTTCGACACATCGCCATTATCATGCTCACATTAAGATGTATACGGATATTTCGATATCGAAAGAATGGACGCTCCTATCTAGCGATGAGAACAAAGGGTAGCTGAGGATGTAGATGATGCGATTCGTTCAAGCCATGCATGCGCTGCTAGTGTCCCGTCATACAACTGATGTTGCGCTTTCACTCACTGACAACATCTTCAATCCACCCATTTTCCCCACAATGTGAACACGAAGACTCATGGATCATAAATAAGCTAACCAAATATTAAGAGAACGAGAAAGGTATAAGTCAAAAAGAGTACAAAGTAGTTGGATGGGTTGGAAAGAGGGTGTAGGGCTTGGGGGAAATTGTAGTAACTTGTCAAATGAATGGATCAATTGTGACCAAAGAAGCGGGTCATGACGTTGAGGTAATGTGAGCTGATAGTATCCTTGTCGTTTTGATACATTGTCATAAGGGTGCCCATCGCCAACATGAATAAGCCGACATCACCGTTGGGAATATTGCGAACGTATCCACTCTTGACAAGAAGCTTCCACCATGATTCCATGGCACGTGGCAAGCAGTATAGACCCAATTCTAGAAACCATTGTAAGCATTCTATTGCCTTTGCTGATCCTTTTACCATCATCGGATACTTACCCAATTGACGACTTGGGACTTCAATGGCTGTCATTGCACCAGCAACCAATCCTGGGATAAGGTATATCCATGTTCGTTCCTTTTGTATAACAGGTCGTACTGCACAAGGTGTAGCGAATGCTGATGCCACGTACATGGCGAGGAAAAGACTGGATCGTAAGACCGAATAGGCGAATTTGCGGGAAATGTTTGAAGGACTGTGATAAATCAGAGGGATATTAGATCACTAGCAAACCCACTTAAGGAAGAAAAAGACTTACTCTTTGGTGAGCTGACCTGATCGGAATACAAGTGTCATGATCTATGAGGGTGATACAATTAGCTTCCCCCACGCATAAAACCCAACTCCGATATGAACATGCAACCCCACACATACCACGTTGAGAGGAACATAGAGCTTGAGGGCGCGGAAATATTCATCGCGGAACAAAGTAAGCTTGCTTCGTGTACAACTTGGATCCAAGGGGTGTTGCAATGCACACATGATGAAGTTGTGTCGAATCTTGGGAGGAATAATGGTGGCGATATTGGGGCTGACGTTCTCTGCAATGAATTCACGACTACTCATGCCAGGTGGTAAACGAATCGAACCCTTTTCTTCTCCAAGCCGTGCCACCGTATCACCAATCGCTTGTGTCAATGGTGCAGCCATGCCACCAAAGTCACCTTTCCATCCAGAGTGTGTGAGAAGAAAAGCATAGTATGACTTGGGAAGTGTCTCTCCATGGAACAAAAAGCCGTAAATGATTTGTGAGCTTGCAATCATCATGACAGCCACACCTGCCCATCGTTGCATGAATTTTGCGATACGATCATCCCAATGCTTTTTCACTTCCAATCGCCGTGGTTGACCAGGTGCAAATCCTTCTCGATCAATCTTCTCCTTGAGCTGTGTCAATTCGCGATTGTATTTGACCTTGCGATGTTTGGCCCATTGCTTCATACCCCAAGCGCCCGAGAATTGGATGCTGCGAGTCAACAGATACAACATGATGGATTGACGTCGACGCTTATCCTTATCAATGAAGAGTGCCATGCCTGCAACAGCACCAGCAATGAAGGCGTTCAATCGATCAGCACCGGGATCACGGTTTTTACGGAATCGGCGTAATAGACAAAGGATGCCCTTGTAGCTGCTCAAAAAGGTGCTCAAGAACAATGCAAACATCGTCGTATCTCTATAACAAAGGATAAGTATGTTGCTCCCCCACCTTGATTTGGATCATGCTTACCGTCCTGCCAACTGCTTTAAAAGCCCTGGTCTAAAACAATCATCATCACGTTAATGATCCCAACAATACATGCCATCTTTTCTCCTTTTTACCGTTTAAAGATCTTTCCAGAGAGGATCAATGGCAGTAATCCAATCAAGTACTTGATGCCAAATCCAACAACAAACGCCTTAACGAATCCTCGTACGCAATTTTGGGTACACGTCTTGCCTTCATGCTGACAATAGTCTTCGCCACGTTCTTGCTTCTTGACGGCAGTAGCTTCAAGTTGTAAACGGACCAAGTTTTGGCTGTACCATGATCGTGTGAATATAAAACATTTGTGTATATGAAAACGTGGTGGGACACGACCCAGAGACGAGCTCACCTGCTCAGTCGTTTAAGCTTGTCTTGGAATGAGCGGATCGAAGCAAGCACCGTCTCCGTTTCTTTATCGGTGAGTAGCTTTGACACAATTTGCGCCAAGCTTTCAAGGAAGTTTTCATAATACGATTCGGGTATGGGCGGTAATGGTGTTGCCATTGTGAATGTGTATATAGTGGTGGTGCGTGTGTGAGTGGTTAAAAAAGAACAAAGGAACTGTAAAAGACCGTGGCGAGAGAGAGGGGGATATCAAACATTAAAACTCCTATATATAAAGCACCAGCAATTCTGGGGTAACCACAAGTGCATCACATGGTCAGACCCAACAAAGAGCGTCAATGACCCCAACTCTCTTGCTTGAAATGATTGTCTCGGCTGAATGAACAATAAAACCTCTTCAATATTATCGCCCTTCCTAATGCTTTCAACTTGTTGCTGTTGGCTGTTTTGTTGCTATGTCGTATCATGGCAACAACAAGAGGTGATACTTTTAGCTGTGTTTGGAACAACGTGGAAACATGTAATGCATCATTGTTCACTAATGGTCACCAGGCGACACCTGCAGCCGAGAATGTCTTGGAACTTGGCAAGTCTTGTTTTTTGTTATTCATGCGGTTCTTCTTTTGGGTGGATTTGATGACCAGCTATTATCCGTCTCAAACTCAGTGGTTGCGCACGAGCACTTTTTGCCACGCTTTCCTGAAGTAGCCTATTGTTGCCAATGTCAGCTTCATTTATTTACTAGTCGTATCACTTTACAAATCAAGAAGATAACCTTATTTCTCCATAAATGGGCAGGGCAATTATCATCCCTTAGAGAAAAAAAGAAAACCACCTGATGTTGTTGCATGATGTTAAACCTTTTTCTTTTATCATCTCCCAACAAGACAATGATAGTATTACCTCCTACGTTGTAAGCCAAATTGAAAGTGTGTAGAATTGGAGCTTCTTATGTATGCATATGATGCAATTCACTACGCCCATTACATTAGCAATGTACTATACATCATCCACGTGGTCGTTCATTTGTGGGATCTACTTTGGTACTCCCAGGCTTAAAAAAGACCATATAGCTTGTCAGCTTATACATAAATGAGTGCACTTGTTCATTCATAAACGCAAGACATGCTTAACCAAGAAGACCATGACGGGACACGTGTGATTCAACATTAGTGCCTAAAAGATGATCCCTATGCAACTCATATTCTACTACAAATGATGACGGCGCTTTCCTCAATGACCAGTCAAAGCGATGAATGTGTATACAACAACATGCCATTATAAACAAGAATCAAAATACAATGCAAGAGTATAATAACTTATTTATGAAAACAGAGTCATGGGAGCCATTGATTCGAAAACGTTCATCAAAGTCTCGTCTTTTAAATAGTCCGTAGGGAAGTTGACCAAATGACCACGTACGCCTGATAATCTCTCAGCAATTTCGCTCGCAGGTCGGTCCGGATCAGCAATGTGACCGTAAGGAACCTTGTCGGACACAAATTTGCGATGCTGGTCAAATGTGTGTATAGTGTCATCAGGCACACAACGAAAGAGATCCCGATAAATGAGCGTGTTGGATTCAGCCGTCCTTCGCCAAATGTTGTAGTAGCATCGATCAGCCAGCGGATCGAGTGCTGCTGCCTCTTTGATATAGTTGTCCCTCGGCCCATGTGCAAACTTGTCGTAGACACTTCGTGTCCTGCTCATACGATCAATGAGCCGTACCGCTTCATCGTGTTCATATGTTTGGATATCTCGATCATTGTTGTTCACCACGTCATCCCACCACCCAGTGCCGCCTGATGCACTCGTGTTGTAACCAATGCCTTCAGAAGCACGCGTCTGCAAAATATTGTCAACGCTCTCGTCCATCAATGATGCCCAATCTTTGAAGTCCAATAATCCTAAATGCTCTTTCCATAATTGCATTCGAAGCGTATGTGCAAATTTGGCAGCTTGATACTAAAAATATGGTTGGCATATTAATACATGATACGCATTGGTTGACATCCTTTGTTACTTACCGGCTGACCATCCATATACGAAGAAATCATTTCGGTGTCTTCGATGAAGATTGCCATTTCCGAGTCTCTGTTTCCAAGCAGTGATCTAAAGCACACGATGAGCGATCATGATTAACAGCATCTCTGTATATGATATGGATATACCTGTCATTGATATTGGCTATGATTATGTAGGTTCATCGTTAATAAAAATTAGTATACATAGCCTTCAATGACACTTACCAGAGCCGAGGAGGACAATACGATCATCAATGATCATCAACTTGTCATGGATGTAAACAAGCTCACTCACATAATGATCCCGATCATCCTCATCCTCATTCTCCTCTGAGCAATCATCCATCTTTGGTGAAGACGACGAAGATAAGCTTGCAAGGTCCTCTTTATCCTCCATAGACACTGAAAGGGTGTTGCCATTGTTGTTGGTGTTACCATTGCTGGTCGGCCTTGATGACTTTTTGCCCTTTTTCTTTTTCGGAAACCTTGGCGCGATCTTATCCCAGTTACGCAAACTATACCATCCAATGTACTCTGATGGATCAATGCCTTCTTCTCGTAGCTTCTCACATATGGATGCACCACCACGATTCATCGAGATGTATTGGAAGTGCATAACACCGCTAGAATAAAACCTCGTGAGTTATGATAATCCACGTACGGTCTTAAAGAAAAAGCAAATTACCGTGCAGCTACTGAATCACCCGAAAGGAGATCACCTTCAAATGCAGGAATAAGGGGAATGATAATAAACACCTTGAATTTCTCTTGGTTGAAATGGGCACGCTTGATACGATCCACAATTGCTTGGCCAATCTTGTTACGGACAATCTTATCCTCTCCCGTAGCGCTAACTGTGTTGAGTCAGAGGCATGTTTTAAGAAGTAATATGCCTCTTACTTACTGAAGAATTGGTTCTCGATGTAGACAAAGTGCTTGGCTTGTGAAATAGCTTCCATATAAGCATTGTAAATGGAATGCTGTTGTATTTCCAAATACCCAAAAATAAGCTATCTATCACTTGCCACCGTCATCAACAATGTTACTTACCTCGCGACCGATCCCAGAACTCCAGCTTGAAACGCTTCGTAAGAGCTGTACACGACACGTGCCTTCAAACTTGCTTTCATCACGTTGGGCAACGTATTCTCCTTTTGGCATCAAATAGGGAACAATGGGTCGATGCATACTCTTTGTCGCCTTTAAAAAGTTCCATCGTTGAATGAACAAACGCGCCGCATCTCTGGCAATTGGGCCGACCTTTAAAAAACGCATGCAAAGTGTGAGTGGAGCCCATCCTATTCAACCACAAAGCTACTTACAACTGCACAAGACATATCATGCCATGGCATTCGGGGTGTCTCCTCTCGATCGACAAGAGTAGTATCATGCTTAGCAGCAACTAAGCATCGTATACATAAATAAACGTGCTGATGATGACACACATGAAGGTCTCTTACCATCAACAAAATCCTTAACTCGTGGACTCGAATAATCTTGGCCAGGGAAGATACAAAACTTGTGGCCTTTGGCAGGGAAGTCGGCATGTCGATGGGCATGGGTATCATAACGGCTGCAAAATTGACGAGTGTAAGCATCATTGTGTTGATCGTGGGGCTTTGTTCCATGTTTGTATTTACCCAAAACATAAATCCAATCCACCAATAAGTGCTAAACGATTGTCAACCACCACCAATTTCTATAATTGAATCATCAGCATGCATTCATTGGTAATAAACCTGCATGTTCTTCTTTGTCGCAATGATACCTCGTGATGTGACCAAAAGAAAACAGAATCCCGACTATCAAAGGGTCGTCGATCAGGATGTCGTTGGACTTTTTCATATGGTGAGTTCATTGTGGTCATTGAGTGGTCATGATAGAGTATACATTACCAATGATGTTGGGATGTAGGTTTTGGAGCCATTGTTTGGTGTGAGCTGAATCAATGGTCAATGCTAGAGACATCTCTTTGTATACTATGATATAGATTTTGACACCTTCTTCAGCTTTGCGTTGGAGGACACGGTCAATACGGAATTCTTCGTTCTTCTCTGGTGGTCGTCGCAAGTACTAAGTGTGTCATTGTGTGTGTCAATATTAATTCCATCAGCTGTCAAACAATGAATGCGTACCAATTCAGGGGTTAACCACCAATCAGCAATGTAAATCTCCGATTTGGCAGAAAGGATCGCCTCGGCCACAGCATTAAAATGATCTGCATTTCAAATTCAGGGGTCATTGTTCCTTGATCAAGCAACTACTAGCCGCTTCTCCTTATGTCACTTACTTTCACCATCCACAAACCACTTGACTCTTGCGTGATGTCGAATGGGGGCAAATGAATTGAAACGATGATTCTTTACCCAAGGGCTATTGGTCTTGACCTTTTCAATGCTTTCCAACCACTCTTCCACTTCACGTCGACTGCCCTTGAATTCGATTTGGCGGTATTCGGTACCCAGTGTCATATGATAGCTTCCTAATAAACTTGGCTCGCTGACTTTGATTGTGAATGTCTTGTCGAAAAGCATGATGTCTGAAGGTGATGGTGATGCAATGCCATCACAAAATGCAATGTACCTAAAAAGGGTCGCCATGTTAGCTTATGATAGAAATCAACATTTAACAAGCTCTACTCACGAGTCACGTAAGAGCACCCATTCCTTGTGCCATCGATGCACTTTCCATACGCCACAAAATGTTGGGCTGGATTCACGTAGACGATGCTCGAGAAAACCTTCCTTTCCTTTCCAACCCATGTCTTGTACAATACTGATGGAGGATATCTCAAAGAATTCACAAATGTCGTAGCTCATCAACATGTGTGACTTGGATAGCAGGTTACGGAGGTACTGGGTCAATGCAAGTCGCCTAGCAAGCGCCATCTCTTTCTTTTCCCCTTCGGGTTGTCCATCATAGTCGCTTTCACCTTCTCGATCCAAACCAATCGTTGTACGTGCTGAACTAATCAAGCTCCCAAGTTGATCCGGAAATTGAGGTGGGTTGGGTACATAATCTGATAGGCTGGATTTGAATTTGAGCGTATAATGCAGTGTGGTGAAATCAGCAATCGTGCGTTTGATGACCCATTTGATGTCGCCGTATTGGAGTTGTGTGCGGAAAACCCATTGATTCAAATTCTTCAAGTACTCAGAGTCCGTAACTGTCACCTGAATGAAAATAATCATATCAATATTGGCTTGATACATATATAGGGGTAACCCATGACACTAACCGAAATCATTGCTGGTATAATCGGTGGCTATCAAACATGATACCATTATTACTACATGCTCTTTCATCACTTTTCCCTTGTAAGCTTACCAACTTTCTACCATATTCATCCCTTGATAATGCAATAAACACCGGCTCGAAGATGGGTGGATAGTAAGGCGCCAATGTTGTGCTGGTAGTTGGGACCATGTGCATATCTCTGCCATTGGTGTGTTGTGTATCAATATTATCATCACGTGCTGTACCGAGACCAGGAAAGTTTTGGATGTTTGCAATCATCTTGATCTTGTCAAGAGTTTTCCCCCAATTATCACGTGCCATTGTATCCTGATCCATCGTGTCTCCTTGCCCACCACCATCTATAGAGACCCGTGTAAGCCTTGTTCTTGGTGTTGGTATAGCAGGCTTTGTGGCTAATTGATCTTGTTCTTCATCATCTGTTGCATCATCATCATCATCATCCCCCTCTTGTCGTCGTCGATGGCGCCATTGCTTTCTGAAAGGATGTAAGAAGTAGTTGTCTTCTCCTGCACTTTGTCGTTGTTGATTCCTTCCAGCTGATTCAAACAAGTCTTGTGTGGAAGGTAATTGATCATCGTCTTTGCTAGGATCTTGCTGCCTTGAATGGTGATGGTGATGGTGATTTTTGAATTGTTGCCATATTCTTGGTGGATAATGCCAACTACCACGTCGATGATCGCTATCCTTTTGCAATAACTCATATGTGCTGCTCTCTTCGATATCTGAAGTGCAATGATCGGGATCAGTGTTGCGTGTGGCGGTTGTATCGGCTGTCAATGATAATCGACTCAGGACACTCTTCCAACGTTCCCGTGCTTCACCAAGGAGTCCACTATCGCGTTGGCTCGAGGAGCGTGGATAGCTTTGGTTGTCATCTGCTGAGGAGGGGAATGGCGAGTTGGACGCGAGATTGGGTTGTGATTCATAACCATGTCGGTGTTGTTGAGTGAGGTAGAAGAGGGCACCATCGGCAATGGGGTTTGACATTGGAGAAAGGAAAGAGAGAGAGAAAGCGGCTCACAAGGTGTATTTGTGAGTGTGGCAAAGGAGAACAAGACGTTTACGAATTAAGGATGCAAAGTCTATGCACTCAATTGTTTGGCATGTCCCACTTCCAAATCAGGCTCGGTTACGCTCAGCCCGTATAGGCTTATACTTACTTGTTAAGCACAAGTCTTGTGGTTCATTGTGGCTTCTGCGCCTCATCCGCCCTGAATAAAAGCTGCTGCACGTCGCATGACATGCACAAAGTACACAAAGAGCGTTAATTTTAACCCACAACAATGCATCAACACAAAAAACCTGCATCACGTTTCCGACAGGAACAATCTCAGGCACTCAGCAACCCACTTTGCATAGAACAACGAAAATTCAACTAGATTATTTGATTGATAGATGATATACAACAGGAAAGGGTCACACATTAAATTCTGTACACTGTATCTCCTGACAACATAACTTGGTTCGCTTCCTCCATCTTGACTATAGCAGCTTGTGTTTCACTTCGGCTAAATGGCTGTTCACCGCTCACAATAAGGGCATTGACCCCCTCATACATTTGTTGAAATTCCCATCCACCTTCACCAGCATGCATCTCCATGAATTGAACCACTTTGCTCCTGAACATTTGTAACCTAAATAGAATAACATGTTAATAAACGAATAATGGTACATACACTATGATCATACCTTGCATCCGAAATGCCTTCGTCTGTATCCATAGCTTCATCTTCATCTGGTACAGCAGTTGCTGATGTGTGTGTGTTGCTGTTTTCTACTTGGGTCGTCATAGGGCTATCAGGGATATCTTCATCCTCATCCATATCAGATTCGCTTTCACCGGATTCTTGTTCTTCATCATCATCCGAATCGATCATCATCTTTCTTCTCTTGGTCTTGGTCTTGCGAATCACCTCCTTGAACATAGCCACTCGTAATACTTCAGCTGCAGCCTTGGCATCCTTCTCCTCCACCTTATCATGCAATCGAGCCTTGGCATGGGCAGTAGATAAACGAATCAAAGTTTCCAATGTACGAGCAGTAACAGGAGCAGTCTATTATTATCACAATGTAAGTATTACTGCTTTCCGGTCACAATCACAATACTTGCCTTCTTTCGAGAATCCTCGTCCTTGTCATTACGTAACGATGTATATTCATTGATGATTGTATCGGTTGCTCGCTTTGTCAAAGTAGGTGCTATTTGATTCTTGGCATAGTACAAGTATTTCTTGAGGAAGGATGATTTCAGAATCTTTGGCCGGTTCACAGCTCGAGTGCCAATACGATTCACATTAGCGTGCAGCAGCTGATTGAACTTCTCATAAATGTCATTGTCATCAGCACGTTGCTCTTCGTCTTCTGATTCGGCGCCCATAACATCATCAATGTGTTCACGAATAGGTGCACCTTCCTCCAAACCAGCTGGCACATAGCGATGCATGTTCAATACGTGCTCCGAAATCATACGATCACGCGACTCTTCCATGCTGTCGGTCACCACAAACAATAAATCGAAACGAGACAATAAGGAATCGGGAAGAGCAATGTTCTTGGCAGGATCCTTGGTCAAATCGTATTGGCCATACACAGGATTGGCAGCAGCAACGACACTGCAACGTGCATTGAGAGATGTATGAATACCAGCCTTAGCCACGGTCACCGTTTGTTGTTCCATAACTTCGTGAATAGCCACACGATCGACATCACTCATCTTGTCGAATTCATCAATACACACAACACCACGATCAGCAAGCACCATGGCACCAGCTTCCAATTTACGTTCGCCTATCCAGAGTATATGAGTCCTCTTCCATTCAATTCCATTATAGCCTCTCAAACAATCCAAAATTACCTGTTTCTTTATCAGATGTCACAGCAGCTGTAAGACCAACACCTGAAGATCCACGACCAGTGGTAGCAATAGCGAGAGGAGCAATGCCCAACACATATCGAAGAATTTGCGACTTGGCTGTTGATGGATCACCCACCATTAACATGTTGATATCACTAATCCAAATGCATATAAGCAGGTATCTTTAGAGAACCATCGCCCATTAAACTTACCCTCTGATATGAGTACCATTTTCCAAATTCTTCTCGACACCACCCAACAGCATCATAAGAACGGCCTTTTTGATGTATTCATGGCCCCAAATGGAAGGTGCAAGTGATTGGGACAAGATTTCAAAGATGTTCTTCTTTCGAGCAATCTGGTGAATGTTGCGGATGTCGGTGTCGGTGATAACAGGTGATGCAATACCACCACCGGCCTTGGTGCTCAACAAGTTGATGTCATTACACAAAATGACCGTTCTATATCACCATAATCAGTCATTCATCCCAAGAATCCATACCATCCTTCCATCCTACCTGAAAGTGGAGCTTGTTTGATTTGCATTTCTGTTACCAAGGGATCGATAGATACCAACAAGGCTGACTCTGTCACCGGGCTTAGCCTTATCCACCAAATCATCATCCAAAATGACATCAATGGAACGAGGGAGTTGACCAGGAGGAGCACGCTCTGGCATTTCTTGAATGCTGATGGTTTGGTGATCACGATAGGTACTGAAACCGAATTCTGTGACGAGAGGATTGCCGCTTTCATCCTCGGTAGGATAAACAGATCCAGTAGGGATTGGGTTGCCAGGTGTCATGGCATCACGATATTCACGCATAAAGTGCTTCTTGGTGCGCTCTGAATAATGTACGGAACGAAGCACCTTGGGACGGACCAATGAACCTAATCCATGTATACATGTGTGAGATCTCTCTTCCTTCCTTTGTGTGATAGGGGGTCTTCCTTTTACATACATCGTGTAACAATGCCTTCAATGCACACCATCTTTCCAAGATACATGGCACGCAATGTACGTGGGTTGACATGATGGTCACCAAAGCTACCACGCAAACCAATATAAAAGGGTTGATCATCGATATCATGACGAGCTGGATCGGCCACGGTCTTGACAAGGTTGGTAAGAGCAGCGTCAAAAGCGAGCATAAGTTCACTTGGTTCATTCAACAATCTAACAGCGTCGTTAGACCTCTATTAGCCAAACGAAGTGTCGTTGTACTTGCCTATCAGAGTAGACTGGATTGAATTGACGTAGAGCATCGATGCTGACAGTGAGACGTCGTTGACCTGTAGCCAACATGCCAGGGATCTGAGATCGATAGCTTCCTCGTTCATCGGCACCAGCAATTTCCTGTAGAGATGGGTGTCAAGATCAGTTGAGTTGTTCCTGAGCGAATTGCTTATATGAATAGGTTGTACCTCGGAATCAAGGAAGCTTTCAAAGAATTGAACGTGTTGCTGGAACTCCTCGTCAATGAGCTGATTCTGTTTTCCGTCCTCCATGGGTGAGTGTTGTGTGTGTTGAAGAAAGAGTGACACCGATCGTCGTAGGGCTGGGAAGAAACGGTCAAACGCGACGGACCAACTTTTTTTTCTTTCAGACACGACGCGGCTAGTTGGTGTCTCACCGTCACAAGAGGCACATTTATTGTACAAACATACCACTCAGCCCTAGATAATCCATCCATACATATCATTGCCACCTTTCATTACTCTTATAAATCGATTTGATATCACATGATTACAAGTGACAACATTCGCCTTGAGAATAATGTTCGCTTATGTATATCGTTTCTACAAAACAAACATGATTCGGGATGTTTGATGATGCAGCTAGAGTGGTGGCTAATGGAAGCTGTCATTCTTTCAACGTAATGACTAGCAATAGGGGATGTTCCCTTAGCTCGTAAATTTGATTTTGCATTGAATGGCTAAACACCAGCTTATACGTTTACATACCCACATTACAAGCTTGTACTATTCATCTTCAAGGGGCATGCAACCCTGCCATCCATCTTTACGATAAGAGACTACCTTTGGATAAGCTGCCCTGAAACCATGTTCAAGGCAGCGAACAAATCAGTTAATAAACTGCCAGCTACATAATAGCCCTTTCCTCTCATTCTCAGCTATTCCCCATTCCACCACATATAAACGATGCGCCTGTTTCAGTCCATCATTCAATTGTATTGATCCGAGAGGATATGGATGGCCAATGCTGAAATAGGGAACATGTCAATTCATGAACCGGCACATAGCCTACTTATGGTCCACCCATTTTACATTTTTACCCTCCCATCAAAAAATTATATGATGAACGATGATGTCTTTATGAGCATCAAATTGATAAACGTGGCCGAGAGCACCATGTGTGAAACTTTCAAGTGTGAGATGAGCAATCTCAAGGTTATGGACCGCCCGCACTAGTTATTATGATGCCCCCGTCCGTTCATCGTCGGCCGCTCCAATTCAAAGCTCTCATAATGAATTGTAGGTTCTTTATTAGAACAAAGTTGATCAGCATGACCAAGAGCATCTTGTGTGAAAGTTTCACGATTGAGGTGGGCAATCCCATAATCAAGATTTAGCTTACAGTGTTCATGGATTTGTCTGGCAGTGCCTGACAGGTCAACCTCTTCTAATTTTCAGCTCTTCCATTCTCAGCTTCTTGTCTCCTCCTCCACTTTCAACTGTTGGCCTATTCAAGTACACCTCCTGCCTGCGATCGATTGTCCTGCTTCAACCCATCATGTCAATCCTAGCGTTGTCTTGATCCAAAAGCCTTTGATTGAAGGGCGAGTCCATGGCGTGTGCACCCCACTACAACACCCGCGTTTCTTCATGACACTACACCTTCTCGTGGACACTCCTCTACCACGACCAATCGTAACAGCATTCATTCCAGCAATTGCTATTAGCGAGGTCTTTACTCCATTGCCTCAAACAGCATTCACAATCTTGTCACTCTACTACAACACACGCTCTTGCACACTTGTCTGCCACAACCAGACGTAACAACAGTTGCCACTAGCAACGTCTCCATTGGCATCAAGTTACTTGCAGCAACCTGCCTTACAGCCGTTTTTTGCGTGAACAGCAGATAGCCATTGTATGGAAGCATCTTTATTTCCATATCGCAACCTGATTTAATACATATGGATCCTTATGGATGATGCCATATCAGCTATCGAGTGCACCGCGATGCAACCTGGTTGAGCTGCGATAGAAAATGATCAAGAAAGAGATAGACCAACAGGTGGATGGAAAAGGAAGCATATCAACGGCGGCTCTTTTCAACCAACATATTGAATTTGCAATGGTTGTGGATGGATGGATGCAATCAAGCTCGGTGATGGGTGATCTTGAAATGTCGTTTTGGTTACTTGGCACGTCGTCAGCAGGAAAGATGGATTATGTCAGGTGGATATGGCTGAGGTTGATGGTGGGATGGATGGCATGGATGAGAGGGCTTACATCTTTGACGAAAGGCGGCTTGTTGCCATGGATGGTATTGGATATTGGAGTCACGGCAACCACAGCAACCAATTTGAAATCATGGATGAAGATGTTTATGACTGCAGCAACCAAGAATACAATGAGACAACGATACCCACTTATCCTATGTGATCCACTGATTGGTTTCTGAAATTAAAGGGGGATAGAAACTCGAAGGCCGGAAGGCGAGATTGGATTACCTACATCATTGTATCGAGACGCTTTTGTTCCTTTTGTTATATTACATTCATTAAAGCTTCCTTGTTCATATGCTGAGAGGCGATAGGTAGTGGCAGTAACGGATTGTATACGTGTTCAAATAGACGCTTGTATTCTCAAAGATAATAAATTCATAGTAATTGTACCCAACAATAGTGCTTGTTACTGAAGCTGGTCATTGTAAGCTTGAATCATCACGTCTAAGAAAGAGTGGGTGCTCTGATACAATGTGGGACGAGTACATGCATGTGCTTACTTATGAGAACTATCAACATGCGCTACCTTGTATGTATAACCTTATTTAAGAACGAGCCCTAGAGACAAGCAATACCATTACAACTCGTAGTCTTGGATGCCCTGATCATCCTTAGCTTGTTAACCATTCTATCATAGGGGGACCTCACTATAGCGGGAAGTGTCAATCATGCAATCTCCACCAATAAGAACCCTTCAAGCCCTGCCCCTCTCAGTTCTATTACAAGGGGGTACCTCCGCATCTTTCGCTGTATCAGGCTCATGCAACTTGATAATGAACAAAGACCAGCCTTCATATAGCACCACGCTTACAGCATATGTAAAACATAAAGGTGCCTGTATCTCCAAACTTTACAATGAAACGTGGGGTTTTTATTAGAGCAATGTGCTCGGCTTGGCCAACAGCACCTTGTGTGAAAGTTTCACGTTCAATGTCGCAACTAGCCCAAAAAATATTTTTTTGGTCGTCGTCGTCGAAGAGGTCGACCCCCAGATCCAGTTTGGCTGGTAGCGACATTGCGAAATGGCGAGCTTGATCGTGAAACTTTCACACAAGGTGCTGTTGGCCAAGCCGAACACACTGCTGTAATAAAAACCCCACGTTTCATTGTGAAGTTTGGAGATACAGGCACCTTTATGTTTGTAAGCGTGATGCTATATGAAGAGTGGTCTTTGTTCATTGTCAAGTGGGTGGACTCTGGCAGAGCAAAAGATGCACAAGGACCTCTTTGGGTAACTCAGCTAAAAAGTCAGGACTTCAGGGACAATGCATGAAAGGTACGCAACCCTCACTTTATGTCATACATTGGCAGCTAATAGCCACTTTTGTGCATTCCCAACTTTTGTGATTTCTATTGTAGGTGGACGATGCCCCTGCTCTAGACATTCATTTCCATGATTAAAGTAGGTTGATCCGAGCTGATTTGGCTGAGTTACGCTCACACAAGATTACATCTGTTGAGCTACATCGAGCGTGCTCTATGTCCAGAGTGATGTAATTCCTCTTTGACCGTAGCTCAGTCAAATCAGCTCGGATCAACCTACTTTAATCATGGAAATGAATGTCTGGAGCAGGGGCATCGTTCCCATGCAGTGGATCTTGCAGCAATGATGATTGCATAAAAGTGGCCGTTAGCTAGCAATACATGCCTGTTCCTAGATGACCCATAAAGTAATTATACATTGACCCTTTCATTCATGCAAACGTAGCTGTGTTACACAACACGATCCTCTGCATCTTTTGCTCTGCCAGGGTCAGCAATACGTAACTGAACGAAGTACAATGGACTTCAGGGACAATGCATGAAAGGTACGCAACCCTCACTTTATGTCATACATTGGCAGCTAATAGCCACTTTTGTGCATTCCCAACTTTTGTGATTTCTATTGTAGGTGGACGATGCCCCTGCTCTAGACATTCATTTCCATGATTAAAGTAGGTTGATCCGAGCTGATTTGGCTGAGTTACGCTCACACAAGATTACATCTGTTGAGCTACATCGAGCGTGCTCTATGTCCAGAGTGATGTAATCTCTCTTTGACCGTAGCTCAGTCAAATCAGCTCGGATCAACCTACTTTAATCATGGAAATGAATGTCTGGAGCAGGGGCATCGTTCCCATGCAGTGGATCTCGCAGCAATGATGATTGCATAAAAGTGGCCGTTAGCTAGCAATACATGCCTGTTCCTAGATGACCCATAAAGTAATTATACATTGACCCTTTCATTCATGCAAACGTAGCTGTGTTACACAACACGATCCTCTGCATCTTTTGCTCTGCCAGGGTCCAGCTACTTGACAATGAACAAAGACCACTCTTCATATAGCATCACGCTTACAAACATAAAGGTGCCTGTATCTCCAAACTTTACAATGAAACGTGAGGTTTTGAATAGAGCAATAGGCTCGGCTTGGCCAACAGCACCTTGTGTAAAAGTTTCGCGTTCAATGTCGCAACTAGCCCAAAAAATATTTTTTTGGTCGTCGTCGAAGAGGTTGCCCCCCCCCAGATCCAGTTTGGCTGGTAGCGACATTGCGAAATCTGGGATTGGCAAGCTTGATCGTGAAACTTTCACACAAGGTGCTGTTGGCCAAGCCGAACACACTGCTGTAATAAAAACCCCACGTTTCATTGTGAAGTTTGGAGATACAGGCACCTTTATGTTTGTAAGCATGATGCTATATGGGAAGTGGTCTTCGTTCAATGTCAAGTCGCTGGACCCTGGCAGAGCAAAAGATGCAGAGGGACCTCTTTGTGTAACTCAGCTACTTTGCATGACTGGAAGGATGGAAGGATGATACTGTATACTATTGACAATATCCCATACATTGCGAGCTAACAGCCAATCCTCACAATCGGCAATGTTGCCCATTCTATGACATGTGAGCGATTCTCCTGCTTCAGACATTCATTTCCATGATTGGATTATGTTGATCGAGTTGATTTGGCGGAAACTGCAACAAAAGCAAGGTTACTTCAGTTGAGCAACATAGAGCATGGTTAGATGTGTGGATTGATGTAATCCCTCTTTAAAAACAATATCTCTACAGTCAAATCAACTCGGATCAGCATAATCCAATCATGAAATGAATGTCAAACAGGAGAATCGCTCACATGTCATAGAGTGGACAACAGAGGCTATTGTGAAGAAATGGCTGTTAGCTCGCAATGTACAGGCTTTTGTCAACAGTATACAGTATCATCCTTCCATCCTTCCAGTCATGCAAAGTAGCTGAGTTACACAAAGAGGTCCCTCTGCATCTTTTGCTCTGCCAGGGTCCAGCGACTTGACATTGAACGAAGACCACTTCCCATATAGCATCATGCTTACAAACATAAATGTGCCTGTATCTCCAAACTTCACAATGAAACGTGGGGTTTTTATTACAGCAGTGTGTTCGGCTTGGCCAATTGCACCTTGGGTGCAAGTTTCACGATCAAGCTTGCCAATCCCAGATTTCGCAATGTCGCTACCAGCCAAACTGGATCCAGGGGTCGACCTCTTCGACGACGACGACGACCAAAAAATATTTTTTGGGCTGTTTGCGACATTGAACGTGAAACTTTCACACAAGGTGCTGTTGGCCAAGCCGAACACATTGCTCTAATAAAAACCCCACGTTTCATTGTAAAGTTTGGAGATACAGGCACCTTTATGTTTGTAAGCGTGATGCTATATGAAGAGTGGTCTTTGTTCATTGTCAAGTAGCTTGAGCCTGATACAGCGAAAGATGCACAGGGGCGTGTTTATGTAACTCAGCACATTATGCATGAATGGAAGGGTCAACGTACGGTACGCTATACACTATTCAGTAACAGCTCATCATTGGAAGCTAATACCCACTTCCTCCCATTCACCTTTGTTGCCCAATCCCAATGCATGTGAACGATTGTCCTGATCCATCCCGTCATGTCCATCCTTCAACTTTCTTGATCCGAGAGGATTTGATTGAACAGCTCTCAAACAAAGAAGCAGCATTCAAGTCCAACCTTTGATTTTCGGTTCTTCCACTCCCAACTTCTTCCCTCTTCCTCCCGTTCTCAACTGTTGGCCCATTCAAGTACGATTACCACCTGCGAACGATTGTACTGTTTCAACCCATCATGTCAATCCTACAACTCTCTTGATCCGATTGTCTTTGACTGAATGGCAAGTTCATGCCGTGTACACACCACTACGACACCTACGTTTCACGACACTCACGTTCTCTTGTACACTACTCGACCACGTTCAATGGTAACGGCATCCATTGCAACAGTTGCTATTAGCAAGATCTTTACTCTATTGTCTCGGACAGCGTTCTTTACTTGCAGCAACTTGGCTTACATCCTTCTTCACATGGACAACAGATAGCCATTGTATAGAAGCAGTTTTATTTACGTGTAGCGACTTGCTTCAATACATACAACTTCTTATGGATATGAATATGGATATGAATATTGGTTTGATACATGGGATGGAAGGAATTGGGTATGTACAACGCGTCGAAAAAGAGAGTATCTATTGCCAACTTGACCATCATGCTTGATGCTATCATCCCTAAGCGATTGGTTGCATCCAATGATCGTACCTTACGCCTGCCAGCTATCATCATCATCCTTTGTGCAACTTGTCAGCCATGTACAACCACCATCATCCAACTACATGTCTTGACTCGCTATGCATATGATTCACCACTACGCATCAAGTGTCATCCATTCACTTTTGCACCATGCACCGTCGAAGGATAGAAACATCACCCTCATAGGAGCAATGTTTTGTACCTCGTCATGTGTGGGTACTTCATGCATTGTATTATAGAAAGGTTAATAATGCAGGATGGTAAAAGTATTTATATCCACTTGTGAATGTTGTAATAAAGGAAGAAGAAGGATCTGATTGATTCATTGTGTATTGATCAAAGGCTGTATAGTTCACTCCCTTTGTTTTGTGATTAGATATTGACAATAAAGCCGTAAGATAGCTATAGCTGCAAACTACCAAGTGGCAAGTAGGCTCATCACACGTGATATGATTGATTTTGTATGAGAATGAACGATTGCTTCTTATCAGATGATCGACTCTAGCTATCATCAAGTAGCCTCTTTCCGTTTTGAGAACATTTTCATTTGGATAAGGAACTCCTCAAGCAGGCGGGGCGGTATGAACAATTGCCATAACGGTGCGGCTGTTATAATTCCACTGCCGCCCAGTCGGCTAGTAACGATGCAGCCCTTCCTATTTCATGGGAATGGCAGTGGATCCTAAACTTAATGTGAACTTGCACTCGGTGGATCGTGCCAATTGGCCGATTGAAGACGTTGTTTATTGGCTTGATAACCAAGGATGGGGTTCATTGTCGCGAACGTTTAAAGGTGTGTGTCTATATTCAATCGCTGATGGGTCACGCTACAGATGAGAACATTGACGTTGCCGGGTAGACTTGAATATCCATGGACACCACTTTTTGAACCTGACGATATCTGATCTCGACGAGCTGCTACAACGATCGCTACCTATGCCAGAATTGTTACGTCTGCATAAGGAAATACGAGCCTTGAATAACACGGATCACATCCAGGCAAGTGCATCAACCATATAGAGACATGGATGATATAAGGTTTAACTCTATGGGAACAATAGCATACTGGTTTCAACAATAAGCCCACCTCTCGATCGACACCAACAGTAGCACCTCCAACAACCAGTACCGGTAGCAGCAGCAGCAGCAGCACCACACGACCTGCTATGCTTCAAACCAACAACAACAACATGACATCGGATTATGCACTGATCCAACCTTTTATACCCGAACGGACATCATCCAATCCACAACAAATATCAAAGATCGTCAATGCTTTGAATTACGACATGTCTCAGATCAGACCTTTATACAAGAATCGTTTACGTTCTCAACCATCTCGAGAATTCATCAATGGTCGTCCACGTGCACCGAGTAATCCTCTTGCAACAGCTCCTCCATTCGCTACATCTTCGTCCAAAATATCCATATTGGATCGCCCAAATCCACCACCGAGTCCTTTACCAAAGACAGAAGAAGGTTGGAAGATTGCAGGCAAACGTGTACAACAATTTCAGGTAAACTTCTTACTATGAATCCAATACGATGACAATGACGCTCAACTCCTGAAATAGGAACAACGACAGCAACAACAACAGCAACACCTGAAACAGCAACCGCCACCACCATTATCTTTAACGTCACAGCAACCAGCCTATACATCCTATCATCCTTTACCTCCAATGCCATCCACGCCACGCTTTGGATCTCGACGTATCCAAGTCACTTCAGATTCCAACACGTACCTTGGTTTGACCGTGACCGATCTTAACGACCCAAAGGAGATCAAGAGTGCCATTTTGAAGATGCTGAACCTACAGGATGATCAATATCTTTATTATCATGACAATGGGGTCACGTATTATCATGAGAATGGCGAAAAGTTCTGTAAGTATGTTGTCACGTGCTAGTGGATCGTCCTTCTCATCATCATGATTTAGACGCCCCATTGACGGAGGAAGAATTGGTTGCTATTTGCCGCAATGCTGGTGAACGTCCTACCGAGCAGATCCTCGTCATGTCGATTAGACAAGTAATGCCTCCCTATGCAAAGGATCATCGTGGCATCTATCCTGATATACCCAACAATTATGGATGTAACTTACAATATCAAAGGTACGTTTCAATCAGCTCATACAACTTGTGATTACTAATACTTGCTTGATAGGTCTTTTTGTCCACCACCTTACATGACACGTCCTGACATCCACTATCCCTCCATCTTTGGTGATCCAATTCAACGCAGCCCAATCTCAGCTACACCACCACAACATGTGGCCAATTTTGGATATGCAGCGAATGCAGCAGCTAAACCTATACGACCCACAGGACGTCGAGCCTCTTCTGGAGAACTGATGACTGTATACGAGACAACAGCTGGGGATCCATATTTACAACAACAACAACAACAACAGCAACAGCAACAGCAACAGCAACAGCAACAAAACAACAAGCCATATCCGATTGTGGTTCCTTCGACAAGTAATGGTGATCCATATACGAATGAGAATAATCGACCTGAACCCATACAAAGACCACAAGCGAGTGTATCGAGTGATCCCAAGACCAAGAAGCGGTGGTTACATCGTCGACAGTATTCAACGGATGAGCTTTCTACTATGAGTAAAACACGAAGACCAGCTGTCCAATTTGCTCGACAAGATGATACTCAACAATCCAACAATGATCGTCGTCGACATTTGCAAATCCAAATACCCACCCATAGTTCGTCACGTGGTGGTGGTGGTACTTCCTTATTACCTTCCTCACCCATGCCAACCACCACTTCAGAAGGAGGAGAAGAGCAAGTATGGGGTGAACGGCCTTCCATTGAACAACTTTACAGGGACATCGACAAGTATTTGCCTGGTCATGATTTGGATAAGGAAATCTTTATTGAAACACCCACTTCACCTAAAACACCATCTCCAGCTGTTGCTGCTGCAGCTGCTGCAACACCTCCTCCGCCATCTTCCCCTGCAATTCCAGTTGCTGCTGCTCCTGCTGCTGCTGCATCAGCATCATCAGCAGCTCCCACGCCACCTCTCACTTCAACACCTTCCCCTCGTCATCAACGTTTACAAGCACATCGCAAATCCATCCGTGTGGTGGCTAAAGAGGCTCACAAGAATTGGCGTTTCTCTCAACATATGGGTACTCCACGTAGTATCTTGCGTCGTCGAAGCACCAAAATGTGGGATCGTAAGGTAGAACAGGTGAAGCCTGGTATGATTGTGGAAAGGCAATCGATGGTTGTCAAGGAAGAAGTGGAACCCGTAGGATATCCAGGTAAGAATCTTACTTGCCCCATACTCGATGAGCCACGTACTAATATTCTTTTGGGGAACAATAGCACCTACCAAGATGCAATGGGTACGGGGTGAATTGATTGGACGAGGTTCCTTTGGCCGAGTTTATCATGCTTTGAATGTTGCTGCTGGAGAATGGATTGCTGTCAAAGAAGTGGATGCACCCAAGACCAAATCGGATATGCAAAACACCAAGATGCGTGAAGCAGTGGATTCATTGTATCGCGAGATTTCCTTGTTGAAGGATTTCGACCATGAAAACATTGTTCAATATCTGGGCTATGACTTTGATGAAGACGAAGGCCACATTTACATCTTTTTGGAGTATGTTCCTGGTGGTAGTATTCTCAGTGCGCTCAAAAAGAATGGACCCTTTGATGAAGTACTCGTTCGATTCCTCACGCGACAAATCCTATTGGGGCTTGAATATTTGCATGATCGCAACATCATGCATAGAGTAAGTCTGTGCACACCTCCGTATTCGGAATGATGTGAGAGCTAACACTTTGGCGATACACAGGATATAAAAGCTAGCAACATTCTCGTGGATAATCATGGCGTATGCAAGATTACAGATTTTGGTCTCTCGAAACCAAGTGGACAAGAAGAAGCCTACGACCCCAATTCCAATACCTTGATGAAAGGCACCGTGTTTTGGATGGCTCCAGAAGTAGTACAAAATTCCAAATACAGTGCCAAGATTGACATCTGGAGTCTCGGCTGCACGGTGATTGAAATGCTCACGGGTGATCACCCATGGATGGAAATGAATATGCTTGCTGCATTGTATAGTGTAAGTGTGTGTGTGCTTGTTTGTTTTCTTTGTTTACAGGAGATCCCCTCATTGGTGTGTGTGTGTTTTCTTTTTGTAGCTTGGCAAGTACAAGTCTCCACCGATACCTGAAGATGCGCCTGAGTTGGCCAAGGATTTCCTAAACCAATGCTTTATCATGTAAGAGAGAGGGGGATGGGATGATACCCAATGATGGAATCCATGTTGATATGATTCTACCTTCATCCTATATAGTGATCCAGAAGCACGTCCAACGGCTGCTGATCTTTTAGTGCATCCATTTGTCAGACAAGTAACCAACTTCAATTTCCAGGTAACGTTCTCCCCCATCCTTGTGAAAAAAGAGTTAAATTATTGACCAGCCAACGTGATCAATAGGATTATGTAAAGACGCGTTTGAATTGATCGACACGCTTCCGCTTTTTCCTTGTCACCAAGTCCCCTTAATCTTACTCTAAACATCCCGACATTATCATCCACCTCATCATTACCGCCGTACTTAATCTATTACTGCTTCTTGTTGTTATTTAGTGTGTACCTTTTTTCTTTTACTGTGCCATACTATAATAATCGTTCTTTTTTACCACTTTTCAACCGACAACCGAGCCTCACTATGCCATGTGACACAAGTGTTAAGCTTGTCAACTTTTTCTTGCTTTGGACTTGTTTCACATATTGACAAGAAATGTGTACATGTATATGCTGCAAGACAATACGGATCTTTCCTTATATTGATAGATTGGGGGGGAAATGTTCGTGGAGAGGGAGAACAACAACTGTGAGAAACTAAGCGTATTGAATGACAAGCTAGGGGTAGTAGTGGTAGTTGTTTAATGAAGATCATGGTCGTGCACACGCGAGTATGTACAAAAAGAGAGAGGGAGATGGGAGATGGATGAATATGAAACATTGTGTACAGAGAAAACGAGAGAGAGCGTTCGAGACCCTCACTATGATATATCACTTGATGCTGATGCTACACCACTGAGATTACACACACACATATGAGATAGTTCCTTTTTGCAAAATACGGGATAAGACGGTCCCCCCGACGTGGCGGCACCTGTCATGGGGTAATGCTCCTCCACCATGTCGATGGCTGGCCTTGATAAACACGACAATGACACATGCCATCATCCATTGTCGGTCGGCAAGAGTACCTGTATACATAAACCATTAGCTTTAAGTATTCTTTTACGCGACTCTATAAATGATGCTTACAGCGGCTATATAGATAAAAGATGCAAATCACCCAACGAAAGAGGAATTGGAAATGGATCAGCTATATGCATAAGAGAAGACAACAGGGATTTCACACTCACACAGTCGCTTGAATTATGCTTTGCTATTGAAAAATGAACAATGTGAGTTTACTTTTTATGCTGAGATGCGGCGGCGGGGTACAGTAATAAAGGTAAAGAGGTTTACATGAGCCACAAAAGAAGCAGTGCATTGGTTTGCCAAGGTTGTTGATGTTCATTGGAGCGAAAGGAAAAAAGGGAATAACCTATTGTATGCGTCTTTATAGCACGCTTTTATACCTTTCGACCAATTTGGACGTGATCAATTGAACAGATACCCACACACACTCGCGTGCTCATGCTGATGGATGTGCGCACACCCGCCATAAAGTGAGCCTCGTGGATATCTCGGGGGTGGGGGAGGAGCATACATACATACATAACAAGTTCGGACAAACAGATGAGCTCCACTCCTTTTGTGCAATGTATGTATAGCAACTTGTGATATGCATGTCTCGCATTATCAATAACAACGTTTCCTTGTCACCTCCCCCCCCCAAGGTTTGCTGTCTCACATGATGCTCGACAAAGGAAAAGCTCTCGAGAGTGATGGAAACATCGTGCGTTGCACGATTGTTGTGATCTATATGCATCCATTTCGTTACTGGAATTCAATGCCCCAAAACAGCGGGATCCTTATTACTGCTTTGGAGTCGACGAAAGATGCATGTATGTATGCATGACCATTTCGTAATGGGGTTTTCTCTAAGCATCGACTGTATCCATAAACCATGATGATACATTTATTACACCAACAACACGATGCTGGAATATTCCAGCAACATCTTTTGCATATACACAATACGTTCTTTTCTTTTCCCATTCTTTAAGAAACCCATCACCATCATGTAGCTTTTGGTGTGTGGCACACATGTAAAAGAGCAAAACATGTTCATGTCAAGCATCAATTCATTAAGGTCGCCTGATTTCATTTCTGACACAATCGTTGTCAATGGATGAAAGATACCGGAACCCTGAAAGCCCCTTTTATTCAAAGCCAACTGTCACATGGAATCTGTTTGTGCATCAAAACAAAAACTCGGGTAGCTAATCTTGTTTTCCAGCATCATTGGTCTCCTTCATCAACGTTGATAGCTCCTGGTACGCTATGTTTTATGGCACCTTCCTTATGTCTATTCATGTTGATGGAATGTATGGGTTAGGCAATGACAAGCTGCTATACTTCATCATGTAATCATGTACCTACCGATCTTGAAGAAATGCTTCCGGGTATTGGCTGTCACACATACGAGGGTTCTTTCCGCTGTAAAAAGGAGAGAGGGAGAAAGGCAATTAGAATTAATGTGGACCAGCCTATGGCAAGTCTTACCACCACAGGGGCTGTAAAGCTTCGGCTTGGATCCCACGCTTCACAAGCCTATAACGCCAATCAAAGATGCGTAGCATGGCATTCCCCAGATCGCGCTTGTGTCCCTTGTCATCGTACCTTCCAGACCACAATACTTCAGCGGCTGCTGCTGTACGAGGCCTACATACCATATAAGTACATACGTTATGTGTATCATCTATTACAGAATGACCACTCACCACAAGCGTGTATCCATGCCAACGGGATCTGTTTGCTCCGTCCATAATGCAACTTCACCACCTAGCACCAATTTGGCTTCCTCTTGGGTCAAATTGAAGGCCATATCGTAACTATAGATCCTTTGCCATGTCTTGAAAGGGCTACGTAAAGAGCATGATTAATATTCACATTATCAATGGCAGCATTGTGGTGTGTATATATGTGACTTACGAACACCAATCATTTCCAGATCCTCCCCAGTTGGATGGGCGATAGTTGTCTTTGACTTGATACCTCTCGAGCTCTTCAGCGAGTGAGTCTGGAATCTCTGGTGGTACTTGTTCATCGTATGATGTATCATTGCCCCTGTAAAAGGCGTATGTAGATAGGATGTATGAGCATGTGCGTATAATACGAATTACTTTTTTGCTTTACTCACGTCCAACCACCTTTACCACAATCAAGATACCAGAATTGGGCATGAGAGGCAATGACTTTGTATCCTTTCTTGACTGCTTGTTGCACCGGGTTTATCCATACTTGAAGCACGACATCCTTGAGCTCCAGATTGTTGATGGTCACAGGGTCTAAATGAATTACATATTCATGCCGCGGATCATTAGGGAACCAATGTCGTTTTGGCACTTGATTCAAACAGCACACAAACCTTCCCAAAGCACTGGTGTCTTTTCCGATTCCCGAATAAACTCGATTTCACGCTTCAAAAACTTGTAGAGTAAATCATCACCCGTAGCATTGTGTGTTTTCATGTAATGTTGCACGTGCGCATCTTGCTCCCAACATTTGTAGAAAGGCTCATCACCACCGCCATGATACCACGCATCCGGGAAAAGAGAAGCAACCTCCGATATAGCCTTTTCCACAAGATGATACGTTTCTTCAAGAACGGGATTCAATTGACCCGTGGTTGGTTGAGCTGCGTATTGTCCTTTGTTGTCAGGATCCAAAAAGAAGCGACCTGCGCATGTCCTATGTAGCAATTCGGAAAGTCCATAAATGGATAATACCCATGTTCCGGCCCCATCCAACAACAACAACTTACGTGATCTCCTTATGCGATTCGGACCAAGAGGCAGTGTGCGCAGGCTATATACAAAGCGTTAGTATATAGAATGATGATTTCAAGTAGTAGCAGTAGTAGGGTAGCATAATGCTTACCATGTCAATTTCAGGAATCACTCGCACACCACGTGCACGTGCGTAATCAACCACACGCTCCACATCCTTTTTGTTATACACGAGACGACGTTGTCCAAGAACATAGGCACCATGCTCTGCCAATTCAGGTATACTTTCAAGTCGCAAAGGGAAACTTTGTGAATCGGTGATATGCCAATGGAACACCTAAAGTTGTCATCATGTTAATATGACCACCCATCCACCATTGCCATAGCTCAATAGATACGTACATTCATTTTGTTATATGCCATTCCATCAATCATTCGCAGGATATCCATGACTGGAAAGTAATTGCGTGCTGTGTCTGGAGGCGACAAAGAAGAAGAATGGGTCACGTGCTCTGATGTGATAGTAGCAGTAGTAGCAGCATTAACATACCCAACATTAAACCTCGATGAGAGTAAGCAGGAGCATCTTCAATATGGATGGGTGTCTCTGGTATGAAAAGATTCTCCACGCTTGTATCAAATCCTTGTTCCTCTTGATCGTCGTAATCTTCAATGGAAGAAGAAGTCTTGTAGGCTTGCACCAGCTGTGAAAATGTTTCCAGGCCATAAAGTGCACCCCATTTGGTTTTGGCTGCAAGAGTGGCCGATCCTTTGTCTGAGATATCCAACGTGTATGATTCATCCACCCCAAATTCAAGTTTTGCATTGACATCATCGATCGATACTTCCAAGGTGGATAGCGTGTTGGCTTTGTTGTTGACGAACACATGTTGCTTATTCTCGTTGTTGGTGTTGAAATGGGGTTGTTGTTCATCAAGAGTGGGGTCATCATCCTCCAGTGGGACTTGAACCTACGTAGGTGCATACATATTAGTGACGACGACAACCTTGTATTCAACAACACGTACCGGTATCCAACGATCTGCCAGGATTGTATTCATGCATCGTTTGATAGCATCTTGAATCTCGTCGGGTCCTCGAATATGAAAGGATGGCTGGGAAAGATAGGTGGAATTCAATCAATCATGCATATCCCCCCCAACCTTCACACTACACGAAACTCACATCCAGCTTTAGGTCAACGTTTCCTGAAACGACATGCTGAGGTATCGGCCATAAAAAGACACGTTCCAGTGCTACTGCCCAAGACGTAAAGTGTAGCAGCAACAATAGCAACCAAAATACACCATAACCATGCATGAGAAAAAAGAAAGAAAGAAAGAGAGAAAGAGAGAGAAACGTGTGTGTGTGTATGCGAGAATCAAAGCCATTCCTTTTTTATTTCTCCAACAGTTTCTTGATAAAGAAAGCACCAGCAACGAGGGAAAGTACGGACATGACAGCTGGCACAGGCTTTTGGAAATTGGTCTTGATGGCACGCGGCACCATGGCACCAGCAAGCAAGACCGATGCGCCAATGGCAGTTTCAATTCCATAGGGACGATGGTGGTGAATTAGATAGCCTGCATAACCGTAAAGAGAACCAACGCCAACACCTGCAACAAGGGAGGGAACCGAGCCTGTTTTGCTGAAGCCGATAAAGCCACTATAGTAGCAACGTGTATTAGCTAGAGCATTCTCTTGGTTGATATTCTACATACCCAACAGCACATAAAAAGGCCATAAGATACGATGGTTGATATGACATGATAGTTGCAAAAGGAAGAGTGATGGTTACTAAGAATCCAGTCAACGGCCCGAATTTCCCCACCCTAGTCAATCTTTGTGTCACCTTCAAACAATCACACAATCACGCACTTGCATTGAGATGGATAATGGATCGATTCTAAGCCAGCATTATCATTTTATGTATGCGATGCGATTGGATGTTAGTAAATACAAACATTGATTGATATAGGCTGTACTCTGAAACAGATAAAATGATATTTGGTATGCTCAAGATACACATGTGGGGGAAAATGGGTAATGATCTAGTAGGAAGGAGAAAGAGAAAGAGAAAGAGAGAGACTGGAAAGGTAAAATTAATTACGATTGGTGTTGTGTGTGTGTGTGTGTGTGTTTGTGTGTGTGTATACGAGGAAACTATGTATAAATGAAGATGGGATGTTGTTGTTGTTGTTGGATGCGTGTGCGTGTGTGTGTGTGTTGTGTAATGCGTGCGTATGTGATGTAATGTAAAAGAAGAGAGGGGGATCACCATCCATTCTCAGCATTCTTGGTTTTGAGATATTCAAACATCTTGTTGCCTGTTTCTTCCTCCTTGATCTGGACCATGTACACCATACGTTGTCGTTCCTTCTCATTGACCAAAAGAATGGTGATACGCTTGGGGGAAATGCGTTCCACGTTACGACTTAGCACCAATGCACTGACAAGCTTGGTCGATTTGTTCTCAATCTCAATATGCATTCGTTTGCTTGGTAGCTGCTGAGAAATCTTCATTTGTACACTGCCAAAACTACTCCATTTGGAATGCTCGTTTTGTACAAATAATTTGGTCTTGCATTGCATCACCAAACGCAACGATTGAGGCACCGTCGTGTTATCCTCCTTGGGTGCTGGCTCATCATCAATGGACATGGATCGGATCAAGTTGGAAGGAGGCACCACACTAGCACGAATACTGCCATTATCATTCTTGAGAGCTTCTTGATGCATCCGTTGCAAGATTTGATACATGGCCACAGCATCAGCAGGCGAGTGGAAATGGATCAAGTAATTCTCTTTTTGTCCACCCATGTACACCGAGATGCTGACATCCGTGGGCGATGCATGACAAATAACCGTGCTTGGTAGCACCCATGCATTCAAATACAATTGACCCGTTTGTTGTAGCTGAATAGCAACGCATGATCGATTCGTGTACGTTTGACGCACCTCAACGACGCATTGCCCTTCCACACCATACCATGACTCAGCCTTCCAATGAAACACCTGACACTGCTTGTTGCTAAATACCACTTGCCGAATACCATGCGTTTGTCCATTCACCATATGAGGAGTGGGCTAAATCGATAAATCATATGAATATCATGTTCTCATGGATGAATAAAAATAAAACACTTACACTGCGTGGAGGCGAATTGAGCTCATCCATGGATCGTTGAGGACGTAAATGAGGAGGAGTATGAAGATGATGTCCTGGAGGTGGAGGTGGTGGACGAGAAGGATCATTGGTGTAACCTGGAGTAGGAGGCAAACCAGGACTAGGTGAGCGACTCGATGGCATATTGGCAGATGCTGGTAAAGGAGCAGGACGACCCATGGGATGTGGTGGTGGTGGTTGCACATGTTGTTGAACTGGTTGATGTGGACGTGGGGCGTAATAACCAGGTGATGGGGGTGTAGCCTGATGATGATGATGATGATGATGCTGTTGTGGCGGTGATGGTGTGGCATAAGAAGATGCTACAGGACCTTGAGGCAAAGCTTTCTTGGCTGCAGGATTATTATTATTATTAGGTGGAGGCTGAGAACGCATTTGTTGTGGAGGTTGTGGAGGTTGTTGTTGTTGACGGAATGAACTGCTACGCACAGGAGCTGGTGCAAGTGGCTTTTGATCATTTGGAGAAGATGATGTGCGAGGAAGAGGCTTTGTTGTATGAGAATTGGGAGTTGACAAGTAATCGTTGTTTTGTGTAATGGCTTGCATTGCCACCGGAGCAACAGCATGACTGATTTCAACAGTGCGTGGTGATACAGGTCGAATAGGGCTACCGGCACCTGAAGAATCTTCTGAGCCATGGGTGCTGATAGATGTCACTGATGGAGCTGGGCTTGCAACACGAGTGGGCGACAAACGGCTAGCATCTTGTTGTTGGGGTGTTGCCAAGAGACCTTTATCCGTCTTGATAGGCGGCTTGGGTCCAGCAGTATTATTAACTTTTTGTTGTGGCGTAGCTTGGGAAGAAGATGCCGTCTTTGGAGGTGGTGGTGGTGCAGGCAAGTTTTTCTCGTCATTCATTTTAGGTGGGACAGCTGGGACTAGTGAAATCACCACGTGAGTCATTCATCTTGTATGATTAGCCTATTGTCATTGTTGTTATTTTGCTTACTTTTAGATTGAAAACTTGTAGGAGCGTCTTCAGTATCAGAATCGTCAGAGGAAAGGGGAGAGATTTCACCCGACTGGTCTGTGTAGAATGAAAAAAAGTCTTGTTTGCGAATGACGCTCTTGCGGGGTTCTCGATTGCTGCCTTTAGTCACTGATGATGATGATGATGATGATGCAGGTTTCCCGCCATGTTTTTGCACAACGACACTCAATGGCTGAGGTGCAAGAGTAGATGAACTAGGTGCATCATCATTCGCTCCAACCCATCGATTACGGGTCTCCTTGGTATCGGCACGCAATGTAAGGCGCTTCTTGTCTCGAATGTCCACTTCCAAAAGGTATTCACCAACAAGCTCACGATCCACCATCTTGGATTTGACGATAATGTCACTGACAGCGAGCGGCGGATATACGAGTATATGCGAGTTGGATGCAGCGTCGGTGTTTTCTCGAGTAATGATCAAGAATTCATTTGTAAGGACGACATCGACACGTGTTGATGATTCAAGATGCGTCTCCTCGGCCAAAAGAACAAAGTTGTTGCGTGCAAGGATTGATGTATCATTCGTGGCAAACTTTGGTGTGCATTGCTATATACGATAATGAGTTTAGATATATATGCATGTGTGTATATCTTCATACAATGAGAAACTTACCGTGGGTGCACCTGTGAAAACATCAACAACCTTTGAACAATCCAAGTTGTTTTGTAAAGAGACGAGTTCAGAAGGTGACATACGAGACATGTCAGTTTGTATAGGTGTAACAACAGGAAGCGCTTTGGAGTGAAGACGAGCGGAAGAAACGTGGTCTGAAGAGGAAGCTGACTTTGCACTGCTTTTTTGGGCCATGAGCATCACCGTATCAATTCGTTGGTTGGCTTTGAGCAACAGCTTGTGGTCAGCCCGTCCCGGCTCAGCGCTCTCTAAAAGTCGCTTTACATTTTTTCGGGTTACTCCTTGGGATCATGTTACCAGCATACATTGCATACTTACGCCATACAACATCTTGTAATACTTTAATTGCTGCACAGGTGCATTGAACAACGATTCAAGTGTAATCTCATAATTGGCATTCATCGAAAGATCCTATCCATCCTAATGATTAGTTCTCACTCACTCTTTCACTCACAATGATGAGGTCCGCTCACCTGCAATAATTTGCGAATGGCAGGATTATCAACAATGTCGTGTCGTTGATTCAGGTGGGGGATAAAGCCTCTGGAAAAGTTGGCATAGGGTACTTCCATATCATCCACCTATTAAAGCAAGCATTAGATTTAGTCATATAGGATATAAATAATAACCTACCCATTGCATCAATACATCCCCAAGCTCCTTGATTGTCTGGGGGTTCGCAGCAATCTTGGTGAGTTTCTATAGCAACGCACGAGTAAGTTGAATGATTCATCATCCAGCATTGCTTATCAATTACCCCGCAGAATCGCTTGTTGGCTCTGAGAATATCACGAACATTGTTCAACAAGTCGTTGAAATCGGCTGCTTGTTGTGCTGACCAAAGAGGCGCCAATTGCTATAACAACGTGGATTATCAATATATGGAACCACCTCTTTTGATCCTTTTATACATATATATATACCACGTACGGTGTCAATGATCTTGAGCGTATCCATATAGTTTTTCTCGGTTTCAATAAGTTCTGTCAAAGGATTATGACCAGAGGCGTTTTGTGTTGGAGGGTAAGGTGACGCAGGAGTTGTCGTCGAGGTAGTGGTTGAGAATGCATCGGAGGCATTGGAAGAAAGAGTTGATGCTGAGAGCATGGCGAACACTGGTTGGTGGTGGTGACGATTATGTTATGATACAGGATTAAGGAAAGGAGGAGTGCTTGAGCGTGTGAGAGTGAGAGTGAGAGTGAAAGAAAAAGAGCGAATGGGTTAAAAGGAACGAATAAGGGGGAGCGAAAAGAGCTGCAAATATGGCGATTCAAGAACAATGAGACAGCAATGGAGCTGTATTGTGTACGTTCACGTAAAAAGAAAGATAGTGAAAGGAAGGAAGAAAGCAAAAGTTGAAAGGCCAGAACAATCAAGAGATATCTGAGAAAGAGTGGTGACACCGCGTTCCTGGCACACACCACCACTACCAGCACCACCACCAGCACCCTTTGAATAAGCATGGTAATATCCCATGCCTCCCATGTTTATTTTGCTTGACAGTATCCGAGTATGCACGCGATTTTGATAGATCGACATGGTAACGGAGACCCATTGTGAGCTGAGCAAGTATAGAGCAATTTCCTTCGCTTCCATGCGAACACAAACATGTCTACATGGACCCCCAGCAACGACCGTGTCACCAACAATGGTGTAACCCTGAACCCAAGCATCCTTTGTGTAAGCTGCACCTTATAATCCTCTTGCAAAAGAATGGCACTTTTGGGCAATAGGCTTACTTTACTTGTGCTTGCTGGCATGTATTATCCATCTAAAAAAAACCCCCTCCGCCCCCTTTACAGTGCTCCTTGTACATAGTGGACCATCAGGGGTATGGAGACACATCATCATCGTTATTTCTGCCATTGCTGTGTAATGTGAAATGTTGGTAGTCATCAAATAAAGATACATGGAGGATGATGGCATACATGATAGAGTAATCTACTCTATATGGCAGATTTGATCATCGATTGGATGCATTCAAGGTCCAGACAAGCGCAATGCGGATCCCCAATCTCAAGACAACCCACGCGCATGTCCATACTTGGAGCATGACCATGCATCCAATGAGACATGTACCACAAACCCTCTATATTTAAATGGCTCTTTCATTTCTATCGTACTAAATATAAAGTTGGATTGTGCATTTGCAGCATTTATTGAAGCATCTGATGGTGAATCTACTAAAACACACTTTTCTTGCCGAAAAAGACAAGCTAATTGTCTACCTTGCCCTTTTAGCTCAGCGGCTCAATGTATCCGATCCAATCGCCCATTCACAAAAAAGGGGGACCCGCATCCAAAAAGTCATAGTTTACTTTTTCAAACCGACCAGATGGGTTCGACACCTTTTTGGCATCTTCTCGACGAGAACGAGAAAAACATGGACATCCAAATCACCGGATACACGGATCAATGGTAACCCATAAAACATGCATGAAGAAGCGTTTAATCGGATGTGACATGACCCATGTGTCATGTTGCATTTTTGTGCAATCCCGCCATTCACTACTACTACGCTACCCAAGACATACCATTGACATCCAATCATCGTAAGATATACCCGATACGATGATATCATGTATATCAGCTGATGTGATTTTTGTAGCTAGTAGATTTCTTCTCATGCATTCGTTGATCAAGTAATCGGCTCATTCGAGTAGTAGGTAGTAATATGAGCTGGTGGATATGTGTGTGGTCATTCAAATTCAATTGCATAAGAAAATGAGGTCGCTGGTAACGTTTTTCCACGTGAAGGTCGTAATCTGGTACACTTAAAGCGATGATACAATGCAATTGTTGAAGATGTTGTGTGCTATACGTGCAAGTTTACACGTGACACATCCATACATTAAGGTATTCAAGTGATACCAAAAACTGAAAGCCTTAATCCACCCCATCCAGCCTTTTTTTGTTTCAATGTGAAAATAACAATTGTGTTTATTTTATCCTATCTTCAGCAGCAGCATTCATATGGTATGTGATTGAAGATCATGAAGCAGCATTATTAAGATGTCGGGGATTTAAAAGTGAATTTGCCTGAGCATGCTAGCCAAGTGGGGGGCGTTGCGCGAGCTGGAAGAAGCGCTCCAATCCTTGGCCAAGGTGAGATCCTTCTTTCCTCCCATAGCATTAGTAGAGATGGTAAGAGCATCATGAATGGATGAATGACTCTATGAATAGATGGATTAACATGATGGATGGATGGATGGATGGATGAAATAGCCCAAGCAAATTAAGGATATCAAGCAGTTCCTCGAAATTGCCCGCAGAAAGGACGCCAAGTGTAAATATCCCCAATTCAACCCTTTTTACCAATCACGCTCCATTCTCACTTACTCACGCTCCATTACAAACAGCTGCTCGCGTCAAGAAGAACGCTGATTCTGTCAAGTTCAAGGTCAGATGCTCGAGCTACCTCTACACCTTGGTTGTCAAGGATAAGTCCAAGGCCAACAAGTTGAGACAATCTCTTCCCCCTGGTAAGTAGCTAGCAGTAAGCCAAACCACCTATCTCATATAGGATGAATACTAACACAAATGTTTTCCCAATAGCTCTCGCCATCGAGGAGATCAAATAAGCGTCTCAGCAATCAATAAACCAGCTTCGCTGTTCATAATCTTGCATAATGAATGGAAGTTTTTGTATTGTTGATAAAAGGAAGTGATATGTACAAGATGATGATAACTACTACATGAAACAAGCCCAAGAATTGCCGACCGATTGTTTATATGCAGTGGTTGAGGAAGATGAGGAAGATGAGGAGGATGTTGAAGCACGACCATCGATTTGCATCACTGTCAGTTGAGGATCATGTTCAGCTGCTGATGATGGTTGTCGTCGTGCACTGCCAAAGTCCCAACAATACAATCGCTCTTGACGCTGGTGACGTGTGCGGATTTCAACACATGCAAAGACCTTGGATGAATCGGGAGATGCACGAATATCAGTGATGATGTAACCAGAATCCAATTGAGGTGCTAATCGATACACAATGTCGCCCGTCTCCAAGTCCCATACATTGATGCAACTACGAATTTGCTTATTGTTGTTGCTAGGAGACGGTTGATCCGATTGCTGTTGTTGTTGTTGTTGAATGTGAGATGTATCTGAGGATGATGAAGATGATGAAGATGAAGATGCATTGATAGATTGATAATAGCGGTATAGTTGATATGGCGTCATTTGTGCTGCTGCTGGTGGAGGTGGAGAACAAGGTGATTCATCCAAGCTGGCAATGTATCCATAACGTGGCGTTGGGGTTGATTTTTGAGGTGTTGTTGCTGGTGGTGGTGGACTTGGTAAAACAGGGATGCCATCTGGATAACTTGGTAGTTTGCCCTTTGTCAATAAAAAGTAAGGCACCAGACACAATTTGGTGAATCCTGTCATTTCTTCAACAACGGCACCCCAATCGAGATCACGCACACGAGGACGAGGCGATCCTAGCTCATACACCAAGGACCCAGTCAACAACGAGAATACGAGAACGGGACCAGATGCATCAGGTGAGCATGCTACCAAATGTTCTCCCACAGCAATTTCGCCAACGCCTTGAATCCAATCACTGCTTGCTGAAAGGTAGGAAGAGATATCAATCATGCCGCGTCTTGCTGTTGTCACTTGCTCTTCCAAATGATGATCGGCCAAATCCCATACACGCAACATGCTATCGGATCCTCCACTCACAACCACTAATAAATAAATACCATCAGCCATCCATCCCATCACATATACATGTATTTTGTATATACATACCATCATCATTCATGCCAACACAAAGTACGCGTCCTCGATGACCTTCCCATAAATGAACCATTTGTTGCTTGACAACATCCCACAAGGCGACTGTGCCATCCAAACTTCCTGTCACTAGCCATTTGGAGGATGGGTGGCTGTAATGACAAAACACCGTGTGTGTACTCCCCGGACCTTCCAAGACTGGTTGATCGAGATAATGCGTCTCACGTGATTGGGGTGATTGGATTTGAATGCTTTGATGGCCATCGGGTCGTCGATAAGTAGGATTTGAACGCACAAGATGACCGGTGGATGTCACTGTCAATGTAGTGAAGAAGGTATGCTCTTGAGGTGTGCCCACCACCACGTGAGGTGTCAATGTGGCAGTGCTGCTTTGCTGATCATCCACCTTTGGAAAGAAGCCCATACAGTTGCCAGTAAACCAGTTGCGAGTGATCCGATACATATCTTGCCACGTGCGTTGCGAGTGTCCAATGCAGTTATGCACTTGAGGATCGGGGAAATGCAAGGACCAAAATCGCCGCTTGTTGCCATTGTGGAAATCTCGCTTTGCACATGCTCGCCACAGTAGATCGTCGTAATTGTTGACCACGCCATACCATTGTCGACACACGGCAGAGCAAGCAGCAAGGCTACGGCCATCCAGATGAGCAAACACGGCAATCAAGAGTTCAGCCGGGAAACGGGGATCGTCGTCGGGTTGGCGGCCTGACATGGATATGGATGAAAAGGGAAATAAGAAAAAGAAAAAGGAAGCTGCAGTAATATGAGCACTCGAGCATTAAACACATCCACACATACAACCCCCTAAGCATACAAAGTATTCCAAACACAACCGGGGATATCATCCATGCTGTTGTGCAACTTGTTAACGAATGCTATATACATACAATAAAGCACTAGGATCACACCCTTATCATCATCCATCATTGGTCATAGCAGTAGAGAGGTTGCAAACTGCACGGTAAAGGAGAAGAAGACAACAACGAGGTATTATTTGACATATGATAATGTATGTACACATGTACAAGTATCTTTTATGTGGTCAACAATCGAATGCTGCTTACTGCCTTGCTTGTTTGCCATATTTTCTTTTCGGACAACATGGGCTTTCTCCACCATTATCCAATAACTCCTCACAGCATTGACGTAGTGCTCGAATGGCATCCTCACATTTGGATTCTTGATAATGATTCTTGGCGAGACAATCTTGAATAGCACAAGCTAATAGTGGGATGTTAATAAGTATAATTAGAAAGGAAGAGGGAGGGGGTAAAAAGCACTCTTACCAAACTTTTGACATGGTGGAGATGACTATAAAGATGAAAAATGATAAGCATAAACACGCGTCAGATTGCTATTCATGTTATTACCGGCATTGTATCAGGGATGATGCGGGGTGGTGTGTGTATGTGTGGGGGGGGGAGAGAGAGGGTGTAAAAAGAGAGGGAAGAAGAGGAAAAGAGAGCTACACAGCGGAAAATGAGCGACACACACACACGCACTGGGTGGGTAGGCAATGATGCAACTAAGAGAGTAAGAGAGCCTCGTGTGTGAAACAATGAGATACACATTAAGCGTCCGCGACCCGAGACTTTTTTGTGTCTTACCCTTTTTTCCTTTTTCTTTCAACAACCCCCAATGTCATGGCACAACTAGAAACGGTCTATGTCACTCACAACTTTGATGCTGAAAACGACGACGAGATCGCTCTCAAGGCAGGCGAACCTGTCATTGTCATTGAAAAGGACGAGGAATTCAAGGACGGCTGGTGGAAGGTATGTATCCTTGTATGCAAATAGCTTCAAGTTGCTCATATTCTAATCATTAGGGCCGTAATGCTCGTGGTGAGATTGGCTTGTTTCCTATGAACTACACATCCACCGTTGCACCTACCTCGCTTGAAAAGACCATTGGCTCGATTGAAGATGTCCTATCATCCATGCAACTATCCAATCCCACCGATGAAAGCCTTGGATTTATATCATCCGATGTCACATCCGCTAGCTTTGACAAGAGTCGTCGGAGCAGTGCCAGTGGTGCAAGTAGTTCCAACAACAACAACAACAATCGAAGCCCCATCACTAGAACCAACATGTATCGCAACCTGGATTCTTCATTATCATCCTCCCTTCTCAAAGACACTGCTCCAGAAGATTGGTCTACCGATCAAGTCGCTTTATGGATTGACATGATGGGATTCAAGGACGTGGCCGAGACATTCAAAAGTAGGTTGCTCGATTAGCTGTGGAAAATGATTTGTAATCTCATCCCATGTATGATTCATAGTGCAAGAAATCACCGGTGATGTGCTTTTGGAATTGACGCCAGAATCATTAAAGGAACTTGATATCGGCACATTCGGCAAACGGCATAAGATTCATAATGCTATTCAAGCGCTTCGGCAGGAAACCTTGCGAGTACGTATCATTGTTCTTAAAGCGTGATAATATCCATAGATTAACGTCATTGGCAGGATGATTCTAGTGTATCTCAACGCCATCGACGACGTCAATCATTAAGAGAATCATCAGCAACACCGAGCATTACCGGATCGGGATCACCAAAGTATCATGCCGCTGATCAACATGTGTCAGCATTTAATAGAACGCCTTCTGTATCTGGTATGTATGAGCGATATTGGATCGGGTGGATCTGGGAGTTTGGCAACTACTTGTCAATTACTCACGTGTAATCTAATTTTTATACAAACACCAATAGCACCTATTCTACCACACCAACAACGATCAACACCACCACCAAGAGTTGCAAGCCCTGTCCCATTATCACCATCCGATGTCCCTGTGCAGTATACCATAAAGTCATCCGTTGGCAATGCAATGTCGATCCCTGTAAGTTTGTTTTGAAACGCCGCGTGATAATATATATTAATTGGTTGTACAAAAGACGAGTTTGGATACGAATGACACCAGGAATGGCGATCTGACACACGGCACTACAAGATCGAATGGGTAAGTGGGAGCATGAAAGCGCGTAGAAAAGGAGAATACCTTTGAGGACGCGATCATTGATATCATTTTCACCATATAGACGCTCGAGTTTTCTCCGTGGATCATTTCTTGGCTCGGCAGCACAAAAACCAGGGAGCATCTTCTCCTTGGTCAATCGAAATTCAGTCGATGTAAGACGCAACACCGTGCTTGGATCAAAGTCAGGGAGCAACAATGAGCAGGGCAAACCTGATATGGAAGGATGGCTACATAAACAAGGTGATAAGTATCGCACGTGGAATAAGCGCTGGTTTGTTCTGCAAGGCATGAATCTCTATTATTTCAAGAGTCCAAAGGTAGGGCACACATTCACCTCCTGAAAAAAAACTTTATTCTCTAAAACAAGGAGATAGGATCTACGAGTGAAGGGCATCATCAACTTGGATGGATATCGTGTCTTGACCGATGAGACAATCCACTCGGGCAAATACTGCTTCAAGTTACAACATGATCGAGAAAGGACGTTTTATTTCTACACGGATTCGGAAAAGGTGATGAAAAGCTGGCTACGTGGATTGATCAAGGTCACCATTTCTCGCAACTACAATAGTAAGTGTCACGTGATACATATGCCTATAGGATCTCTTTATACTTATTCAAGATGGTATAGCACCTGTTTTATCATCCAACACGATTCCAACAGTATCACTTGATGCAGCACGCCGATTGAAACCACGACCTCCATCGATGGTGATGCAATCCAAGGATGATTTTGATTACATGTCACGATCGGATAATCGACCCTTTTCTTTGACAAATTACGAAGGTGGTGGATCATTATCACATCAACCCTCGTTGCGAGCTTCACGATCCGAATCCATGGCACCTTCCTTACGTGAACAAGCACGATCCCCATGGCGAGATCCAGTATCACGGCAACCCAGTCTTAGTAGAAGTGCCAGCATTGGATCATCATCAGGCGGCCGATTTCATTCTCAACGCAGCAACACTCAACCCCCTTCGCATACAGTATACGCTGTTCCTGAAGAAGATGAGGATACGATTGATCCCATTTGTGATTTTACACGCAAAAATGGTACCTTGTGGAGCAGCACGGAGGATGATGATGGCATTGATTACGTAAAGTGGGTGAACCAGCATTTGGAACGACCCATTCAACGTATTGCACAACTACAAACAGGGGATCTTCTTGTGGAACTACTTGAAAGGATCAGCGGCAAATCAGTACGTCGTCCTCCACCTTCTGGATCTGCTAGCATGCAAACATTGGATACCATTGTGGCAGCTTTCCGGTTTATGGGTCGTGAAGGGATCCGTATCGATGGAAGCTTCACTATCAAAGGTAAAATTGTTATCAGCGGCTATTTTCTTGGATGACTCACAACGTGTGTATAGATGTTTATGGTGGCAATGAAAGTAAAATCCAAATCATGCTTGATTCCATTAGAGATTGGGCTGCAGCAGAAGACCATCGAATCACTGACGACGCGGCAACTCATTTGTCATTCTAGTAGACTCCCAACATCCATCCCCCATCCTTTAACCATCCTCCTCCATCACGATGTACCATTCTTCCTTTTACACTTTAGCTACTTGTTGTACCACTTTTGTTTTGTAATAATAATAATTACGTTTCATCATCAATACTTTCTATCTATCGGTATTCTTTTGGGACCTTGGTTTCAAATTCTTTCCTGACGGCATCGTAAAAGGTTTGGCTGAGCAATACGGCTGCACCCACCACAACAAGGGCCTTGGAGGCACGAATAGTAGCATCAAAGGCTTCCTTGGTACCAGCGGCAGCAGCAAAGTCAGTGGTATGGTTGGCAGCTGTTGTGCAATTCATAGAGTAGAGTGGATGCAAACTTGGAACGCTGCTGCTTACATTACCTATACAACCGATCTTAGTAAAAGATGGATATAAGACAATGGGGAAAAAAGTGCACTTACCGAAATCTGTAGAGCCACCCATCATTGCGGTTTGTTCGGCTGGATGTGGAAAAACGACGCCTTCCTTTCGCATGAATGATGCATACATTTCGCCCATGACGCTGTTTTGCATCACATCATGAACCATGCCGAGGTCACGCCATTTCCATGTTACCTCGCATCCCGTAGCAATACCAGCTGCCTTAAAACAGTTTTCTACCTTTTCCATCAAACGCTTCACATCCGATACTCTGTATCCACGAACATAGAAGAGAGCTTTGGTATAATCGACAATGACATTTGGTGTTGTACCGCCTTCTTGAATAATGCCATGGATTCTGTCGGTAGGCTTGATTTGTTGTCGAAGCATGCTGATATTGGTCCACGCTTGTAACATTGCATCCAATGCGTTCAATCCTTGCCATGGTGCTTGCCCAGCGTGGCCTATAGCAAAAATACAGCCCTTAGCTCATGTACATTGGATTTCCATCATACCAACATACTAGGTTTGCCCCGAAACTCGACCGTAACGTCTTGAACAGCGGTCATAGGCCCAACATTAAGGTCGTGGGCGCTTGGATGGATCATAAGGCAAACGTCCACGTTATCTTCAAATGCTTTCTTCTTCATCATCACGATCTTGCCAACAAAACGCTCTACAATCCCCAAGGCAACCAAATGATTAGACACATGCTATCCCAATCTCGTAGTATAGTAACACCATCATCATACATACCTTCGCCTGGAGTACCAAAAAGAACCACCTTGCCAGTAGCCAATCCTTGTTCAAGCAACTTTTTAACGGCTATCACACACGCAAGGCCACTAATCGCAATACAATTATGACCGCAACCATGACCAATGTTGGGAAGGGCATCGTATTCTGAGCAGAAACCAACACGACGTCCCTCGCCTTTTGAAAACTCGGCCGTGAATGCTGTATCCATATCATATGCTTTACGCGTCACTGCAAATCCTTTCTTCTCCAAGTAGTCGGTCAACACCTCGTGTGCATGATGCTCTTGCATGGAGATTTCAGGATGTTCATATAGCTGTAGCAATACCCATATTAGATTAAATCACTTTGTGTGGTGGAAAAGACATTGACCCTTACATCTTTACTAATCTCATGCAGCTCGTTGGATACTTCATCAATGGCTTCACACAATACACGCTCCACTTGAGCCATATCTGATTTAGCATCGAGACATTGAAGAGCCGACTAGTAGTAGTGATAAGATAGATCAATGATAAGTAAGAATACAATGATACGTGTGTCTTCTACATACAACAACATACCTGGATGTTATCTGGGATACTTGAAGTATAAGCAGGAGGTGGGATTGTGGTTGATTCTTGGGAAGAAGACATGACAAAGAGTGGAAAAAAACACAAAGTACCCGAAGATCCGGACGTGTGCGTTTTTATTTCTTGTCGCGTGTGAGTCAACCCGCATAATAGAGTTCATGCGCATTTACCCAAAAGAGAAATGTCTTTTGAATTACAGCCACGTTGCTCACGGTCGTAGCTTTTTTCCTGGGAATTCATTGTTGACCTCTCTCAATGTTTTCCACGTAAACAAATACACTCGCTCGGTGCCGACAAGGTTACACGTATAAGTTAATGATTCTACTACCGTTCAAAGTTCTCGGACCGTTTAGCAGATTGATACTGGGTTTATTGATAAGGATACTTTTCATAATGATGAGGGGCTCCCTGATTTGACCATGTACACTGTCAACACAGCTTTAAACGACAGGAATCAAAAGGAAGATTTTGTATTACAATGCAAAAGAGATGATGTATAAAAGGTATAATGTATATCAGGCTTTTTAGACGCGAATGACGGGTGCGCTTTGTCTCCGGTCGGCGACTGCTTCATTCCATCGCTCATCTCGTCGTGTTAAACATGATCCATAAAATGGCAAGTTGTGTGAAGAAGAGGATGACGCTGCTGCTGTGGCTGCTGGTGATGGTGAAATAGATGGTAAATGAGTTGTTGATATCAGAGGTTCATGTTCATCCATGGTGCTATTCCTCCGTCGACCACTAGGAAGGTTCGTAGATGTGATAATGGTGGGTGAGGAAGAATTATTAAGCGACGGGTGATGCAATGCTGATAGCAGTGATGGTGTTGTACATGCTGCAGGTGGTTCAACGGGCTCGATTTGTTCGTAAAGAAGCATATAGGGATTGCTGTGTAAAGCTTCATCCACCGTACACAAGTCGACTTGTTCATCCGAAATCCGATACCAAGTACTGTCATCGCCTCGCATTGACCAGTTGCTCTTACATTTGAAGCAATTGCACGCATCCGTCACCAGTCGTCGCTTGTATGCAATGAAATGCCCAAAATCATGGCTGCCATAGTGCACAATCACACCCATAAGTCGATATTTGCTGTTCCCAGTATCACTCTTTCCATTATCATCCTTGGAGATCGGCAAATCAGGTTGTGTGTTGAGCGTGCCATTGGTGCAATAAGCTTGTAGATCCAATATCTCGGGAAAAGAGATGCGACAACCGTTTTTGAGTATAGCACCGGATGGATGGAATGTTGATCTCGACAAGTGTAAGCACAAGACCTTTGGAAGCTTGGCAAACATAGCTTGTTTGCATGACATTCGGCTCACGGTACGCAACTTTTCATCCTCCTCATGAATTTGCCCCGCATTCAAACGATGTTCCAATTCTCGTCGTTGCTTATCCAAATTCACCATCTCCGTCAAGATACGTCGTCGTTCGGCTTTATCAGCTGTAGCTTGCCTGGCTTGTTCTTGCATGGTTTCCACTTGAACGGCCATATCGCTTACTGTATCAATCAAGGCACATTTGCGGCACGTGGCGTCTGACAAATATTCCATTGCCGTGAATTCTCGTAAACATTCATCGAGTGTCGTGGCGTACTATTGCGTAATCAGCATGATAATCAACAAACACACCTCTACCATCCCATGTGATACTTACGGTATCAGGTAAAACCAATTGCACATTGTTGAAAGAAAAATGACGAATAGCCTCCTATGATAGAATGAGTACCAAGATCCATCTTTTTGTTCGCTTGATTCACTTACAGTGTAACCACATTGCATGCAAGAGAGTCGATTCGCCAACAGGCCTGTAAACGGATTCTCGAGCCGAGGGTCGTCGTTTTTGGAAGAAAAGAGGGAAAAGAAAAGACGTCGTCGGCTCGGCTTTTCACCATCGAAATGCAAGATATCCTTCAATCCTAAGCTGACGGCTGATTTCTTTGTATTCTGGTGGCATTCAAGATCGAGAGCACTCGTGATTAGCTGAAATAGTTCTTGGGCGTCCTGCTGATCATGGCTGCTAATACGACGATTGTTCATTGCGGCGACGAGTTCTTTGGGTCGAAAAGTTGAGCGTTTTGAGAGTGGTCGTGTGAGCAAACGTAATGTCTTTGCAAGTGAAAACGTCACTGGTCGTCGGGATTGTGGTTGTTGATTCATTTGATAATCCAAATAGAGTTGAAGACGTGGCAATGATGACAAGACCTTAAGTTGTATGTATGTGAATGTTAATACTTGATAATGCATGAATCATCACCCCTCGCATCCTCATCACCTCCTTATACCACAAGAGATCAACATCAAGGGACCCTTTCGTACCTGAAGAACAGAGTTGATGTAACATGAGTTGCCTGTATTCACCAGCCCCGATACAAGAGTAGTAGACCCAGCAGCAATATCCTCGCACAGACACACCGACTCAACAGGAGGCTGCTTGTTGCCGATCTCGTCCTCATCCATGGCAACCGAGGTGACTGATGAGCTCAACCAAATACCCGAACGTAGCGGCAGGTTGTAAATGGAGAGATAGTGACAACAAGATCGAGCGACATGGAAGGCTGTGGTTAAAAAAGAGTAGTCGTGGTGGAATGGAAACGCATGAGCCGCCAAAAGAATGATTAGCAATACAACGACAGCAAGGAAAAAGTGAATAAAGGAGGTGAGATCGGTCAAAAGGGTCTGGAGATTCTCCAGCGTCAATTGCATGCTTTTGGTGAAAAAGGCGTCGAGGAGGAAGGAGAGCGGAGAGAGAGAGAGAGAGGGAAGAGAAGGGTAAGCAGTAAGGGCACCAAAATTGATAAGAATGACTGATTTGCGTGCGGTAGGGTAAATCCAACCTAATTGCTTGTCGCACGCACCACGCACTTACAACCACATTGGGGGAGGGGGAGAAAATGACCCGTCGTTGCTATGAAGAAGAAAAGGAAAAAGGCAACTAGAACACAGATCTGATTTCTTTCATTCTTTTCTCTCTCACTCACTTTTTATTTCTACTCTCAATACAACTACTACTACTCTTTTAATCCATTTCCATTTCTTGTGTACGTGTGCATTACGTGGTTTGTTTTTCCTTATTATTTGTACCATTGTCGTCCTTCCAGTGTTGTTGTTCCCTTCTTTAATTTTGGTATGATCATCACCCTTTGTCAAAGCGATAGCGTTGATAGTGATCTTTTTGCGTTCTGCACCATCTCGTTGTCAGTTGAGCAAAGCCAGGCTCCTTGAGCGTCCTTTACAAAGTATTGGCTCGCTAGAGCTATAGTCTTTCTCTTTCTCTTATCTATCTTTCTATACACACACAAGCACATATACACTTCTTCTTCTCTCACTCTTTTCTCTTTCAAACACACGTTCTATCATCCCATCTTACGATACGTACACGTTGCCAAGTATCCACACACCACACGCACACACACGCACACACACGCACACACCTACATATATAGTTCACATTTCAACACGTTATTTGCTGGTTTCCAGAATGGTATTCTACGACGGCGTCAAGTTTGCATGTCTTTCTTGTATCAGGGTAAGCAGCTTACAAGGGAAAATGATGAATCATGTTGGGGAGGCGCACAAGCGGAGGATAGTGTGAACGAGTTAGGATGGGATGTGTGGGTGGATGGGTGTGGGTTGAGGAGAAATGAGGAGAGTTAGGAACGACAAGGGGTTATGTGATGCGGGAGTAAGGGAGCACAACCACGAAGCGGAGCAAACACCATCATTCTGATATCAACGTTGCTCTACTTTAGGGACACAGGTCATCCAACTGCAATCATGTGGAACGACCATTACTCGAAGTTCGAAAAAAAGGACGACCTGTAAGCCAATGTGCCTATTGCAGAGATTTACGCAAGACCAGACAAATCCATGCTAAATGTGCGTGCAGCAACAAAAACAAAGGCAAGTACATACATCATGCACAAGAACGAGTTTCTCTTTATTAGGACATCTCCATATTAATGAGATCAATTAGGCAATTCCCATTTGCTCACAACGACCACCCACAACAACAACAACAACAACACTGATGAATACCATCAACTCGCTCATGCACCTTCTTCTATGCCTGCTGCAGCTGCTGCGGACAAGTGTACTTGTACGGAAAAGGCTAAAGTAGTCCATCTACCCCAAGAGCAGCAGGAATGTTGTGCAGCCACAATCACAAAGAAACGACCCTCCCCCGTTGCTTCGGATGTGGATGATGATGAACATTATCATAAAAGACGACAACGACCCAAGGCAAAAGAATACGCCCATGTCAATCATCCATCATCATCATCCCCACCTCCTCCTTCTTGTGCACAACAACAACAACAGCAGCAGCAGCAGCAGCAACAACAACTTTCACTTGCTATTACGGATTGCAACGTTGCACTTGATGAGTTGAGTCTTGATCCTACATCATTTGCATTATCACTTTTACTCTTACAGCAGCAGCAACAACAACAAGAGGTCTATGGTTTTGCGGTGCCACCATCATTATCCTCATCCACAACAGCTGCAGCTGCAACAACAGCATTGGTGGATTGCTGTGACAGTTTACTGCAACAGCAACAACAACAGCCGTCTCCTTCCGAGTTTGCAGTGCCAACTTGTTCGTCGTCGTCTTGCAGCAACAATACCAGCAATAACAGCTCATCTCCTCCACCACCATTTTATCCACAACAACAACAGCAATCACTTTGTGGTAGTCTTATGCCACAACATACATGTGCCCCAGCAGCTTCTGGTACTGCAGCACGTACGCAGGGGGAATCTGTCATGCTAACCATCACACCCTTGTCAACAACATCATCGGCAAGTACCCGATCGCGTATTGTGACATGTTACTGCGGTGATACATGCACATGTCCTGGTTGTTTTGTTCATCCACGCCAAGAATGGTTTGCAGCACAAGCGCTCCCTTCTTCAACCGCCTCTTCATGCTATAATGGCTCCTCCGATGATGAATAAGACATCACTCTTAAAAATAAAAATGGATGATAAAAAGTAGACCATAGAAAATGATGGATCCTAGTTCATCTTGCAATTATGCAGCTCACGTACATTATCGTATCAGCCACTATGACATGCAGTTGTAAATGCAACACAATTACTATAACGCTTTTTCTAATTCTAAAGAAAGGAAGAAAGGGGGTGGTGTGATGATGATTTCCCCTTACAGGCTCATTATGAAACACGATGCACAATGAAATATCTACCTGTCATATAAGAATGATCATCATGGTGGCAAGGGTGGGAAAGAGTGAATGGGGGACACAAACAAAGCCTACGACACACGAAGCAAAAAATAGGATGCAGACGTTGCAGTCTTAAAACCTCTCTCAACTCTCAAGAGTGCTGTGCTCAAGTAAAAAAGAGTCACAAGGCACAGGAAAACGAGTTCAAAACTCATTTCAATTCATTTGGATATTATCATTTTCTTTTTAAAAGTGGATGGCGGGGAATAGTTCAGCGAACCAAACTCTTCCCCAAAGCAAAAATTGTAGCCTCGAGACACCCCGAAGGATGTTCGCAGACAAGCGGCCACCGGGAGTGCAATGGTAGGCCATCTCGCCTGTGTGCCCAGCCTCCTTGATCACCAGACACACGACTCAGGTAAGTATGAGTTGTTCAGGTTGCGTTTTCGCCCTCCTTTTATAGTTTTTTGGGGTCCCCAATTTTTCACCAACGGGTTTTGAAAATGATGGATCGGGTACCCTGAATCTTTCCACCACATTCCACGTCCGTCTATTGGATCCACGCTCGTCTATTGGCCCACTTGGCACACACCGCTTGTGAATTCGCTACACCACCCTCTCTCTTTTTGGCCCATCCATCAGCATAATCCTCATAAATGACTTCACCTCCTACCTGCTCCAGTCAAAAGATGCTCCTTGCCCTTTAAATCCTTTTTTCATCCAAACAGCCTTCTCTTTTTAATCACATTACGTGCCATCCTCATATCTGCTATGATCCAAACCATGATAATCCCATACCAACATCCTGGAGATCGCTGTGTTGAAATATGCACGGGGCAACAAAGAACGTGTTCAAGGTGGCACATGCCTTCCAACCCATTATGGCAACCAATTGATTTGTTCATGTGTAAAAGACTTTATATCTTCAGTGCGAAAAGATTGAAAAGAGGTGCGGATCAATAATGGGTTGTAATATGTACATGGATGTGTGTGCGTGTGTCGTTGTCATTGAATGGGAAGGTGGATCGAAAGGTTGACGTGAATAGCTTGCTTTACAGCATCAGATCCAATACTTGCAGGATAGCTACATAGGATCGACAATGTGAGTTTTCCCTCTGCCATGCAAATCATCCATCATCCTAGTTACCTCCTCCAACAAGTGCAAATGCAATGATACCAAAGGCCCAGTAGGTGATGGGGATATTGATCGACTTCTTTTCTTTCTAAAGAGACGATGACAATCCTCGTCAGTCATAGTCCTTGCACCACAAATACCAAGAGTCATCACTTACCAAAGAAGACTTCACTTGACCACGCTTGTTAATGTTGGCTTGGTAAACAGCATTCTTCTTGCGGATCGTGGGTGCAGTAGCCTAACAAGGGCCACATGTCAATGGTGATTGCAAGAGTAATGGCGTGGAGAGCTTCGACTTACCATGGCGATGAGAATACAGAAAGGGAAGGAAACAAAGGTATGCTGGCATTTCCCGCCATGAATTGTACTATTATAGGAACACAGCTACAACGAGGCATTGTTTGATTGGCGGACTATGGACCTCATTTGTAACAGAATCGGACTTGGTGTTAATTGCCTTACACACTGCCATTCATGCATTGTTGCCATGTACAACCAGTGGGCCAACGGTCGTCTAGTAAACCATCTTTTAACAAACGATCCCACCTCTAGCTCTTTAGCAAGCTGTTATTTAAAATGTTGTTTCTTTCATGATCCTTTATGCTCTTCTTTTATTTGCTCAAGCAGCTGCTTTAATAAGGATATCGAATAAAGGGAAGAAGCTGCGATGATGGATTGTACACTGCGACCTTGGTTTATCCTTTGCAACGGTTTAGAAATATGCACCTGTGTCATTAGTGAAAGCCTTGCATGCAGCTGCCATCGAAAATGAGATCAGGGATCTCGACAGCTGACATCTACTACTCACCTAGGAGACTATGCAAACCATACTAAGAGAATCCAAAACCACTTTTATGGTCACAAGACGCTCGTAAGATTTGTTATGGCAAACTTGATGACAGCGTACGGAGGTAAATATAGATCGACCTTTGGCATACCTCCATAGAATTTGTTAGCGAAGCATGTTTAAAGAAGGATGTAATCGATGCTTTAGGAAAATTATGTATTAGCACGAAACAACAAAAGGCGTAATCGATCAAGCCATATAGGTGATGATCCTGTTTCAGTTTAATGTAACTTGGGCTTGGCCCACCATCAACTACTGCTTGATCACGCTTACACCACCGCGTATATTTAGAACAGAGCAATTAGATTTCTACATGGTTCCCATTTATGGTCATGACATACATTGATTATGTGTATGCCATTGGCATTCGTTTGTTGCCTCCAGCGATTGCTTTTCATGACATAGATGATATTGAGACAAAACCATATCCACTATCACATCCCATCACTGCCTATGCAATAATTGCCATTTTCGATTGCTGGATGCTGAGTAGAGTCATTGTAATGCGCGATGACAACAGTGTTTCAAGTGACCCAGGTTATAGATGTTACTGCTCAAGATTCTTGGAATCCATATAAGCATCTTGACAAAAAACCTATAGAGGCGTAGATGGCACTACTCGCAGAGGAGCAATCTTGAGATGGCCATTTTGCCACTTAGATGGCTAAAACGTTGATATTGCATTATCGCAGCATGTCATGTGCACTCATTATCGATGATGATGGTATGCGTTTGAAGGATAGGATATATGCTGACGCGTGACATGTGCCGGCTCATCCACATTTTTGGATAGAAAGGATTTTAGGTTTTCCTGAGCAATGCAAAGAAAAGATTAATGCTATTCTTTAGACCCGCCTCGTGCAGCAACATGCAGCCACAGCAGCAGCTGTTGGGTGTTGTGTATGTATACGAACCCCCCTATCCTGATCTAATGTGTCCATTGTGCATGATGTGAACTTGTGTAGGCACAAAAACACAAAAACATACACGTTGCTATGATGTTGTTGTATGCAAGTATCATTGTGCACCCTCACAATACACGTCTGCAGCATGCCATCTTTGAGCACATGGACATGGGTGTGCCGAGGTGACGCTGCAGGCACATTTATGTATACACACAGGCGTAGGCTTTGTTGTTCTTTTGCTGCAGACTAAAGGGAGTCTAACCAAAAGCTATGAAGGAGTACCTTATTCGGGCATTTTTCCATTTGGTTTTACAAAGTGGAGACGACGCATATAACGACCATCGACCCAAAACCATCCAAACCAACACATCTCTTCCCTCACAGACCCTTCGCATTATCATCATCAGCAAACCCCATTGATCCAACACACTCCCCCTCCTCCGTTGCCACCCCTGTTATTATAGCCCACCAGGTCTCAGATTAATAACCTTTCTCTTTCGCATACGTCTCTCTCTCGCTCGCTCACTCTTTTACCCTTGTTTATCCCTCCTTTGTGACCCTACCATACATCATGGCGATGCACAACGATTCAGCAAAAATACTACATGCACCATCGCCACATGTATCCATCCATAGCGAAAAACCAACAGGAAGTGGTCTTGAATCTGGTGGCGAGACTGGTGTAGCTGTTTCGGTTCAACAAGTGGAACATGTACCAGAGGGTACTGCATCACCCGGTAAAGCTCTCTTCATGCTTCTTAAAGCTTTTGTGGGAACAGGTGTCATTTTCTTGCCTGGATCGTGAGTTGAACAGCATGTATACATGAAAAAGGTTAAAATGAGGCTGACATTCATCTTTCATTTGTCTACAGGTTCGTGTCAGGTGGCCTAGTCTTTTCGATCTGTCTAATGATATTTATTGCCTCCGTTTGCTTGGTCGCCTTTCAAATGCTGATATATGCCCAACGTCAAGTGGGTGGCTCGTACGATGCTGTGGGTGAACGGCTTTATGGTCCATGGTTACAGCACATTATCAAGTTTTTCTTGTGTTTATCACAAATGGGTTTTGTGGCATCGTATTTGATTTTCATTTCTCAAAACATTGCTCTTGCCGTTGATCATCTTTCCAACTGCACGTCATCAATCGATTCCAAATACTATATCTGGATGGTCCTTGCCATCATTATACCCATTACTTGGGTGCGGAAGATTGCACGACTTTCATGGTTCGCTATCATTGCTGATGTCTTCATCTTATTTGGCTTGATTTGCGTGCTCTACTTTTCAGCCGCCCAAATCGCACAGCAACATGGCCCAGGGCCCAACTTGCAAATGATCAATGGCCAAGACTTTGCTCTTATGATTGGCACAGGTATTATTTCTTCATCCATGCTCTCCATTTCCTCCCCAATTAATCCAAGGAATGTTGTATTCTATAGCTGTATTTTCCTTTGAAGGCATTGGCATGGGTACGTATATGAGATCAAAAAGCATAAAAGAGAGTTTTTGAGGAGTGAGGAGTGAGAAAAGGGGGGTTGGCGGTATACAGATCAGTGTATCCCCATTTTGTTTGTATCAATATGGCCACAAGATCTGTGATTTATTATCTCTGACGCCATCATTCATTCCACATACCATATAGTGATACCCATTGTTGAAGGCATGAAGGATCCTGACAAGTTTCCAATGGTGATGAATTTGGGTCTCCCCATTGTGGGTTGCATTTTTGTCCTTATTGGCGCTATTGGGTATTCCGCTTTTGGTGACAATACGTATGCGAGCGTGGTGGCCAACTTGCCCGCCGTACCCCTTTCCACTGCCGTTCAGCTCCTATATGCGTTGGCCATGATTCTCACTTCACCCTTCATGTTATACCCTGCATTGACCATTATTGAACAAGGCCTTTACGGCAAACATGGTCTTTTTGGATACCACAGTGGACGTCTATCACTGAAATGGAAGTGGATCAAAAACTTTACGCGCTCCATGGTCGCTGTTGTATGCGCTATTGTAAGCTTTGGTGTTGGTCCATCAGGGCTCGACAAGTTTGTGGCTCTTGTGGGGTCCGTTGCATGCATGCCGCTTTGTTTTATTTTCCCTGGTAAGTATTTCCCACCGCAAGCATCATCCATGTTTGTATATGTACTCAACCCTTTGATGTATGTTTGTAGGCATGTTCCATTACAAAGTAACAGATAACAAATGGAAGCGTATTGGTGACGTTATCATGACATTGTGGGGATTTGGTATTACCATCTACACAATGTATGTAAATATCCACTCGTGGGTCTCCCCTTCAGTACCCAATCGGCCCACACCCGATACTTGCCCAGCATAGACTTCTAAGATTATTGTATACAAGCTATACCCCTCTGCCATCAAGTGGATAAGAGTGAGAAAGCAATACCTTGTCAACCTATATGGCTAGGGTGTATTCTCCTTTATTCGCTTCTTTGTTCTTTCCTCTCGCAATTCCTTCCTCCTTTCCCCCCTTACTGAAGTGTGTTTCACTATCATACGCACATTGCTATCCTGTATAGAAACAACCGTTGTATTCCCTTTCTGGTTAACCACTAATCATTACACATCACCCGCTTTGTCATTCATAAGAAATATTTGCCCTCCCTTCCAAACCTTCCCAAACGACAATTTTGATATTGTTGTAGGCGGTCTAATTTGTTTAATCGTTTCATGTGCGAGAAGAATGTAACAATGGGGATGTGTATCGAGTGTGAAGCGTGTGTATAGAGAAAATTCGGGAGATTGATGATGGTATGGCATGGTGGTGGTGGTGTTGTTGTTGTGGTAGTTGTAATCGGCGAATTCTAATAGCTGTGCCATGAACATGTTTCAGAGTCGTCATCGTCAGAAACTTGATGATCGATTGCTTCTTTTTCGTTAGCGGTGACAATGGTGGCGGTTGTACTATCGGTTGTAGGCTGTATAGACGGGGTATCGGGATCATTATTAGGTGGAACTTGATTTTTGTCGTAGGTTTGTTGAGAATGAAGAGGATTGTTGTTCGCACTGCTTTCGCTGCCAGCGTCAACGGTGGTCGTCAATGAACTATTGGACTTGTCACTACGATAAGCTTCCACAGCTCAATTCATGCGAGACAAACGCCTAATCCCACTCTCACTCGTATGTACTTACTGTATCGCTGGATGATGTGTTACATGCACCACTGCTACCACCCCCGTTATTCTGTGCAGCTTGAAGCTTGAGTTTCCTCCATAGATCTTCCTTGTCCTGTCGACGTTTTTGTGTGCTAAATATGGAAGAAAGAACACAAAGGTGTTAACGACCTTATCCAAAAACAACATCCTTTGCTGTCTACTCACTTTTCATTTTCTTTGATGTAGCGTTTAATACAATCATCGAAAAGCTCGGGATTCAACTCCATCATGATGCGTAGAGCGTCTGAAACAAGATCGTGGATCACCCTATAATCGTATAGGCAAAGTAAGTCGTTCATTCTTGATCCTACTTTCCCCTCGCTTCAAGCACTTACCGATTCCAATGGCCCTTAGAATGTCGATACAAAGCTGGAAAGACGACTGGCATGATGGTCTCGATATTATCCCCCATAAGATTCACGATGTATTCATTGTTCCAATAATAAAGAGCACGTTCAGCAACCTAAAAAATGGTATGGTTACAATCCCGCTATAATGATCACATGCGCAATATACCTGGAAATGTGGGCTGGATACACAAGACCCGAGTCGTTGGAATAAAGGTACCATAATCTTTTTGAATTCAATCGCATCCGTAACATCCAAGATCTCCTCCATTTCAGTCAAAAACATCACTTCCTTGGCACTATTGACCTTGGGCCAATATCGCAGTAACCCAATGACGATCTAAGATTGTCCCCAATAAGTCATCCGCAAATATACATTCATTTTGATACTTACCTCCGTTGTCAGTGCTGGATCCTTTTCTAAAAACTGGACGACGCAGTATGCCAATTGAGGATGATATAGTGATAGCATAGACGGCTTGTGCAACGGTATTAAGACACGGAACAAAAATGTCTTGTGCTCGTCTTTGAGTGGCAATGCAAATCCATTGATGATGCTATTATATGACAATACTCAGCGCTCAATCAACGTACCTATTTCATATGCGGTATCCTTACCTTCCCATGATTTCAAGGAGCTCAGCAATGCCATTGAACTTCTCCGTTTCATAGATGTATTGGAAGAAGATGTTGCTGATGGATCGACGTATGAATGCTCGCAGCCCAAGGAATTTGCCATAGATACGGTGCAAGATCGTTTTGAGAAAATCCCGTTCGCGTGGATCCTCGCTATCAAACAACTCCAACAACTACACCAAAGCTTCGTCAACTAATGGATACACATTTTTCAAATACCAATTGCATACCTGTAATATAAACTTTTGATCAATGTATCTTTTGGCCACTTGAGTGTTGAAGTCAGGTGATTCCACGAAGCGTAAAAAGAATTCGTACACCAGTTGTAAATGGGGCCATGCAATCTCCAATACAGGTTCCTCTTCATCTGCATCAGCTCCTTCTGCAATGGTTTTGATTTGGGGCGAAATCGATCGGAAAGTATTGACAGCAAACTAAGCATAAATGTGAATCAATGGCCATTCACTATGATCCATCCCCCCTAAATCACTTACCATCCGAATCACATCTGGATACAACATATCAGTGATGACGCCTCGTCCAGTAGCCACATACTCCAGCAATTCCTGTAGCGCTTGACGTTTGATCTCCTTTCCACGCAAGTCTTTGGCTGGATCATTGAAATCAAACATGATTTGGCATTGGCCAAGCTTCCTCATAAACAATTTTTGTCGTTCAGCAGGGGATACCTCTATATATGCAAACTCATTAGAGCCCATGGGGTATACACACATGTATGTATGTATGTATATACTTACCATTAAAGCGTGGTGTTGGTTCCAATTCAACATGATCTTGTTGAGCAATGAATCTTGAAGATCGTTGCCTTCGTGGTGTCTTAACAACGGGGATCGTATCTTTGGGAACGCTGGGTGGTAGACGATGATTGCTAGCACTAGCCCCGGCTTTCGGTAAATCTGGCATTTTCCCTCCTGATGCTGCTGCCGTTGTCGTTGCCGGTTTGGATGCATGCTGTTGCTGGAGTAAAATTTGATCCTTAATAAGTAAATGATATGAAACTGTGAGGGAGAAACAAGACAAGTCTGGGTCGGCATAGTGATAAACGATGCTTGGGAAAATGAGACGACGTGATTCACAAGCAAGGTACGCTTCACCACCATGTAGCATAATAACGTTGCTTTGCTTATCGTCTTTTTTCCTTGGCCACTCATAAAGCACTTGCCGTATCCCGTCTCCTGCCTGCTACCTCATCACCGTACCTGTTGTTGCTGTTGTTGTGTTATGGCATCGGTTGATAAAGAAGGTTGCGATTGTGAAGTTGCTTTCTGTTGCTGCTGCTGATTGGCATTGTTGGAAGAACGTTGTTGTTGTTGCTTGGATCGAGATTTCGAGTCTCCTTGATTCTGTGATTTGCTTCTAGAAAGCTGAGAGAAAGCATGGTGAGCGTGTCTGTAGGAGTAGCGTGCAAGAGACCAGATCATGAGAGAAGGGCGTCGTTTGCAGAGGGTTCTGATGTGACATTACGTACCACGCCCTTTAGACCTTTCATCATTTTGCCGGTATATTGATAGCGAGAGAGAATACAGTTTCAAAGAAAAGCGTATGCAATGAATAAGACAAGGAAAGTAAAGAGAGAGAAAAGAGCAAGTAACAAAAAGAGAAGTGGAAGAGAGAGAAACAGCGTGCAAAGGTGGGTGGGTATGCTGGCATAAAGTTGCCGTACATGGTTGCCTCTCCGATATGTGTGGCATGCTTTGATCCAACTAGATAGCCCTACCTACACAATATGGGCCTTGTATGATTAACTAAACCATGCACATGATGCTCCAGGAGGGAACGTATGGCTACCTTCTTTTCCCCTTTTTCATTCGCTTATTGCTTAATTCATGGTGCACCCTTCTTCGGAGACAGAGGCTTGTGGTATTGTTAGCATTGTGTACCGTAATACAACTTGGCGCCAAAAGTGCGTGCCACTCTCCCAGCAAGCCTTTACTCACTCAAATGTATAGCAATCCATAACCAAGATCCATCATTGGTACTGATACATCGCTGTAAAACGTTACTGCGGAGCAACATTAACATTCTCTTACATCTACTCCAACTTTTCCGGAGATCATTCCCAAACAATTAAGTGATCTCTTAATTCATCACTGCTACTACTATTACCCCACCCATGTTACCTGAATATGCAAATTCTCACCGAACAAGCAATGGATCAGCAGAACGTTCTTGATTCTGGAGGGATGTTTTACTCACGTGCAGGATTCAGGCCCCAAAAAAGGGCACCACATTTGGCTATGCCGTGCATAAGTGGTGCCTTCTTTGCAGATGGATGCTGGATACTCTTCTTGTCATTTATTTGTTTCAAGAATATCATAATACATGGTGCATTGATTCAGCTGCGCAATTAGCCGCAGCATTGCTTTACTATACGCATAGCAGAGGATGAATGTATAGACTCTTGGTGCATGGCAACATCTGTTGTCATGCCAACGCAGGTATTGAAGCTCGTTTCCATAGGTGCCCAAAAGGGACATTCCGATCTCAAATTGTATCACCATCTGCTAGCTTTGGTTTGTGCGTTACAATCCGCGCCGCACATCATCTCATTTATTGTTGTGGCAAATTCTTAGTCTTCATTTCATGACCTTACGTTAAGAAAGCCAAGCCAAGTAGAATGGTCAAACACAACGTCATTGAGAAAAATCTTGTCCTACCAATTGCTGCAAGCGAAAGGTGCCGTTTTCGAAGAGGGTGGTTCCCCTTTTGATGCGTTGCTGAAGGCGCAGCCCAAACATTATCCTCATGTCCTGAAAGCAAAAAAATATATAAAGAGGTGGATTTGTGTTATGAAGCCGTGGCAAAACAAATGTTTCTCTTTCAACCTTTATATTTTCGCACGTTCTTTGACACAGCAGCAAGCCTATTGGAAACGCTGACAGATGACAGCTTTTGGATATCTCTTGTTGGCGAACGTGTCTTCTCATTGGTGAAGCGCTACTCGGGGAACGATGCCATCCTCGTTGGCATTTTCCTCAGCTTAGGACGTAAGTATATGATCAATGCGTCATCTAGTCCAATGCATAATAATCCTTATATTGTGCAATTGCTTCCAGCTACATTGCTCTCCATCTTACAAGGATGCTATTGGACCATCAAGAATACCTTGGATACCTGGCTCTATGTATCGGTTGAGATCGTGGAAGAAGAAACCATATTTAACCCCGTTCAAGAATTTGTCAAGAAACGATACCGAACAATACAAGAATACAAGGTGAGATAGAGGAGCTTTGAAACATTGTATTTTGGTGTTTTCCTAATAGCATACCCCCATACATGCTTCCCCATAGAATGTTTCAGGTGTTACAACTTACCGAACCATACGACGCAACAATCGAGATTACGACGAAGAAAGGTCACGTCTTGGGCTTGTGCCTAGTAAGTGTGCAGCTCTATCAATTGCCACGACCACCCATAACGATTTCGATTGCTTGATCTTGTAGAATTGGGAACAACGAGCAAGATCATATACAAGGGACATACATTGTGGATCCATCGGTACGCTATGTCATCAATGGATCGAACCACAAGCAAACGATCCATGAGTCGACAAAGCCGTGAGATCCTTGATGCATTGAGCGAATCAAATCTTGTACTTGTGATAAAGTAAGTGATGGGTGATGATGGATAATGGCACATGACGTGATACACGACATAGGGTGGCACCATATTGACAATTATTCTCAGGATGCGCAGCCGCAACCTTAAGCTTTTACAAGACATCATACAAGAATGGGTCGATGAGTATTATGATGAGCGGGATAGCGAGGTAAAACAACAGGATCTTTCCATACTATACATGACTTTTGGGAATATGCTTACATTGTCAGCATAGTTGATTGTGTACAAGTGTATGGGTGAATTCTGGCAACGACACTGGGGTGAATTGTGCTCCAAGCAGGTGCGACGTTTCGAATCCGTGGTGCTTAAAGAAACCCAAAAAGAGGAGCTGCTCAACGACTTGCTTGCATTCCGCACACAAAAGGAGTGGTACACTGAAACAGGAATCCCCTATCGACGTGGATACCTTCTTTATGGGCCACCTGGTACTGGCAAAACATCCTTTATCCAATCACTTGCCAGCAAAATGCATATGAATGTGGCTCTCATTAGCCTTACCACGCCCATGGATGATGACACTTTTACACAAATGCTGATCACGGCACCCAAAAACTGCTTTATCGTGATGGAGGATATCGACCATTGTATAATCGATGATGGCGACGGCAGCGAAAAGCATCATGGTAGTCGACGTGTTACTGCAAGTGGTCTACTCAACGCCCTTGATGGTGTTTATTCGGCTGAAGGATCAGGTTTGCAATGACATAGCTGGTGGTAGGGAAAATTCACTTACAACAAGGGTATTCTTTGTAGTGCTATTTCTCACATGCAACGACATTACGCGTGTGGTACCTGCATTGTTACGACCAGGAAGGGTTGATTTCAAGATGGAGTTGGGTTATGCCGATAAGTATCAAATCGAAGCTATGTTTTGGCGATTCTTTGGTGACCCTGGATCGAAAAAGGACCAAAGACTGATACCTTTTGTTAACAAGTTATTGGCGTGCCTTCCATCTGATTACCTTACACCAGCCGAACTACAAAGCTTTTTCATGATTCATGCCATGGCCTTACGAGCGGGAAAAGCAGCAATGATCAGGACCGGTATTCAATTGCCAAACGGTAACGCCAAAGCCCACGAGGATGTCGATCCTATCATGCATGATACCGATAGCATCAGCAGTGCTAGCAGCATACGACGACACCAGCTCAAGGCTGCCACATTGGAACATCTCATATCAACCACGCCCACTTTTTTGGAGAAGGTCAAGTACGATAGAGAGCAGGCACACAAACATGAGCAATCTAAGAAGGAAAAAGGAAAAGACAAGGCCTAGGGTCGGTGACAAGATGCCACACTTAGACCCAGACAATGAATCAAGTAGCTTAGCCCAAATAAAATGCACGCGTGTTACCCCTGACACACGTAGCAAATAAACGCATACATATTGCTTGCATTTTGAAGAGATGGAAAGGAGAATAGAGCTTCATTTTGGAATATGCCGTGCAATGAAGTTGACTTGATCCACCCCATTTAGCCAAGCGACCGCCATGGCAACCACCTTTATGTGCATACCCTATCACAAACACCTTTTGTCCCACGTTGCACTACTTGGACAACGAGGTGCATGGGCCACCCTAGGTTGTATGAGCCTAAAGAGGATGGCTTTTGCTACCCAATGTAAGCAACCAATGTTTGATTCGATCATCGTACTTGCCGAAAAACAATCCCTCATAGCAACCATCCCTACGTTCCATGGAAACAACATTTTACTTTTATGGAATTGAAAAACAACGCAGCATGACATAAAATATGGTGTATGGTATGAGGTAGCTGTTGCACAAGTCATAGAATTAAAACGTCAATGACACCCGTGGTGAGTTTGCTCTTATTGCGTAAGGGATAATTACACGCGTCATGTGGCTATTCGATGTTGTTGCTGCTACTGCTGCTGTTTCAATACCAACCGTGGCTATCCAATTGCTTGTAAGTCTCTGTGCCTTAAAAGACAGGATGTTGCAAACGTTCACGAGGACATGTGCATGACACACATATATACAACAATGATTACATGTGGACATTTATTATGTCAGTGTGGTGTACTATGTAGTGGATTTGCATGGATGACTTGGATGCACGTGATAGTGGCTACTGCCACACAATTTGCCTTTTCCACGCCCCTGCGTTTGATAGCTGCGGTCTGGGACTTGCCGATACTGCGTAATGGGGCATTTACTTAAACATGGGGATAAGGATACATGGCAAATCGGTAGATGCGAGTGATTTAGGACCAACAAATCTCGGCGTGTGGTGCATAGGGTGGCCGATCAGGGCAATAGATGATAGGGAGCTATGGATGAAAAAGGTATTATGACTTACACTTCTAGCAAAAAAGGGCGTGTGTAGATGAATGGGTAATGAAAAAATCAAGCTTGCTTGCATATGATATACCGGTCTAAATAATCTACTTACAGGAACAAGGTGCGAGATCGGCCGTTCTGCACCCTCCTTCTTCTTATCATGCCCCAACAACTACCACTGCACCTGCATCTTGCTAGTTTTTCTTTACATCTCATATATGGGTTTCCTATGCAATACCCCTTCCAGATGATGATGCGGCAATAATCCACCCGAATTTTGCTATTCTCAATTGTGATGGATGCTGTCATCCTTCGACATTGATACAAAGTTGGTCCAATCTTTGAAAGCGTGCAATTACGGTATGAGTCAAAATGACGGAAAAACACAAGTCTTGTGCTTTCATGTGGTCAGACGCACAGCCATCGCCTCGTGCGTTTGTGTGTGCCAGCAAAAGTAAAAAGCTATCGGAAAGCGACATGCAATGCATAAACCAAATGACCACACACAAATACATACGCACACTCACGCAAGCCATAACGTATCCCCGTTCATCCCCGCCCATCAGAGTTTACGCATAGAAGCCCTCTTCATGGTTTATGTAATGGGCCCTGACGACTTGGGTGTCTCAATTAGCAGGAATCACCAACAAAAATTACCGCCTACAATATCCACCCCCTGTGAATGAAGGCTATTTGTACAATAGTTTCTCCTGTTGTTGTCTAGCTCTTCTCCTAAACAACCCAACCAAATCGAGGAACAAGGAAACCCATTTTTGGGGGAGGAAGAGGAGATTTGATGTAGGAAGGGGAATACTAGAGACACGCACACATAAATCATCTACATAGTGAGAGAGAAAAAGATGCCAGCTGCATCACATTGGTGATATGAGAAAGAGTGACAGCTATTAGCAATTGCTGCACATGTGCTAAATCGGCTGCTACTACGGCCGAGTACATCATGCGACATTGGACCGAATGAAAATTCTTGATGGCTCTTTACAAACATCACACCTACAACAAATACCTCATCCATCCAATACAGAAGCAACGTATACTACTAATCATGATCGTGTGTTAGGTCTTTGGATCAAAAGAAATATGAGCTTACTGCTTGCTGAGGAAATCCAAAGCTTTATAGCTGAAACAGGGAGGATCACAATGCCAAAGGGAGAAAGTAAAAGAGCCATTACACGAGAAAGAGGGCACGAGAACACAAGTTATTTGCAATATCGGCTCATTGGTACCATCCACTTGCCCGCTATACATGCTCAAGTGCTACTGCTTAATTTTATGGTTCTAGTCCAATTTGCCATGTCAAAGAGTTTAGTTTGGTAACAATGGAAACTCAAGGATCGGCGTGCCGTGATCGGTTTGACACATCCAGAACCATGGGGCTGTATACCGAATGCTTTGTCATACCCCCACATATACAACATTTTCCCTTTTCCTCTATGCTGGCATTAGGGGTTTTCTATGTAAACATGCTCCTTGTCGCTCTCCATCAGGGCTAACTCTTATTAGTAGACATGCGTCAGCACAAGGTAAAAAACAAATGAACGAGCGAGAAAAGGTAGGTTACAAGGGAACGGACATGCCATGCACGAGAAGGGAGCGTTAGGGGGAGGAGGAAGGGTCCTTTTAATTTTGGTTTACTTTGCATTTGCATACATTGTATTTCCTATTTCGTGGGCCACACGCCCAAAATGCGTTTCCGGTAGGCTACGTTTCTCTCGTTTTCTTTGAATGAAGCACTATTTAGCGCATCAGGATACGGTAGAATGATTGAATGGCTGGGTCCGAGATTTAGAACACATGTCCGTGGGTTATGATGTTGGTGAATTAGCCAGGATAGTACCACCATATGCAGAAGGTCCTGACACTACAAAGCTATTGTATTACTTTTGGGCTATAGCAATCGGTTATCATGCCGTGTCAATAAAAAAAAAGCATGCAGATAATAAAAAGGTCTTGTTACTCCTCCTCCTGTTTGCTTTCCTTGCTTTTCTCTTTCTCTTTTTACTTGTGTGTGTCGAAGTTATTTATCTTTACGCATTTCCCGCCATTGTAATCGAACCCCATTGTGCCACCCAAATACCATCCATCAACCTATCAACTGGTTTCCTTAGCTAAAAGCACCTTTTTTATACGAGCAGACACACTTAGCTCTCTCGCTTCTCTTTCTTTTCGTTGCCTCTTCTATTCCCTCCTCCTCCTCTATAATCGGTCACTCTCTCCTTGTCATCATACTTGTGTGTTTGGATCCAATCTGTATTTGTTGTTTAATTGTCATCCAAGGAACGACTGAAAAAGGCACATACAACACCAGCACGCCGACAACAATCCATCCCTCTCTTTCCCTTTTACTACTATTAACAACGACAGCAACATGAATCGAATCAACAACAGCTTTGATGGTGGAATACGCATGCACACACCACCCAATTACTACCTCTTCCAAGGAACAAGCAACATAGGTCAACATCATCAGCAACAGCATCATGTTCCACCCCAAGACGCATTGACCACTAGTGCACATACAACTCATCACCATCCATTGTACGCCACACAGGCAGCCCATCGACAAGACTCCGCTTCCACAAACATGTCGTTAGCATGGCCCCATACAGCTACAAGTATCTATGACCACAGAAGCCCACCTATGCAATCTTTTGATGGCGCTTCTGGAGCGACTGATTTTGATGGTATGATGGAGAAGGACATGCAACAATTTCCTAGCGTCGATGAATTTGAAGCCATTGTGCAAGGATACCTCGATAACCTTTCGACGAAGAAAAGGGACAAGGCATTAGTTGATGGCCATCGATATTCGTTAATTGTACGAGTGCTTAAGGATCCTCGAAACACTGCCATATCAACAGCTCAATTTCGATTTTGGGTGAAGAAAATGTTCCAATTGGTGGCCTTGCCAACAGGTCAAGACATTGTGTGTCATGATAGCAAGCCCGTAGCAATGCGTGAGGACATTTACGGGATCCTCGTAAGGGCACACAAACAAGCAAACCATGGTGGCAGAGATAAGACTTCGGCTATTGTAAGTTTTAAAGGGATAACACGCAATACAGCTATCATTACACGCGTTCTCTATTATCCCTGACCATGCGGATGTGATGTTGCTGTTGTTGTTCATCCCCCTTTTACCTTTTGTACATATCATCTCCTTGCTAACAAAAGATTTTCAATATGTAGGTTAGGCGACGCTACTCATGGATCCCTAAAGAGCTTATTGCACGGTTTGTTCGGCATTGCCCATATTGCATTGCACGTCGCATAGGCAGCCAAAGCCCACCAATAGGCCTTTTGCCAAGGACACCACCCGATGAAGGGGCTGAAGACACAGTTGTAGCAGCTGCTGCAGCCGCTGCTGTTGCTAATAGCCATCGTCCACGCCATGTTGAAATGCACCAAAACCATCCACTAGCTGAGTTATCGTATTTACCCGTTAACGATAAGGATCTTGGCATCGATTGTTGGACAACTGCAGCACACCCACCACCAGGTTGCTATTCACCTACCACAACATCACCCTCCTCTTCTGTATCTGGTCCTTCATCAATAAGCCAACAACATCATCAACAACAACAACATGCATTTTCAACAGCCGTAAGCAGCAGCAGTGTCATGGTCACGCAGCACCATCAGCAACAGCCATCGATGCTCCTGTCGCCATGTGGCATCCCATCTGCAACACTTGACGCACCCCAACACGTGGATCATCATCACCACCCACAACAACAACAACAGCACCCTTCCTTCAATATGTGTTATCATGCACCACCTCCCCATTCAACTTCACCAGAGGATCAAATTCTCACATTCTCCTCCACAACATCATCAACATCCCCAACCACTGCCATTACTCCTCCTCCAGTATCAGCTTCACGGCACCATCATCAACGATATGTACATGACACACCACCCTCTTACTATTATGCACCACCACCTCCACCCCCTTCTTATATGACAAGCATGAGGACAGCAAACAAAGGCAACAACAATGATGATGCAGCTGTAGCTGTTGTACCAGTGGAACCCTCCAACCATTCACCATCATCATCATCGCGCCAAACTACTGCAATGTACCATCCAAATACATCAACAACTCATGTCATGATGGGCCAATCACATGCACCTCCTCCTTCATTACGCAACTTTTAACCACCAGCAGAAGAAGGAAGGTATACACAGCGAGGTGGTGTTGATGGGCATATACTACATGAGGAGGATGAAACTTTGTCTATACATTTATGGCAGCAGCAGCAGTAGCAGTAGCTAGTAAACCACCCTTCTTTGTACACTGATCCATTTCCTCCATTCAGCAACTACTTTTATGATGTACTTAGCTTTTATGTGTGCTTTATCCATTTTCATCTCTTTTCAAACACACACACTTTCTTCCCCCCTTCCCCTCCTCCCTTGTTTTCAACCCGCCATCGTCAACCTCCCTGAATCCTTTCTTTCATGCTCACGGCCCTATACATATAATGCTTCTTCTTTGTGTCGTTCTATGCTTTCTTCATCAATCATCAGTTTATCATATCATCAGTTCACACATTCACACGCACAAGTATTTGTATTTGCTTTCTCTATTTTCCTGCAAGCTCTCTTATATAAAGTCGTTGTCTTTTGTTGCCATAATAATACATTTATGATTGAAAACATGTATCAAGTAACCTACATAGCCTATTGAAAAGCGTGCATATTCTTGATGATGAAGCTTTCATGCGTGTCGTGTCGTGGGTGAGTAAGGTGGATGAGTGGACTTTGTAGTAAATTGCGTACACCTTGTAATGGTTCAATCCAAATAATCTTGATGGCACATGAAAACAAGGATGACCAATGATGAGGATTCAAGGAAGGACATAATAAACTCGTAATCGCTTTCGATCGCTGTTGCATACATTTGATCATCCTCCAAATATGAGAGCGCGGCACGATGCACAGTGATTGAGTAACATTGATGACATGCAGTCAAAGTGGTAAGAGCAGTAAATAGATTGGCGAGCATTGTGAGTACGTAATCGGGAGCAGTCAACCAATCGATCGTTGTTGTCGTAATGTCATCGAAGATTTGAGTTGCTATAAATGATCTTTGCTGTAATTGTGAAGGTGACTGACAAGCCAACGTCGAATGAAATACTGCATAAGAGCAAGGGCCAAATCGATGTACAGCGTCTTAATCATTCAATCATGGTTGGTGTAGGAAAATAGTGCTTGATCGTGATCCCTGCATCAGGTCGCGTGTCATCGTTTATCCACTATTGGTCACACATTAGCAAATTTCACGCATGAAAGACCTTCTTAGCTCTTGCACCTTCTTTTTCCTCACTCACCAATCTTCGTCACTTGCACCCCTCTTGAAACAGAGCTTGGAAGATGCATACCATCCTGGGGTGACCCGTTATCACCATCAACATGTGTGCCTCGTGTAGATCGTGGTTCCTGACCTCATGCATGCTATATAAACATTGCTTGTTTAAGAAGGTGAATGATATTTTATGCATTGGTGTATGCTAAACTTACTTGGTCTATCCATATGCCGCCGATGTAACGGACCAAAGTCTCTCACCAGCGTCGACATCGATCGTATCGTGCAACAAGTTGTGATAGGCCTCCATAGCGTAAAATGAGATCGTGGCGGATTGCCAATTGGGCATGGTTCTTGATATAAAGCCAAGGTCATGTTGAACTATAAATGAGGCAGGTGATGAGACGACACATTAAGTGTGAGTTATCCGTGCTCGTTACCAAAGTCGGATGTAATCAAAAGCCAAATTTCATGCCCGCCAGTCCTTTGGCAAAGCTCTTCTTGTTGAGACCTTAGTTGCCCAAGCCAGCCGAATCACTACACAAGTAGCAAACTAGCCATTGCTAATAAGAATGAGACCCATTTATGCAAGCACAACTTCCTTGTCACTTGTTACCTATGGATTCCAGAGCCAAGTTGTTGTATGTAAGCACCAGATCAAAATCGCTGTTGTCACGCTGGGTTGCCACATGGCTTTGCTGCTGCTGGATCACATGTTGTGGTTGCACTTGCTCTCTAAGCTTCAAGCATATGGATATGCATTGTGATCTCCCCCGAATGCGCTCCTCAATGACATGTAACAAAAGCGACCATATCCTAGTATGTTCCTTCCACCCTCTCTCCTTTCATAGCATCACTGTAACATGTTCATTAGAACCATGTACCATTCCCCAATCCCTGTATACTGCGCATGTCATGAATTACCACCTTTAATCAAAGAACTTTGGATTGTACAATGCTGCTGATGAGTGATTACTGAATAACTTTGGTTGGTGTCAAGATGCAATCTATCTTTTGATCGGTTGGCTCTAATGGGATCCGGCCCTTTTCAAGCACTTGGGCGTTCAACGCCAATCCAACTACAGCAGATTGTTAATAAGGATGTCTCTTTGGGTCATGAATGGCTTACCTGTTTTTGGTGCTGCCCTTTGATGTTCTTCAGCCCAAGCATGGCAGTTTTGGATAAACTTGTCATAGTAGCTATTTGTTGCATGGTGTCAGTATCATAAAAGTTCCTGGTAGATTGTGAATATCTTTACCCTTTTCCATGACCAATCCGGTTACGCTCTTCATCGAAGCCCATTGCTATGTTAAAGAGTGTATTGTTAACTCGCGGTGTCCCCACAAAATATCGCACCAAAACAATAACACTTACCTGGTACAATGATCAAATCCAATCCATCCTTGTCGAATGCTAAGTCATAGATGAAGGTATCAGCAATGGATCAACCAGCATCTTCCCCTTCTCTATCATCATTACCGTTTTCCATCACTTGATCATGGGGTGGTTCGGGTATATTCCACTTGTTGACAGGCAATGCCAAGTATTCATCCCAAGACTTGATCTTGACCATCTCCATAGCATCCTTGGTCCAACGCGGCACATAGCATGTTTTGTCTAAAGGATGTTAGCCCCAGGAACGTAAAGATGTCATACATCAATGCACATACCAGAATGTAAGAGATCACGAATGATGGCTCTAGTATCCACCTCGCCACTAGGCATGCTGATATACACGCTGACATGCTTGCTTGCACGGTATTCTTCCAAGGTTAATAGGCGATCAACGACCTGTTGTGCTACAAGCCAATGAGTGAGCATTCTCTGACATGGCATTCTTGCTCGTTCCTTTACATTCGGTTGCAAGGGTTGCAGGTGTAAGGCTTTGTAGTTGAGCCTTAATGTCTTTCCGCAAGGCACGTTTGAGAGCAACGACGGCCGAGTTCATTTGCAAATGGGAGGGGGTGGGGAAGCGTGTAGAAGTGAAACAAGCGAGAACCACAAATGGGAAGTGATGAGATGTTTGATCGTGGCGCCCTCTGAAATCTGAAATCACAAAGAGCATGAACACGTAGAGTGGATCACATCCATCCAAATTTATTTGTATAGTATGAAGGGTGATATAATAAAGTAAGATGATAGATATATATAATAATGCATGATGGTCACCGGCGATGCTAGTATTTCGCTATAATGTATATGGCGTGGACTAACAACCGAAATCAGATCATTTGTTCCCTATTATCCGCCCACATCTTGTTTTATACTTACTGATACCAGGGATATAACCAAGACATGTCAATGCAATGTTGATGAATAAATCACAGTGGCAGCCTATCAGAAAAAGTGGGGTTTAATACCAAGTTGCCAGGATCATTATACTATATACAAACCTCGCTCAAAGAAAACACCAAGAGGTGGCAAAATGATAGCTATAACAATGAAAATGAGTTTCTCATTGTTTAAATCATCTAAACAATGGACACGAACCGAATAGGAGCTTAAAACAATCCGAGCAGGTCAAAGCCATCGGTATAGAATCAGGACGAAGTTTATCGAGAAAGAAGTAGACAAAAGAGTAATAGTGATCTGGTAGCTTTTATAAATAAGGCGGCGTTATGATTGTTGGAAAAAAGGAAAAGAATCGAAAATAGATGCGGCATGAACATCATGACATCATGAATTAGTGTCACGCTTAATTGTGGTTGGGCGGCTGATGATATGGAGGAGGAATAGCTTTTTTGGGTAGTCGTCTATGATGATTCGACAGCGGTAGTTGTAACTGAGAGTGCCACAGTCTTCCATGCACTAGCGCGCCAAGGTGCTAACAAAAGTGCTCGCTGAGCTTGGCGTTTAGCCTTGCTTGGATCCACCGTCAACGATGTCTGTGCGTCATTTTCATACGCCTCCGCTTTTGCATCAGCCGTTACACTTGTGGATGCGGTAACCATCTTGAGAGCAGTGGACGTCATGGTAGTAGCACATGAAGTGTCACGATTTAATAAAGCACTAGATGCAAGTCGGCTCCAGAGAATAGCCATCCATGGAAGTTGATGCACACCCTTGACAAGTGACCGGATCGCCTGCTCGGGATCATCCTACATCCAGCAAGATTTGAGCTACTTGTCACATGTCATAAATATGCTTCCATACCTGTAACTGGTACATCCGAGACAACAGCCACGAGATCTTTTGATCCTTGTCAGCTTGATCTATGTTGGGTTTGGTTTCCCTCGATCATTAGATTTCATTTCCGAAAGCCAAGAAATCATTGTCATGCTTACATGCTGTTTCTGCAGGAACCTTGCGTAATTCTTGCAGGGCGGCCTGAGTCAATGTTTCATCATTTTGGAGAATACCCATCACACACAAAGCAAAGATGGCAGGCAAATAGCTTGGATTATCGGCAATGCTATACAATGATAAGAGACATACATTAAATCATGTTCTTATCGATAAAAGAAAAAAAAACATACCTCGAAAGCATTTGGTCCTTGGCAACATTTCGTTGTTCATCTCCACCCAAAGCCCATAATACTTTGCTCAGCAATACAGTGACATCCATGCGAAGATCAACATCCGATTCGGTTTCATTCAATGCCGTTTCAAACATTTCAAGTGATTCTTGTAGCTTGTCTTCAAAGTAGTAGGCAATACCAGCTCCAAGCAAGCAGTAGACTCGTGATGGTCCTTCACCTCCATGCTCCAAGGCATTCTCATAATGTGTGATAGCATCTTGGAAATTGCCACTAGCGCATAGTGTTCGTCCCAAGTTGGCATTAACCATCGCCATTCGTTGCTTGAGAATATTGTCGTCAGGGATACGTCCTTCTTCAGCTTGTGCCTCAAGTGCCAACGCAGCACCAGCAAGTGCTTCAACAGCCCGCTCGTAATGCCCCAATCGCTCTAGCAGCAAACCAAGCAAATTCAATGCCTGTGCATCATCCAGCTTTTGCTCCGTCAGCTTTTGCAATGCAAATGTTGGCGAGATCAACAAGTTGACACCACTACTATCATATCGTGGGAGACTCGACAAGCGTGAAAACGTTGTTTCGGCATAACCATAGCTTGCATCATACTATGATAGTACAAGTATCAGCATGTGGATTAAAATAATGATTCCTCTATGATTCACTTACGGCTGTGCCATTGCTGGATTCAAAGGCATGTTGAAATACAGCGCCAGCATCTGTTGTTCCCCATAATGATGCAACATAGGCTTGGCCAACCCATGCAGAGATGTATTCAGGATCCAGAGCATGTGCCATATCAAACGCTTGGTTGGCAAGTTCGTAATCTTGTTGTGTGAGGCATAAAAAGCCATAATTGGTCCATGGTACGGCGCTCTATATAGGTAGCAGCATTATTACTTGCTTATACAAATAGCATCTTCCATCAAAGACTTACTCTGCTGTTGAGCTCAATAGCCTTGACAAGAGCGTATTGACTTGTCTTCGGAGACCCACGAATAGCAATGACACCAAGAGCATTCCAAAATTGTGGTTGTGCAGGATCCATCTTCAATGCTACTCGAATACAGTGCATCGCCGTATCAGTGAGGATCGGTGTTGGTTTTCCATCCAAATGATTGTTTTCAGCCATCCAATGGTACAACATTGCAAGGTCATGCCAAAGAGCGGGAGCAATAGTAGGATGGTTCTTGCATACCACCAAAGCTTGCTTGTAAACAAAGGTAGCACATGCGAGCACCACACTCAATGCTGTTTTGGGTGGCAAATAGAACTCTGAATCAGCAACATCCAACTGCACGAAATCCTTGACCAGGTCAGCACATGGATCATCAGGTTGAAATCCGAGTTTTTCATGCGGTGAACTATCTGACAAAAGTCCAATGACTTGCTGAAGCTCGTTGTATGGACATAGCTGAATGTTGGTTGGGATAATGCGATAAACAGTGCATGTGTCGCCTAAAAGCTTCCAAAATCCAACAACGGCTGGGTCTTGTTGCAAGCCAATCAATGACAATCGAATTGCTTGAGCACAGCTTTCAGCAGCACGTCCCAAGAAACCTTGTTGCAACTCTTCCTTGGCTTGTTCAAGATGGGTATCGGCAAGTCCTTTGACGGCGGGCAAGTAATTCGGCTTGCCTTGTTCTTCAGCAAGCTTGAGAGTTTCTCTGAATCCAGCAATGGCTTCATCCAAGAGTCCAATGTTCTTCTTGACAAGTGACTTTTCAAAGTTGGCATGAACAGATGAGGGATCCAAATCCGTGGCTCGACCAAAGGCTTTGAGAGCAGCGATAAAGCGACCTTCGTGAGCATATGCTTCAGCCAATCCTTCCCAACATCGTAAATCGCGTGCATCACACCGCAACGCCTTTTGGAAACATGTGATCGCTTCATCATATTGATTGCCGTTCTGCCGTATGAAATTTTTTGTTTAGTATTGGTGTCACACCACTCCATATTTTCTACACTTACGATGTTTGCATAACCAAGTCGTCGCCAAGCCCATCCCAACCTAGGAACAAGCTGGGTCACTTGTCTGAAAACAGCTTCGGCTTCCTCGTGCTCATCATCCTCCACGTAATAGTTGCTCAAGTGAAAGGCAGCATCCACTTGTAAAGGATCAAGGAGGAACGTCTTTTGATACAGCTTCTTGGCTCGCACCGCATCGTTTTGCACCTCTCGATAAAAGTGTCCCAAATAGGCAAATCCACTAGCAAACTCGTGATCCAACTTGACGGCTTGCATAAAGTACTTGAATGCGTAGCTAGTATCTTCACGGTATTCTCCTATGACTTATGTTCAGTTTCAAGCGTGAAAAAACATCATTTGAGATATCACTCACCTCCCATTTCCCAGTAAATACGGCCCATTCGGTAATAGTACTCTGGGATATCCTCTTCAGCAAGTTCAATCGCTTGAGTTGTGCATTCAATAGCCTTGTCATAATCGTGTTGCTGACAATAAATCCATCCAATCTCTGCCAGAGCTATATGTCGCTTGGGATCCAATTCATGCACTCGCTTGAAATACGTCATTGCTTCATCGTATTGTCCACCTTCTCGTAAAATCAATCCAACGCCCTGAGAGGTACATGTTAAAAAGAGATAGTCCGCATGATCATCATTACCTACCTCCAAAGCACTCATCTCATCAGGTTCACGACCCAAGATCTTTCGATAGAATCCCATGGCGTCTGGATAATATTTGGTATCAAGGTGGCGATAACAATGTGCCATACAAAGTTCCATGGAATCGAGAATCCTAGCATTGAAGGATCCACGGATCAAAATGCAATCCTTTATGAAAATGCTATGGCCGTTTACTTACTTTTCTTGCATGCTCCCCATGTCCTTGGCCCGTTTCAATACCAAATCACGTCCTTTGGTGGCATATTCTAAGCCTGTTTCATATTCCTTGGAGTCGTAGTAGATCCAGCAAAGACATTGATAGCCGAATAAACTGCTCGGGCATTCATCCATTCCTTCCTACTATGCGGATCAGATACCGCTATACCTTTTTCTTTGTTATCCAATCTTACCGCAAATAGGTCAAATGCTTGATCAATATCATTCTCCTTGTATAGCCTGTATCCACGAACGAGCTTTGTCAGACCAGTGTCAGGGAATCGTGTTACAAGGTCATCGAGAAGTTGGTGATCATATTGATCTAAGAAATGCAATCTTAATAAAAACGCCCATGTATTTACGCATGCATTACATACCGATATCCTTTGCATCCGTTGTATCGATGAGGACTTGCCATGGTAGTGGATCATTAATGCCGGCTTTGACGAGTGAATTTGCGAGTTGCAGAGCATTGGTATATGACTATATAGATATCGTGAGTATAGGGCATTGTATACAACAAAGTAGTGCCATGTACCTCGTTCTTGTCTTGAATAGCAGGGATTCGCTTATACCAATAATTCAACAACTTGAGCTCAAAATCTTGGATCGTCTCTGGGGATGCACCGTTGTCTTTGGAGAGTTGAAGAAGCGTCTCGTACATGCTGCCCAGCTGTGTCTTTGCATTCACTTCGGCTTCCACTTGTGCACGAACTTGTTCCACAGGGCCTCCATGGACACCCAAACGGCGAGATTGGACACGACCTTCGATAAGCTTGGCTTGGTTGGCTTCAGTGATGCCTGTGATGATAGTCCAGATATCCAGGGGCGATCGCATAGCTTTGGTGTCCTTGATCAAATCATAGTATTGGCTCGATGGCAAAAAGAGTTTGAGCGTGGCAATGTACTATCCAGAGCAACTATTAACATACATCATCCTTATCATGGTATGATGCTTACCTTTTCCTCATCCTTATCCTCGTATACACGCACAAGCTTATTCAAGTAATCCACCACGCGATTGCCATCCCCACTGCATATCATGTACATATCAGTGATCCCTTTCATTGTTTGTATCCTTTCTTTCTTCATACCTTTCAGCAGCACGGGGTAGCAGATCGTTTACAATCTTGGCCATGTCGTCCAATCGTTCTCGCTTCTCGTAAAAACTGACAAGACCTTGCCAAGCAAGCATGTTGTCTGGATCGATCTCGATAGCACGTCGGTACGAATTCTCGGCTTCCTCGTCATCGTTGAGACCAGTATAAGCAACACCAAGAAATACCCATCTATAGGAAATGGTAGGGTTGCCATGAGCAACCGTTGCTTTGCATTCTATTGATGTCGTCTTACGCGTTGTAGTTGGCACCTTCCCATACGAGCACACGTTTACACGCCTTGACAGCTTCGTCAAAGTTTTTCGCTCCAATGGCTTCACGTGCAGCCTTGAGATTCGCTTTTGAATTCATACAAGAGGTGTGTGTAGTGGTGGTGGAAAAGAGCTGCAGTATTCAAGAAATTAAGACTTGACCATTGCTGGATTTGACTAGGCATCCCGCTTTAGGTAGTAGTAGCTCTATCAAATAAATGCACATTATGCAGATCCACATGCTGCTCTCAACATGTACTCTATTTGTTGGTTGAATTGGATAGAAGGAAAGATATGTTTATATGGCCAAATGCCTTACATTTATCCACACGTTGATTTATGGTATGGATCAAGGGTTCATTGAGTGGCAATATAAGATGTTCAAAGGCCTTTGTCACAAGATCCATTCATCTGCGCATTGATAACCCATCCAAGTTCCTTGTTCTAAGCCAAGGAATCCAAATCACTGCCCCTTGTGATTCCATCAATCAGGCACTTTCAACAACACAATCATTAGCTACATACATTGAATGACCCTTAGATCATGGTATACAATTTGAGAAATGCATGATCAAAGAACAAACTTTTTTGATGCTATTGAATGCTTGAGGGAGTAGAATCAATGATAATCGAGTTAGGGGGTGGGGCATTATCAGCATCATTATTGTGTTGGGGATCACATTGATTGTCGTTTGCGAAATGAATGAGAATCCAATTGACTATTCTAGCTAAACGAGGAAATCGGTATGGGATATACACCTCATTGTCCGACGTATCTGGGGTTTCAACAATGTAATAATCAGGTTCTTCATTTTCTTTCCCATCCTCTTCGGATGATTGCAAAATCGACGGACAAGAGCGTTGAACGAGCGATTTCCTATGAATGCGATTGTAGACAGGCGAATGTGGTTTGACACGCCGCATTGGAACGCTACGGGTATTTGAATCAGCGGATGAAATCTTGCTGCTCGTTGTCGTTGTGGTGGTGCTAGTAAGCGATAATGAATCAGCGTCTGGTGTTGCTGGTACTTGTAAAAGACTAGGATCACCCAAATCTTGCTGCTGGTTTGCTATCGAACTTGACATTGCAGGTATCTCATAGCAAGCCCGTGGCGAACGTGCTTGCATTCTCGGTAAAGATGCCTTTTCATAATACTCTCGCAGCTTTGGTAGGGTTTGGCATGATCCAGTACTAGCAATGGTGGCGCTGGATCGACGTCGATCGGGTCGTTCAACGATCCGAAATTCTTCAACATACTTTTGATGCCATGTACGGGAAATCTCACGGATGTATTCACATACAGCTGGCTCACTAAAGAACACCAATGTCGTCATTGTGCCTTAATAAAAGATCGTTGGTTCAAAACATTGATATCATCTTTGTCCTTGTTTCAACTTACCTTCTGCAACCGACATTGCTGCATAAACAGCAGTGAATCCTATTGGAATTGAGCGTGAAGATAAGCCTGCAAGATGAAGGCTAAAACCGAAAATGTGGCAAAAGAAGGGCACTACATATACACACATCTTGTTAATGACCAAAGACCACTCTTCATTGTATGTACCATCCTTACCAGAAGAGTAAATTATGCAACGTGTGATGACACGATAAGCATTGCTTTGTGAGAATCTTAGGCCATTGTTCGACGTGTCCGCTAGAGAGCCACCATGTATAATCTTGTGGTTTTGGTATTCTTCGCGTAATAGCTTGATAGTGGCTATGACAGCGCATACAAGGCCAACGATCATAATGAAGAAGACAAGCGAGTAAAAGTATATCTGCATAAAGAAATGATTAGGAATAAAGGTTGTTGTCATAGTACTATTTTCTCCCTTACCCAAGAATCAAAGTGGGCTTTTCGATGAGTAAAATTGTTATAGACCCTATACAGCGATTCAATTTGTGTTCTTTCTCGTTGTCGTAGTATCACAACTTACCAGCAACCTACTCTTGGAGGATGTTCATTCTTCACTTCGATCTCCTCGTAAATGGGTATAATAAGTGTAGTTAAGGAGTATATGACACAGAATGGATAGTAAACGCGCTCGAGAAAATTGGATCGCTTGACTTTGATAACAAACACCAATACAAGATTTACACCAATCGTTGAGAGCAAGCAGGCGCCAAGCACATCGGTAAATTGCACGAGGATAGCGAGAACACGACATGGAATGATAGCTCCCCGGTATAACACCATGGCCATGTTGGTGATAGCATCGACCAAATTGACAAAGCTGGCAGTTGCAACACAACGTAGCGATACTCGGTCGGCCATTTGACTCTTTTGGTATACGAATACCGCAAAAAATAAAACGGTGGTGAGCGATCCAACCATCGAGACGACCGTTATTGCTAAGGTAACTTTGCCGATCGCCACAAATTGTTGACGAGAATATGGGAAAGATTCATCAATGAGCCATGGTTGTTGATCTTCATTCATGGATATAGGGTATGTAAAAGAAAAGTGAAAGAATAAAAACTCGTTCGATCTTTTTCCATTAGAGACACGTTTTTTTCAGCAACAAACAATGGGTGTTAAGGGTGTGAAACGGGTCCAATTATTCAAATCTGTCAAAGAGGAAACAGGGTGTTGTCTAAAACTACAATTTGGCTTTGGGTTGCTCGATATGGTAGTAATTACATAATCTCACTACTAAATTGTCAATCCTTGCTAGATCCTCTTTGGTGGCTCCTTGATGCAATGCTCCATAGGCGTGTCCTCGTAGTTGGGTACCGAGATCTTCCGCCTTCAAGCCTGTGACAAGCACCATGCTCGATTCCTTGCCCGAAAGGATAGCTGTCTCGGACAAAACGGGTCCGTACAAGTGATGGAAAGCGACTTGGCCGAGATCTGGATAGTACTTGTACATGTCATTGGCTACTCGTTCTGTGTGTCGGTCATAGATCTTATCCCACAATCCTCGTCCTCGTTTGCGTTGTTCTTCGATATCGTTCCACGTGCTCTCACGTCTAATTGATGCATCCAATTAGATCCATCATGCAAAGCTACACACGCTCTCTCATGCATCACATTACCTGATCGGCGATGATGGCAATTTTTCTCGGATCGTTTCAGGAGTTGCATTGTATAGTTGCTTTAATCCATTGATTGTCTAACATCGTTGCCAAGGAAACAGCCCCAATTGATGAGATTATCGCCACCATCTGACACCCCATGTTTCATTTTTTACCTTTGGAAAACCATGTGCGATGTAACTTTTGAGGATACCGTCACGCAAACGCATCACAGCCTTGATCTTGGCTTCTTCTTTCTCTTTTGCTGATACATTCATGCCATCAATCTCCTTCTCCACAAAATGATATACATGTGCAACGTCTTCTGGGTGGTTCAAAGATGAAACGGCCGCTGCCTGCATAAGGAGTCCATACACATGAGCAAGCTATTGCCACCTCCATTGGACATTGAGATGGGTACTTACCGTTAACACATACCACAGGTCGTCATGCGGTGGAAATGCAGCACGAATGCTTTCAAGAACGGTAACGAATGCCATGTCTCCAAGGCGATGCAACGGAGAAGCAAGATAAGGTCATCACTTTCACATAGGTGGTCGCTAATTCAAATCCCCAGTTACGGTTTGTCATTTGTAATAGCGTTTTCATTGTACACATCATGGGTAATGAGGGTAGAAGTGACAATCAATTATATAAAGTATCATTATTACAGTCTAATTACTATACTCTGGGCAATCTACTTGAGTCAAGTTGTGCGTCTTCATTTCTAATGCGGTGAGTTGTTTGCCATAAACACATCCGCTGTCAGTGCCAAAGGTCACTGCTTCCAAATCCAGACCACGTCCAGCATCATGGCCATAGTAAATATTCACAGGATGTGTCTCGTTGGCTTGTGCTCTCGTCCAATAATCAGCCCAATGCTCTCCTTTACTCTTGGTGCGTTCGGGCTCTCCTTTGTGAATGTTGCGCATATTCACAATCCAATAAGGGTCATTGTTGACGGTGGATTCGACAGATGGATCAAGACCCCCATGCACGACACGTGAATTATTAAGCGTAGGAAATTCAATAACGAGAGGGCAGCTGGCAAGATAATCATAGTCTTCGCGTGTCATATTCCTACATTATCCATGTGAGTGGTCAATTGGTCTTATACACTACGGCTATTCCTTACTTTACTATGTCCACATGATCATCATCAAACTTGAGTGGATCCTCAACATCACCTTCTGGCATGGTATCTTTGGAATCTTGATCAATTGGGCCATGTTGCAACTCGTATGTCATGAATCGGACAACAACATGGTCATGGTTGCCACGCACACACATGGCTCCAATTTCGCGTGCATATCGAATTACACCAACATTATCTGGACCACGGTAAACTAAATCCCCTGCCAACACAATCAAATCTCGATCAGGATTGTAATTGATCTTTTGGACCAGCTGCTTTAGTTCGGCTGCACAGCCATGCACGTCACCAATGACAAAGATACGATCCTTTTGCTTCTCAATGTCGTTGTATGTACGAATTCTTGTCAAGTTGGCATAGGGCGATGTGGCCTTGGCATAGGCAGGTAGCTGAACTTCGGTACTGCTGGTCGTATTTGGATCGCCAAGATTATTCGTTGATGGTGGTTGCTGAGGATTATTGCTCTCGGCTTGCTGATTGTTTTGTTGCTTTTGACGTGTTACGACCACGGATGGAACAACGACTACAATGACCACAACAGCAAATGCTGCAAGGCCCGTCAACCACCAAAACTTCCTTGACATATGTCTCATTGTGTGTGCTGTACTGGTATGTCAATTGCGGCAAATTAAGAAGCAATCCACTTGGTTTCAAAAGGTTACATGTATATATATATCCATGCGTACCCGGATGTGGGTTCCGAGCCAAACCCTTGATTTATAATCTCATACACAAGGAAACGCCTCCGTGATGCGTATGCTTATATTAAAAATTGTAATCATAAACCTGACGATTCATCGGTTTTATTCCAGCGGGTAAAAGAAAACAGCTCGCGTTTGAAGGTGGATCCAAAAGAAGGGAAAATATTTTATTGACGCAATGTACATACGCAATTCTGTATTATCAATAATCGATGTTTCGTTTATTCGCCTTGATGCTTTCTGGCATTCTCATCTGGTAATCTATATATATTTACAAGGCTTAGTATACGCATGACTCGGTTGCACGACTATAGATAGCATCAACTTACCTCCATTTTGTGTAATGTATCTTACCCAAGGCAAAGCCTGATAGCCACTCTTTTCCACAATCTTGAGATATCGTACTTGGATACCTGAAACGGTAAAATAGGGGATCTCGAATTTGATGTTGATCGGAGGTTTCTTCTCGGTCTCTTCGGCTGGATAAACATAAAAGTGACATATTAGACTCAGTGAAACGGTGAGTATCAGTCATCAATGACAACATTACCAGCTTGTACAGATGGCAATCCAAAATGAGCACGCATGATGAATTCCTTGCCGCCTTGAAATTGCTTAATCTTCCATACCAAGCATGATCGTTCAGGTTTGTACGACACAGATCCGCTGCTACTCTGTTTTTGACAGGTTGAGTAAAAATAGCGGGGACCTACAATTCCCATCACAAACCTTAAACTTTGGCGTATCAGCATCATCAGGTACAGGGACTTCGATTTCAACATTATTGGCTGTGCTTTTGCGTTTGAATTGTGCTCTTGCTTTGACGAGATACTCCACACGGGATCCAGAATAGGTTTCCACAACGGCTTCGACCCAAATTAAAGGCTTGACGCTGGTCTGCAATCGATAGCTCATGAGTTCAAAGTCGCCATCGGGTGGTATAAAGCTGATAGTTCGGTCGTTTTCAAATCGCGAAAGACGCACACATTGATGAAACTTGACATCTTCCATCTCAATGGCTTTGGCTGAATTGCTCCCTATCATGATATTGGTTGCCATGTGAGCATGAGACATGTCATCATGGATCAATCCCTTTTCAATCATACATACCTCGTCCTGTTGCCTCAAACATGACCTTGTCATTCAATCCCAGGCGTAATTCAGGCATCCCAGAAAGATAACACCGCATTTTGACAGCACCCAACACCTCGCTTCGTAACACGTTGCCGCTCGCATTCACCATGAGATTCACGCTCTCAATCACATCCAAGAATACTTCATTCTTCTTGTACTTGATGCCCTCCGACCGCCAGGATACTGCATTGGTCACAGCCATGGGAGGTCGTACTTGTACTTCGAGCTTGTAAGCATCCTGAGTGATGTACCTACGTTGATATGATGAATACAACACGTCATGCATATCCATAATCCAACACTTACTCTTGTAAGATCTTTGTTTCGGTCGTTTGAGGGTATCCGAAATCCATCATCTCATCCAGCAGCTCATATACAATCACGAAATTGTCACGGATGGATTCCTCTTCCAATTCCTTAAAGTACTCGCTGAACACTTGTGTCAACTTGTGGAGATAGAGCATGATCGAAGCGGCATTCGTATTCTTCCTCGAGAGTGCAAGTACTATTGATCCCATGACGTATCAGCATTGCTGGTAGTTGGTGCATGTGTGCGTGCGAATGATACATAATACGTACGATAGAGGTTGCTGTGCTTCAAGTACAAGTAGTTGATGCCGTCGTGTGTGAAACAAGGCAAGGGAACCTGCTCATCTTCAGCTTCGGATACCTACGAACAAGAAAAAGGTTACCATTGTATTCAAACGCGTTTTCCTAATCGCCCCAAGCTCACTTGCCAAAGGCATAAACTTTTCGACAGCGCTCATTGGAATATCGCCTCGGTAGTTCCGTGAAATGAGGACCTTCCCCTTCAGATCGAGGATAAACACTATGCCCACAACCATGCATCAATGACTTGGCTCTCCACGAGGGAATTGTATCGTTGCTTTGACGTACCTGCAGATGCCATTGGTGCGCTGCCTAGCTCGTTTCAATGTCAAGATGGACTGACTGAATGGACGTTTGCTGAGTACCAAAAGATCAAGAGGTATCGACACGACCAGCAGCCACTTTTTGTGTCACCCTTCGCAACGTAATGCATCAGAGCTTATGCTAGGATTTAACCAATAATAAACATTCAACTTTCATTATCATGGATAAACCACCAATCAGGGCTGTATCAATCAAACAATGTGTAGGAGGAGGTGATTGTCAGCACATGTAGAAGGTTCTTTGTTGGCTGTTTGATAGAAGAGGTATGGTGCATTGTAGCAATTGAGGTCAATTTCTTGCTCGATTTGTACTTGTAGTTAATAGCTATGCAAGGATGCTATGGACCATGGCAGCGAGATACATTTTGATCTTTGCTTACTTAATCGGAAGCACGTGCATGATGATGGTGTCGTCGTGTCAAGTTGGTGCAACGTGATAATAGCCCACCACTGTATTAACGAACATGTTCTGGAAAGTATGTAACAGGATTAATGAGTGATAGTATTTGAAGATCGATCATCCTCAACTCTGGTTCGTGGCATTCGTATATGAATGATGATTTTCTCATTAACCTTATTTGCATATCAATTACGCATTTTATTGGTACGTGCACATCATCCAGCAATGTCCTTCTACCCACCCCCAACGCACTTTGGTAACCAATAGCAGTAGAGTAGTGTATTATGAGAAGAAGACAACAATGTATAATAATAATAATGAAATTGCTCTTAGGTTTCTTTAGGGAAATAGTGTATGTGTGAGGGAGGTCATCGTCCAATGAAGGAGGCGGCCGGGAAAAGCAGGTTCCGGACCATTTATATAAGCGTTTAAATTCATTTGTTCATCATGGCAAGGGCTTCATGCTACTTTTGGGAAACGTGGGCGGAATGTAACAAAGAAGGTTGCACAGAGTCTCGGCTTTGACGGCATGGAAGGGTAAAGTTGGTGGCGAAAGAGAAAAAGTGATCGACCAATTAACGAAACAAAGGCGTAACAGGGAATGAATGAATATACCAAAGCCAAGAAGTAGGATGATCATGCAAAGTAGGCATAATAGCAGCAGTAGCACTAGATGCACTAGCACGCGTGATAGTGGAAACCAAGATTATTCCGAATGCTGCAAGGAGAACGTGGTTGGAGAATCAGTAAAAATAGCCCGACCACCATGATCCTTGACCTTTTTACCTTTCTTTCTCTTTCCTCATTTTATTGATTCTCCCTCCTTGTCCACTATCAGCGTCACCTCCTCCCCCCACATCATCATCCAATCCCTCTTTTAATCGCCCCATTCACTCACTCTCCCTATTATTCTCTTCCCACTCGTTTGATCCCAAAAGAAAAAAATCCCCCCTCTCCTTCCCTATGACCACAACCACCAACGACAACAACAACAACAACAGCACCACAACCACCACTTGTCCTTGTACAGACCTTATCGATTCTGACGGCAACTGTAAACAATGCCAACGGTCATTAGCAAAAAGCGCCGCCGAGATTGAACGACTGAAACGGGAATTGGAAGAAAAGGATGCTGCCATGGAACGAATGCAACAGGATATGCATACACTGAATCAAAAGTATGTTGCCGAGATCAATCGCGTCGCCGAGGTGCAGCATGAAAAAGATATGGTTGAACACGAATTAGAAGAGTTGAGTACTCGTCTCTTTGAGCAAGCGAATGGCATGGTGGCAGCTGAGAAACGTGAAAAATGGCTTCTTGAACAACAACTGCAACAAGCTGAAGAGCATCTACGTGCCGAGAAGAGTCAATTACAAGAGCTACGAGAGCGTATGATGAAGGATGAACAACATGAGGATGCTCAAGTGATCGTACGTGCACGTAAAGATTTACAACAATTGCATATCAAACGAGCATCAGCTACCAACTTGTATCGACGCAAGACGACAACGAATACAGTGGCACAAAAGAAGCAACAACAGCAACAATCAAGGATCACATCGATGCCTCCACCACCACCTTCAGCACCTGTGACTCAAAAGACAATGACGATTGATGAGATTCAGTTGGAAGCCTTTCAAGAATTTGTGCAATCGAGTCGATCCAAAAAGTTGAACCAGTTTGCATACATGAAGCATTGTCTTGCAGAAGATGTCGAACCTTGTTTGCGTTTTGGTTCTCATTCTCGTCTCTCAGTGAAAAAGCTCAATGAATACCTTTCTCGACAACCCTGCTTTATCGAACAACATCAACAAGATTCAGTTCCTACCGGCACTACTTATTCTTCCGCTGCTGCACGTCCTCTTTGGGAACGGTTCTCATCCAACCATCACCATCATCATCAGCAACAACCCGTATGCGTAGCGTGTGGTCGATCATCAGAACATTCGCCTTTGAATTATCGTTTCCGAGTGGATGAAATGGATGAATGGGCTCCTATTGATCAATATTGTCGCGATCGATTGGTCGCTGTATGCGAGTTTTATGTCTTTATCCGCAACATCCAACATGGCCTTTACTCGGATCGTGCGATTGATGACTTGTATGCTGAAAACATTTGCTTGCGTCTTCAAATGTTTTATTCTCGGTAAGTTAAGGAGAAGGAGATGAAGGTTGTCAAGAAGACTGATTGTTATTTGGATATCTAGTATGGGAGCACTTCCTGTGATTCTTGATGGCATAGGAGTAGACCCTGACGCAGTTGGCAAGGCATCTCAACCACTTGATACGATTCCAGATGACGCGTATGTTTCAGATGGATCCATCTCAACCGGTCCTCAAACACCTGTGCAACCGCAACATGAAGAAATTGCATCATAGTTTGTTATACACTCAATTCCCTCACCCCCCCCAAAAACCATCACCACATCACGACTACCCATAGGATGCTGGATTCATCCCCTTCCATCCCTCTCTTCTCATCATTACATTATTTATAGAATTGTGCATTGCCTTAATACATTATATCCTTTCATCCTTTTATCATCCTTCCACTGTGCAAGTTAAAAAGGGGTGGCAGAGAAATCCATCCATCATTGTAAAGGAGTGATCATCTAATTTCTCACGCTATCATTCATGACGCATCGTGATTTTTCTTGTTGCTAATGTACAAAACAAAAAGTGCAGGAAGATTTAATGATTGAATCGAGTGGCTGATATGTGAAAAAGAGAGTGTGAGTGATAGTGAGAGTGGGGAGGGTGCTTGATGAGGAGTGAGTGAGTGAGTGAGTGAGTGAGGAGGAGCAACGAGAGATTTCTCTATCTATTCCTTCGATCTATCAAAAGTCTAGCAATGGGTCGTTGTCGTTTTGCACGTTGTCTGTATTGTTGGATATGCATTGATTTCCTTCTTGCCTCAGATGCCGTCATTGCGTAAACAACAGGTCGACTAGCACCTCGTTTCCTTCCAAGTTGCTGATCTTGTTGTTCGAGCTTCTCTTGCATGGCAGTGAGATAATCCACCACTTGATCGCTTTCGGGCATGTAATACGTTGGCAAATGTTGATCGATATGTAACGCCTCATCAAACCGTACTTCCATCTCGCCATGATATTCACCATCTTGTTGAGGAGGTTCAAAGGGTCTTAATTGCATCATGTATTGTGCCAATGCTTCATCTGCTTCCTCTATCATCCAAGTATTAGTCTCTCTCTCACATATATATCATCATTTCCTCCCTCTCCCAACACTTACCATTATCATGGGGTTCAGTGATACCAAGCATTTCTCGAATAGCTGCATTGGGCGGCGATGGATGATTACGAGTGGAAAAGAACGGACGCTCCTCTGACGATGAGAGGCCGAGCAGGGGTCGATGTAAGGAAAAGAACGCATTGTGAGCAAACTCGGACTCGGGCATGTTGATTACAGGCATAAACGATAGATGTTGCTGCTGTGATTTCTGTTGCTCAGTCTCATGCTGTTGGACATTGCTCTTGTCGGTGGGTGGTATCTCTTGTTCTTGTTCGCTTTTGCTGTTGTTATTGCTGCTGCTGCTACTACTACTGCTGCCGTCGTTGCTACGGCCGTGGTATGAAGAAGAATAAAAGCGACGAGTGGTAGCAAGAATAGCTTGATGTCTAGTGGGTAGTATACGACAAGCTGTTAACATGTTGTATGTGCGGGTGTGTGGGAGAGAGTAATAAATGAAAGGAAGAAGCGATAGTGGCGTGAGTCATTCACACAGCAACTTAACGGAGAAGGAAATCTAAAAGTGACTAATAACCCTGCTGTTTAACACCAAAAGAACAATGACATTTTATCCCAGCAACACTCGACAACATTACCTTGAAAAAGAACAACCGTTCCATGTTTAAGAATCAACTAGTGCCCATAATTGGGATCTATCCTAGCACACACATGTCTACATAAAAGTCACACGCTTTGCTATATCGTTCCTCGAGTATTACATATACCCACTTACCCAGACAATGGCTGCATATCTTACAACAAAGAACAGCAAGCAATCATTGGTCTCTTTATTCTCTCTGTGCAACCGATGTACCAAAAAATGTATTATGTATTGAAAAGCCCTCCTTCCATTCTACCCATACCATCTGTGTTTGTTTACATTGATGCTGCAAATGCGAATCGTTCGGTTATAACCATTTGCTTCGTGCATTGACACGTGTCCCTGGAATTTTATGCGATGTGATATCGTTGCTCCCAAAAGTAGGCTGATGATGATGCTGTCGGCTTAAAAGTAAACTTAACCCAGACCCCACCACTTGGTATACACGTTGCGCCATCATCATACAAGAGGGAGGCGGGGGTATCATAGCAACCGGGTTGCCTATCCTACAAGAGGTAACACATCTACCAGCGATTGTCGGTAGATGTCAAGCTATACATGCTTCACTTGGTCTCAGGTTCAAGATGCCCATCATTTGTCATTTCAACGTTTGAGAGAGTAGGACAGTGCGCATTTCTAGCCAAATAAGGTTTGTGCAACAACGTCACATGAGAGTTTATTCCCTCAAATTGAGCGCTTTATTTACCGAGCAAAAGATACATTTACAAGTTGTTGTCACACAGCATAAAACATGTGTCCATCATTTAACGAGAATGAACTTATTTCTTGCGTTTGTTCTTTGGCTTGCCTTTCGCCTAAATGAAATGATAAGAATGGTAACCTTCGTATTACTTTTGTAAAGCTTACCTCGGGTGCTTCTTTCCTCTTCTTTAGAGCATTGCCTGAGGCGGGAGAAGGTTTGGCGGGAACGGATTTGAAAAAGTCACTCATCCGACTCTGTGTGGCTGCCTTGACGTTCTTGGTAAGCTTCTCACAGGATTTGCGAATACGATCCTCACTATTACAATAAACATCAGTACCATCCCACCTCATCTCAATGATGCTTCCATCTTACCTGAACCCCTTTTCCTTGACCATGAAATCAACAATAGCTTCAACATCAGGCAATTCCCATTTGAGTTCGACTTTGTCGGTTGAAGGTAAAACGTCAGGCACTCTAAAGAGCTCGCGGGCTTCATCGTATTTCCAATCCTTTGGCACGTTGTCACGAAGTTTTTCAGGTAAGTGCTTCAAAGCCTCGTCAATTGTCTTGTGTTCCTTGATCAAGCTATATGCACGTGCAGGTCCAACGCCCTTGATGCTGTCAACATAATCGCAGCCAAGCATGATACACAAATCGATGAACTAGGTATCGTCCAATATCAGGATTTGGGAATGAATCTTTTCAACCTTGTCCCCCCTCACCTACCTCTTCATGTGATAATCCTAATCCTTCCAATGCCTTATCCAAATGCACTTCGTCAATGGGCATCTTGCGTTGTTCCGAAAATGTCAAATGGCGTAATAAGCGTGGTGAACCAAAAGTCAACGTATCCATATCTTCAGATGCAGCGGCAAATACAAGATTGGCTTTGGCCAAAGCAGCACATTGAGCTTCAGCTTCGCATGGGGCCTATATACATATTGCGTTAGTGATCATCGTCTCATCATCCATGTATAGTGTTTACTTGCCTCGACATAGGGAATGCCCATAAGCTTGAGTAATCGTTTGCATTCATCATTGTGCTCTTTTGTGACCCTGACGGTGCGCTTGGTATAGCGTGCCACCTCCTCACTCGTACCTTGATTGTAAAGATCCATGAGTGAACCCCCTCCACTTTTACATGGATCATACCTTACTTACCAACTTCATTAGCCTCTTCCAAGTTTGCTTGAGCCTCTTCTTTACGTGCTTTACGTTTAGCCAACTAGAACCTGTGTGAGTTATATAACAAAATGGCATTGAGAGTAAATCATCTTACCTCGCCGGATTTCATAGTCGGGGGTTTGCCATCAAAGACATATACTGGTTTTATGCCGTTGTCTACCATCCTCACTGTTCGATAAAACATGCCCATAAGATGACTAAAAGTTGTCGTCAGCACTATGATATCATACAAAGGTCATTGAAAAGATACCTCGTGGTTTCACCCTGCTCATTCGTAAGCATTTGGCCGTCTTGTTGTCGTACAGCAATCATAAACTGATAAATACTCATCGACGCGTCGATCGCCACTTTGCGTCCGAAATAGCTGTCAATGCTGTGGCTCTTGATGGCATCAGGTGCGTGTTCTGAAATCAGCTTTGTCAGACCGTGAATACCCATGGTGATTGGCTTGGATCACTGCAAGGGAAAGGAGAGGGAAAAAAGACAATAGGTGAAAGGATGCTTCTGTGGCGCGCGGTGTGCGATTGATCGTAAATGGTAAGTCGTCCGGTGACCGGTTGACGAAGTAATACATGCAGCTTGACACTTTGTTATACCAACCTTGATCCATAATACCCACCCTGTCCCTTAGCTTATAAGAGGATAGCCTATCTGGAGTATTCTATGTGTGTAATCCAACCTCATTTCTGCATCATAAAGACATCGATCCTTCAAATTCATATCACACATTTGTTGCTATATTGTATCTCTCGAGTTATCAAAGGCAGCTAGTCGCCTGCCGTGTATCCATAATATGTATAACTATCTTAAAGATTTGATCATAAACACGAGGAATCTAATCACAAAACAAAGGGAGTAAACTATACAGCCTTTGATCAATACACAATGAATCAATCAGATCCTTCCTCTTCCTTTATCACAACATTCTCAAGTGGATATACATGCTTTTATCATCCTGCATTATTAACCTTTCTATAATACAATGCATGAAGTACCCACACATGACGAGGTACAAAACATTGCTCCTATGAGGGAGATGTTTCTATCTTTCGATGGTGCATGGTGCAAAGGTGAATGGATGACACTTGATGCGTAGTGGTGAATCATATGCATAGTGAGTCAAGACATGTAGTTGGATGATGATGGTTGTACATGGCTGACAGGTTGCACACAAAGGATGATGATAGTAGCTGTCAAGTGTAAGGTACGATCATTGGATGCACCAATCGCTCAGGGTGATAGCATCAAGCATAATGATCAAGTTGACAATGGATACTCTCTTTTTCGACGCGTTGTACATACCCAATTCCTTCCATTCCATGTATCAAACCAATATTCATATCCATATTCATATCCATAAGAAGTTGTATGTATTGAAGCAAATTGCTACACGTAAATAAAGCTGCTTCTATATAATGGCTATCTGCTGTCCACGTGAAAAAGGTTGCAAGCCAAGTTGCTGCAAGTAAAGAACGCTGTTCGACACAATGGAGTAAAGATCTTGCTAATAGCAATTGCTAGAATGGATGCTGTTACCATTGATCGTGATGGAGGAGTGTACAAGAGAACGTGAGTGTCGTGAAACGCAGGTGTCGTAGCGGTGTGTACACGGCATGGACTTGCCATTCAGTCAAAGACAATCGGATCAAGAGAGTTGTAGGATTGACATGATGGGTTGAAACAGGGCAATCGTTCGCAGGTGGTAGTTGTACTTGAATGGGCCAACAGTTGAGAACGGGAGGAAGAGGGAAGAAGTTGGGAGTGGAAGAACCGAAAATCAAAGGTTGGGCCTGAATGCTGCTTCTTTGTTTGAGAGCTGCTCAATCAAATCCTCTCGGATCAAGAAAGTTGAAGGATGGACATGATGGGATGGATCAGGACAATCGTTCACATGCATTGAGTTGGGGAACAATGGTGAAAGGGAGGAAGGGGGTATTAGCTTCCAATGATGAGCTGTTACTGAATAGTGTATAGCGTACCATACGTTGACCCTTCCATTCATGCAAACGTAGCTGTGTTACACAACACGACCCTCTGCATCTTTTGCTCTGCCAGGGTCCAGCTACTTGACAATGAACAAAGACCACTTCTCATATAGCATCACGCTTACAAACATAAAGGTGCCTGTATCTCCAAACTTTACAATGAAACGTGGGCTTTTGAATAGAGCAATGGGCTCGGCTTGGCCAACTGCACCTTGGGTGAAAGTTTCACGTTCAGTGTCGCAAACAGCCCAAAAAATATTTTTTGGTCGTCGTCGTCGAAGAGGTCGACCCCCAGATCCAGTTTGGCTGGTGGCGACATTGCG